GTATGTAACATTAAATGATCACGTGACATTGTTCTTGATGATAATAAGTAAGAGACAACCTAACTTTCTAAAAAATCTTAGTAGCGGAACATATAGGATTTCAATTACTTGTATTGCTTTTTGATAAAATTTTTTTTTTTGCTTAGATGTATCTTTGTTAATTCCCTAGGCATTGTTACCACGGGACCAAAGAGTGTATTTGCTTGTAGAATCACTCTAGTGAGTCATCAACTAATGAGTTCACATTGTTATGGTGTGGCTTAGTCACATATCGATTTTGCAACAGATTCTATTTCCTTTAGATGGATATAAATGCGGAGATGGCGTAGTTCCATGTCGACTTCTTACCAAAAGCTTTTATCCTTAGTTGGCTATAAATACGGTAGGTGTTGATAAACTTCAGCATACAAAATCAAGAGAGCTTTAGTGGTCTGTATGCGCGTTTGGACAATTCTAAAGGTACTTTTCTTTCTTAATTATGTAGTTGTATGTCCTAATTGTGTTTTTTTTTTTTTTTTTCTTTTTTATGTTTCTTTACTGTTTGTACTTGCATTATTATTAAACATGTATGATATAGTTTACCGACGAGATAAATAAATGACAAAAGTGATAATGGATATGGGATATCTTTTGCAATGTTCTCGCTGAATACAATTGTAGTAATATCTGTTTTAGGAATTAATATTCCATCTGCCTGCTAAATTTATTTTCAAATGTCGTTTTAGTATGTCCAGTCAATTTACTTATTATTAATTACTTTTTAAATAAAATATTAATATTTTCAATCTTTGTGCTGAATTCAAGTGTGCTAATTTTACTGGAGGGAAGGATCATTAGATTAAAAAGGAAAGACTAGTTGTTAAGTTTAAGTTAAATCAAATTCACACGGAAGGAGGCTCGACGCGTAACTGAGGTATGTGTCGCGCTCTGGTTTCATACTTGAAATAGATCAACCAATGCTCGACACATAGGGGGGTACGTGTCGTGCTTGGGTTTTATGCATGAAAAAGATTGAGCACTGCTCGACACTAGTGGGGTATGTGTCGCGCTCTGATTTTATGCATGAAAAAGATCGATCACTGCTCGACACGTAGTGAGGTACGTGTCGCGCTCTGATTTTATGCATGAAAAAGATTGACCACTGCTCGACACGTAGTGGGGTACGTCTCGCGCTCTGATTGTATGCATGAAAAAGATCGACCACTGCTCGACACGTAGTGGGGTACGTGTTGAGCTCTGGTTTCGTGTATGAAACGGATCGAAGAGTGTCCAGCGTTGGCTCTCAATAAATAGACCCCCGATACTCCCTTTCTTGCAGACACACACACAAATTGTATTCGGGAGCAGCGAGAAGATTTATATTCTCTTTTTTCAGGAGCAACTTTCTCGGTTTTTGATGATGTTTCGCAAGAGTCTTTTCAGGTTCGGCATCTAAGTTATTTACAGCTTTCCTTTTTGTCTATGCTTCCCTCTAGTTATTATCACCATTGAAAACATTATATATTTGTGCGATATTTTAGGATACTAAGCCATTAGATCTTCTTGTTTGCAGAACATTGGTGGGCGAGAGAGCGTGGATTCAACGTAGTGAATCCTATTATGAACTGAACATGGAGTTACATAAATGGAAGTTGAGCAAGAACCATGGATTTGATCCATCTGTCTTTGGCAAGCTTTTCTAATGAAGATTTTCGCGTTTGGTGGCATCCTGTGAGTTTTTGTAAATTTATTTCTCTTTACCCCTCCCCTCCCCCTCCCAACAAATTTTTGTTGTTTTCATTTGCGGTTACTCACAATCGACGATATAATCATGTTGCAGGTGGATGCTATCGAACTATTACGATGTGGAATAGTCTGAAGGGCTTAATGAGGAGGCATGAGGCTTAAAGATGTTACTCCATCAGTATAAACCCGAACCAGACTTTCTACTCGAATGTATCTCCAAAATTTGCTTAAACTCCATCACTAGGATTGTTTTGGTGGTTCAAGATCGATTGAAAATATATTTGTTGATGTGATATTCTGAATGTAATTGTGAATTTTGGATGCGAATGTCATATGAATAATGTGAAATAAATTTGAGTTACGGAGACGCACTCTTATTTTCTCGCCAACATTGTTGAATGGCAATTGCAATCGTCAAGTGGTTTTGTTTATGTTAATTTATCGTTTAGAATAATTTTTAAGTGCTTCCTTGAATGATTAGATTTATCGGTAGATTTAACATTAAATGATCATATTTCATGATGTATAATTGAAATGTAAGAGTGAGATAAATGCTTCGGAAATCCGAAACCCAAAGAAAGTGGTCTCGAAAATTCCGAGACAAGTAGGAACTAATAATAACCTATGATGCCTGCAGCTTTGGATTTGGTCTCGAAAATTTTGAGACCACTGAAAAGGCGACGTCGAATTTTACTCTTCGGACACCATTCGGAGGCAAATTCTGAAGCTTTAAGTCGCACTCAAATTTCATGCATGATATAGATTAACCATGTGTCAATTTATAATTTGTGCGATCCTTTGGGATACTAAGCCATATCATTCAACTCATATAGTTTCTCATAAAACTATATTATTTTTTTTTCTTACAAAATATTAATTAAATTAAAATTAGACAAACCAATACACATGTATGTATATTTAACCTACAAAGATATTTTATTCTAACTCTATAAATTGTCTCTTACTTTTGCTATGTTTTTTTTTAACACCACACACACTCATTCAGGGTTGAACTCGACCTAGCCTATAAGCGAAGGATGCCTCGGCACTTGAATTTATTAATAAAAAGCATTTTTTTTCCTTTTCTTTGAATTTATTATAATATAATTTAAAGCATAAATATTTTTGTTGCAGAAATAATTGCGTAACAATTTTATTTTATACTTTATTTTGTGTCATTTGGTTTTTATTACGAAAAACTTAAGGTAACAGATAAAATGGTCAACTTTAAGTGTCGTGAATTTTTACTACAATTCCGTAACTAATATTAGTATTTGTTACCAACATATTGTTACTAGTTAATGTTCATGGCGAAAGCCAGATTTTTTGGTAGTGGATGGTGTGGTTTCGATTTGAAATCAAAACCAAAACACCCATATATTAGGCATAAAAATAGGCACTTTTTTTGGTCGATGGTACACTCTCGTATCATGTTCTTTTTGATAAATAGTGTGTGACAATATTATCCAAGCAATTTTGTTTTACATGTAAAATTACTTTTTAGATTTATATATGTATATATATACATTAGGCATAAAATAGGTGTTTTTGTAGTTGGTATACTTATATTTTAGTGCATTGTGTTAATAAATAGTGTGTGACAATACTATCTAATTACTTTTCTTTATTTACAGAAATAAGAGAATTATATATGTAATATAAAAAATAATGAATATGTATTAGTATATTAATTTTTGGAAAAAAATGTGTTGGTTATTATTTACAGAAAGAACACACAAGTACTTTTCTTTATTTACATTTATTTTCTTTCTTTTACAATTTTATATATTAAAAAAATTATAAACTAAAGAAAAGGTAAAATAAACCAAAAGTCATCTAAATTATAATTTGTAAAAGTTTGGAGACACGAGTATTACTTCATATTTCTTTATAACTTAATAACTTTTAACCCCTAAAAAAAATAAAAAAACTAAAGTTAAAATATTATATTTAATAATTATTAAAAATACATCATTTTTTTTTTATTTTTTTAATTAAAAAAACAAACACATTTTGGGGGCTGGGTCGGGTGTCCCCCTAACCCCATGTAGTTTCGTCCATGGTGTAGATGGATGCTATTGAACTATTATGACAAGGCAATGGTGGAGACTATATGCCTTTTTGATGTGGCATGTAAAAGTATGCTGGCGCCGGAGTGTAACCTTATATCTCGATCCACTTACCGATGTCTCATGGCAGAGTATAGTTATATCAAAATGTGCCATCTAACACGGCGCACCTTACAAAAGTCCGATTTTGTCATAAAGATTTTAACTCTTAAGATGATGTAAATTAAAATGAGGACGAGCATCATGCTTTCTTGTAATTAAAATAATTTTTTTTTTTTTTGAGTTTATTTTAATTTTTAGTGATGTTTTATAAGAAGAAATATTATATTTTTTTGTATAGTAAAAAAGTTAAATCAATTTTCAAAATCACACACCAAAATAGTGTTGTTTTTCGGCTGTAATGATTTGCAGGCTACTAAGCGTTTGATATAATATTTCAATAAAAATATAATATAAAAAAATAAATATTTAATTTGATAGTTTTTAAGGAAGAAAAAAGATTAAATAGTGAAAGCTTGGCCCCAAACTTATATCCAAACACACCCTATAACACTTAAAATCATTTCTTCAATAGTTTGGCAATACTTTGTGCTCATCCTCAAATATTTTTGAAGACATAAAATTCATTTTGTCAAATAGTTGAAGCAATAAAAGTTGAATTGTTAAGAAAATTGTAAAAAATATTTCATATATACCTCATTATCACTTTTGTCCTGTATTTATCTCGGTGGCAAAATATATCCTACATGTGTGCAAAAGTCGTTATTTATATCCTTTGGCAATGACATAAACAGTGACTTTTTCAAACACGTAGGATATATTTTGTCAGCTAAGTAATATAGGACAAAAGTGATTATTGGGTATCTATGTAGAATATTTTTTTGCAATTTTCCCTTGAATTGTTTCTACAGTTATTCTCAAGTTTACGTGAACACTTCGTAGCTCTTTGTATTGTTGAGATTGTCGAAAACTTGCAACTGAACAACAGTAATTTTTTGGGGATTTCTAGGAGCGCATCCCACGAGGATTACGGGTGAATTATGCAGAATCTAGCATTGTAGACCACGTGATTGGTTGTTAGGTTTAGAGTTAATCAAAGTCAGGCCGAAGCAGCGCTCAACACGTGATTGGAACGGATCGACCTCATTTCCATTTGCTCTCAATAAATAGGCCCCATCCTGCCTTTCTTGTCAACACACACACACACACACACAAAAAAAAATTGTATTCGGCAGCAGCGCGAAGATTTATGTTCTTCTTTTTTTTTCATGAGCAACTTTCTCGGTTATTGATGATGTTTGACAACAACCTTTTCAGGTTCGGCATCTAAGTTATTTACAACTCTCTTTTTTGTCTATGCTTCCCTCTAGTTATTATCGCCATTGAAAACATTATTTATTTGTTCGATCTTTTTGGATACTAAGCCATTAGATCTTCCTATTTGCAGAACATTGGTGGGCGAGAGAGCGTGGATTCAACGTAGTGAATCCTATTATGAGCTGAACATGGAGTTACATAAATGGAAGTTGAGCAAGAACCATGGGTTTGATCTATCTGTCTTTGGCAAGCATTTCTAATGAAGTTGGCATGATGTGAGCTTTTCTAACTTTCTCTTTACCTCTGTAAATAGAATATAACAAACTAGAAAATTTTAAATGCATTTTTTGACAACTTTGTTGTTTTCATTTGCACCGTTACTCACAATCAACGCTATAATCTCGTTGCAGGTGGATGCCAAAGAACCATTACCATTTGAAATAGTCTGAAGGGCTTAAAGAGGAGGCGCGAGGATTAACGATGTTACTCCATCAGCTCACTCCCGAACCAGACTGTTTAACCGAACTTATCTCGAAAATTGCCTTAACTCCATCGATTGACCGGAAGTGTTTTTGGTGGGCCAAGGCGATATATTTTTTGAAATTTTGAATTGAAATATGTATTTAGATGTGATATTTTGAATAAAATGTAAACTATGGATGCAGCTTGTACAATGAATAATGTGAAAATAAATTTGAATTACAACAAGCACTCTTAATTCTCTTCTTAATTCTCTTTTATGTTATTTTATCGCTTCCCGTAACTTCCAATCGCATTCTCGGACTGTTTTTATCCATAGATTTAACTTTAAATTTTCATATTTTGGATGTATAATTTGAAATGTACATCTTTGGCGCCAGGGGACAAAAAAAAAATTCACTTACGGAACTATTTTTATACAAGCTTAGTTACGGACTAAAAAATAATTATTCCAAAAAATTGGCGTGTTTCCGCCGCGGAGGACCAAATGTGCCAAAAAAATTTACTTGCGAGACTATTTTAATAGAGGCTCCGGATACGGTACTAAAAAATAATTTATCTATTTAAATAATATTTTATGAGAAAAAAGATGATGTATTTTGAAAAAACTGTATGAGTTGAATGATGGTGGTTTCTATTTGAAATCAAACCAAACACACCCATTTATTAGGTATAAAATAGGCTCTCTATTTTTGTCGATGGTACACTCTTGTTTCGTGCCCTATGTTGATTAATAGTGTGTGGCAATATTATCCAAACAATTTTGTTTTTATATGTAAAACATATTTACTTTTTAGGTTATGAAATATAGGATGAAATACGTTTTTGGTCCCATTTTTTTACATTTGTGTCAATTTTAGTTCTTATATTATTTAAATGATGGTTTTGATCTATTTTATTCATATTTAGGTTTAATTTTAGTCCGTTAATTTTTAAAAGGACAATTTTGATCGATTAATATAGTTCATATTTATTCATTCATTATCGTTTTTTCAAAAATTTAATAGATATACTAATTATATGCATTGTCATACAAATAGACTTGTCTTTAAAAAATTGTTTCACATAAATTATTCTTTTTATAGTATCTATTTATAAAAGATGTATATGTCACTATATTTAATATCGTGCTCTTATCCACACACAAAAAAAAAGAAAAAAAAATTACTTCATTTTCTTATGCCAATAATTTAATTAAGATAAGCAATTAGCTAGCACCTATGTTCTTTTAGATCGGATGGTTTTAAAATTGGGTGTTTAAGTTTGTTTTGGAATGACTTGTTTGAAGAAAATATCTGCCAGGAGATATTTGAAAAAATAATAATATAAAATGATGTAAATAATAGATGAGAATGATTATTTTGGATAAAAATTATACACTATTTCTGTCATAAAAAAAAAAAAAAAATAGGCTCGGAACTTTTGAGGATGAATTTTAATGTGATGTGTACCTTTTTTTTTTTACTTACTCTTTTTTATTAAAAATAAAAATTTCATATTTTTATGTGAAACATGTAGTAATAATTATATTAGTAATTTTTAGGTAGAATAATTATTAAGGACTAAAATTGAACTAATTTAATGAATAAATTACTAAAATTGTCATTTTTTAATAAAATAAGAAGACTAAAATTGACATATTAATGAATAAAAGAGACCAAAAATATTTTTTACCCTAATATATATATATACATATTAAGCATAAAATAGATATTTTGTAGTTGGTGCACTCTAATTCTCGTGCACTATGTTGATAAATAATGCGTGGCAATATTATCTAACTAATTTTGTTTTTACATGCAAAATATATTTACTTTTACAGACAAATTGTATTTAAAAAGTAGTGTTAAAAGCAAAACAAAAACGAAAAAAAAAGAACCTGATTTGGAATAAAATATGAGTCTTTTAAAGTTTAAATGATATAAATTGTGCATAAAATAAGCTTGTTTTGTACTTAGTATACTCATTTTCTCGTGCTCTGTATTGATAAATAGTGTGTGGTAATATTATTTAGCTATTTTTGTTTTTACATGCAAAATATATTTACTTTTACAGACAAATTGCATTTAAAAAGACGTGCTAAAAGCAAAACAAGCGGAAAAAAAGGAACGGATTTGAAATAATATATGAGTCTTTTTAACTTTAAAAGATATATATTATGCATAAAATGAGCTTTTTTTATAGTTAGTACACTCATTTTCCCGTGTCCCGTGTTGATAAATAGTGTGTGGCAATATTATCTAACTATTTTTGTTTTTACATTCAAAATATATTTACTTTTATAGACAAATTTTATTTAAAAAGTTGTGCAAACAACAAAACAAGCGCTAAAAAAGGAACAAAGTTGAAATAAAATTTGAGTCTTTTTAGGTTTAAAAGATATATATTATGCATAAAATAAGCCGTGTATCCTGCGTTGATAAATAGTATGAGGCAATATTATCTAACTATTTTTGTTTTTACATGCAAAATATATTTACTTTTATAGACAAATTGCATTTAAAAAGTCGTGCTAAAAGCAAAACAAGCGGAAAAAAAAGGAATGGATTTGGAATAAATATGAGTCTTTTTAGGTTTAATAGTGTCCCATGTTGATAAATAGTGTTAGCGATATTATCCAAGTAATTTTGTTTTTACACGTAAAATATATTATTTTTATTTTTAAATAGTTGAAGTTTGGTGACTTGCTATTTTTTGTTTCAATTTATTTGTTGTACTATTACTACCATTCTTTATAAAAATATACAATTATCTATCACATTAAAATATTATTTAAATTTAAAATTCAAAACAAAATACATAAAGCGCCATCCGAATTAAGAAAAGAAAATAAAAAGAACCCTCATTTTAGTATATACTAAATATAATTCACTAAATTAAATTTGAAAATTTTGTACTAACAAAATAAATGTATATTAAATTAAGAGTTAAATTTGAAAACACTTACTAATAATATAATAAATACCAACATCAAGATTAATATTGAAAATTGATTTTCAAACCATATATATATATAATACATATTGGTTATAATATTTGGATCCAAATAAATTTAAATTAATGTTGCAACAACATTCAGATCGGCATTTGACATGTATGTCACACTTAAATTTCATGAAATACACTAACCACGTGTCCATTTTTCAACAATAAATTTCACGCCATCAAGCATTCTAATTAACGGAAGCTACTTAAATATATTCAAATATGGCAGAAACATGTTAAACCAGCACTCGACATGTATTAGGGTACGTGTCACACTCAAATTTCATGCATGAAATACACTAACCACGTGTCCATTTTTCAACAATAAATTTCACGCCGTCGAGCATTGTAATTAACGGAAGCTACTTAAGTATATTCAAATATGGTAGAAACATGCCAAACCAACACTCGACACGTATTAGGATACGTGTCACACTCAAATTCCATGCATGAAAAGAAAAAGAAAAAAAAAATTAGTCACGTGTTCATCAATATTTTCTAACAATAAATTCCATATCATCGAGCATTGTAATTAACGAAATCCAGTTGAATATTTTCAAAATATGGCAGTAACATGCGCAACCAACACTTGACACGTTTAGGCTACGTGTCGCACTCAAACTTCACGCATGAACCACGTGGCCACCTTCCTCTGTCGATAAATACCACGCCATCACATCTCTCGTTCTCACACCAAAATGAAATTGTAGCTTAGAGCTTCTGTTAGAAATCGCGTTCTCTTGTTTCATCGGCAAAGATCCTCGCTATTGATGATGTTTGGAATACGTTTCCTACGTTCTCATAGATACTATATTGGATTGGAATCATATTACAAATCAATCCATAGATTGCCCGCATTGTTTCTTTAAAGGTACGATTTCTAAATTATTACCATCTTCTTTGCCGTATACACTACATTGACTATGTTTACGCTCAATCTCCTTGTAGGAATTTTTTTCTTTTTCTTTTCATATGGGTCGTGGATCCATACGAACTATATTCCATCTATCGCAAGTGCTTACAAAATCAATTTTTTTCATTTATCAAACTTACTGACGTAAATTTTCTACGCCGTAGATGGATGCTACTGAACTATTACGAAAAGGCTTGGCGACGAAGCTGATGCACTCCTCGGATGCACCCGAGGAGAACACATGTCACCAGGTCGTATGGAATCTTCCCCTTCTCAGCCACCGTCTCTATCACGATTATAGACAATGGCAGAGTTTGGGATATCGGCCTGGGGTTGCCGTCGGGCTTACCGCCGCCGGTATATGTAAGGCCACTTCTCAGGCCATTACATTGCTTAGGCGGCTGTTCACGAACATCTCGACTCAGCTTCAAAATCTTTGTGAAATAATTGTTTGATGTGATATTTTGAAATAAAGTTGAAGTTAAGATGAGTTTTATTGAATGGAAAGATAATACCTAATGTAATGTAATCATAGTTTTGATTAGAGTGCTGATTAGAAATTTATCTGTACCATTGTCCAATTAATACATATATGTAATTGTTAGTTCTATTTTATAGTAATTTATATTTGTAGTGTGTTTGTTTGGGGTTTTGGATTTGTATTTGTGATTTGAATAGTAAAAAAATTAAATTTGAATAATTGTACGATGTGAAATAAATATATATTGATGTGATATTTTGAATGAAAATAATTTTTAGTATAATATAAAATAAAAAATAATTGTTTAATTTAATATTTAATAAAAATTTGAAAAATTTTATTGAAGAACACAGCTAATAGATTGTCAGATTTTGGGAAATGTTTGCCCAAACAGAGCTTTAAAATTGGAACAATGGTTGTAGTATAAATTGTAAGTAACGGCTGTCAATGGCGGCTCCATCGCTCGTGCCTCGCTGCGGGCTGATAAAACCACCACAATTAGGGACGCGATTTGCGGGAATCACATTTGGCACCGCCGTATCCCTGCGCGTCGCTGCTAGAATGGAATCGACAGCCGCCGATACGGCGGCTAGGGTTACGGAGAGCTCGGCGGAGGCGGCGGACACGGTGGTTCAGTACGTGGTGCTGCGTAGGGATTTAATTGATACCTGGCCGTTGGGAAGCGTGGTCACACAAGGATGCCATGCCTCCGTCGCTGCGATATGGCTCCATAAGAATGATCCCGACACTCTCCGCTACTGCGCCGATTCGAATCTCGATTCTATGCACAAGGTGATTTGTGCGTAACCCTAATCGTTGTTTCGAACCCTCTGTGTTCACCAATTTAGTCGAATTTGAATTCAAGGTTTTCTCTTTTACGGATTCATATGTAATGTGTCCAATCTATTATTTAATTTGTTTGTGGATAAATTTAGTGGAAATTTCTCCTGGACCGGAAGTATTCCAATTGAGATTTGGTGTAGATTTGCAGTTCTTAGTGATTGCTTGATTAGGGTTAAGGAGAATGTTTAGTTCACAGATGAGGTTTTTGAAGTTTGGGTCCTTTTTTGTTGTCAGATACATTGTTTAAGGAACTTAGATTCTCTGGTTGGATTTGGCTATGAAATACGTCAAATTGATGTGGGGTGTTGTGAGTTCTTGGATCCATGTCAAGTAGCTATAGCATATATCAGTTCTTATCTAGCTTTACATTTGTTTTGCTTGATCAGATCTATTTGAAACCCTAATTGTAATAGGGAATGTTTTTAGCTACAATATGTGAACCTGAAACTGGAAATGCATCCCGATAATCTCAAGAAATTTGTTGTCTGGGTTTCAAGAAATGGTACAATGTGAATCAGAGGCTTATTCGATAGAATTTTTTGTCGAATATTGAGAACCAAATAATTGCTCTGCTCTTTTACATTTCTCTGCTCCTCTAGCATGATCATCGAGCAATGAAACGAGTTTCCGCTGTCATAACTTCGTTATTTTGAGTAATCCAGGTTACTCTTGAAGTGAAAGGTGAAGCCCAGTTAGTAAACCTTTCGGAGAAGCTAAAAGCCGGTGGCATTGCTCATAAGCTATGGATCGAACAGCCGGAGAACATTCCCACATGCCTTGCCTCCAAACCCTACCCGAAGTCGATTGTATCGCCATTTTTCAAGAAGCTTAAGCTCTGTAAGTGATAGAATTTTGATATGTTCCAACACTACACACCAACATTGTTTCATCTTCTTGATCTCCCCTCAAAGTTGTATCTGTCAAATTTCTTTTACCCCCATTTTCATATGTACTCTTGACCTCAAACATGGAAACGTTAATGGTTATGGCGATTTATTTCTTAAACCTAAGTGCAATTGCCCAAGAAAAATGGTTCTTGGGGGCTCCCGGGAGCTCAGCTCCCGGCAGCCATGGATGAACTCAAGCAGAATTAGGGTTTGCAGGAAATAAAATCAAACAGAAGAGATCGATCGTACATATCCAAATCAATCAGAGTGGTCGATTCAGCTTCAAAAGGTTAGTTTAATTACATCGTAATTTGTCTTACAGAGTTCTTAGCACTAAAAGTTACTCGAAACGCAGGAACAGAATTTCTACAGCACACGATAGTACGATACGATGCCGTCTATGTCTACTGGACGACGAGTCGCCTGGAGCAGATTGTGCAGTAGAATCTGCGCTTTGTCTTGAAATATAAAGGCACGAAGCACAGCCTCCACTCGCTCTGCACGTCCATCGCCTGCACCATCCCGCCGCAGTACGGACACGCCCCCGGCGCCGGCTGCCTTCCGACGACTCTCTCGTCCTCGTCGCACACGAACACCAGACACATCTCGATTTCTCGCAGGTAATCTTCAATTCCTCCTCGATTGTTGTTTATTTCTTCCGAATCGAAATTTAGGTATTCACGAGTTTATATAAAAGAGGAATCCTGGATCTCGTAAAAGCTAGAAAAGTGAGGAAATACTTACCGGAGTTGAAGATTCCACCATGGATTTATTTATTGCAGCGTAGATTATCTTCTTCACGCGGCGTTTACTCCGCGTAGGGATTTTGACAAATATCTCGAGAAGAAAATGATATCTTATTCGTTAAGTACCGAATCAGGTTCTAGAAAGTTCTCATCTTTGATTTGTCTGTTCAAAATAGATACATGGATAGATACATATATATATATATATGAATATGAATATGTTACTGTTCTTTAGAAGAATTAAACATGGTGGAATGAATGATCATGGCTTGGATTCCTGCAGGGAGATGACGGTTTCAAAGGCTCCTGCAAGGGCTCTAACTCTGTTCTTCCTCTGTTCTTGGAGCTTGCTGGCAGTCTCTTCGATCACGTCGTTCGATACCGCACTCTGTCTCGCCGCCGGCTGCGTTCTTGCCGGAGCTGCCGCGGGCTTCTCTTCTTTCGGTATTGGCGCTTCCGCCAGCTTCTCTTCTTTCGTTCTTGTTTCGGTATTTGACGCCATTGTTGTTTCTCCTTCTTCTTCCTTCGGTTGAACCTCTTTTGCGCTGTCGGTGCCTGATTCGCGCGCCATCTGTTCTTTCGAGGCCTCCTGATTGCTCGTTGTAATGTCTCCAGCTTGTGGTTTATTTTTTGTCGCCTGTGTTTGAGCGTCGGGAGAGATTTCTTCGTGTTCGGTTGAAATGTTGAGGTTGTCTTGCTGTTCTGAATCGATCGATGGTTCCGAGGCTGCTGCGGTGTAGCCGGTGGCAGTGGAAGTAGCGTCATCTTTAGGCTCGGATAATGCGGGAGGCGCGTCGACAGCTGCGATCGCAACCTCTTTAGGGTTGGAAAGGGTCGGAGTCGAGTCGACAGCTGCAATCGCTTTGTCTTTGGCGTCATCTTTAGGCTCAGATAATGTCGGAGGAGAGTCGACAGCTGCTGTCGACTCGACGGCAACATCTTTGCCTTCATCTTTAGAATCCGATGACGTGAGAGGCGAGTCGTCAGCCGAAATTGTGACATCTTCGGGAGATTCTACACTTTCGATCTTCGATTCCTCATCCTTGTTGTCGTTGTTGTCTCTGTTGTGAGTCTGCTGAACATCGACAATTTCTTGATCGATCTCAATCTTCTCTGTTTCTACCCTTTCCTGTTTCGATTCGTCAATGGCGGATAACTGATCCAGGCCATCGTTAACGGGAATGTCTTCGACTTTCTCCCGAGGGCTGATCCCGACATGTTCCTTGCCTGTCGAAGAGCCTCTTCGAGCCTCGGGCTTCTTTATGCCGCTCGAAGCGCTCTTCACCGTATTGACAGGCATCCCGTTGCGCGCCACGTGCTGCTTACCCGCGTTCCGAACCGGAGCTTTCGAATTCCCATCCGCAGCTGGTCTTCCCGTAACCCGAGGAGTCGGGATCAGCGATCCCCGCAGCTGCTGCATAGATCTCCCCGGAGACGAGGATGAAGATGAAGACGACGACAATGATGACCGCGGGGTCGGACTCAACGAGCCACGCGGCTTACGTGCGCCGGAAGGCGGTGCCGTTGGCTTGTCGAACGACCTTCTCCTGACGACCGTCGGCTTGTTAGCTGTGTCGGTGGCGGAAACGGGCTTCTTGCCCGGCTGTGGCCTGGAAGCGTCCGGCGTAGGCTTAACACGGTTTGGGGGACATTTGGTAGATGATGAACCGGAGGCTGCGGCAGGCGCCGGAGAACCCATTGGGGTTTTCCGGCGGGGGCCGGTCGCCGCCGGCGCCGGCAGCTTTGAAGATGTTGGCCTCTTGTCTTTAGGTACAGTGTCTCTACCCCTTGTTGCCATCTTTATTGATTCTATATATATATATAATAATTTCTTACCTGCAAGAACAAGAAAATGATCAAAGAGACATTCTTGAGATAATCGAAAGGGCAAAATTTTCTTGTTCTAATAATAATTATGAATATTATTTTTATGAAGACAAGAAATTAATCTTGTTTGTACCAATAATGAGTGCAAAAACAAGGGTGAGGGGGGATTGGTATGTGTATGTATTGTAGGCTACAAACACAACCAACAATGAGGGGTCTTTGTGGTGAAGATTTATGTAGGAAAATTAGATGAATTAGAAAAAAAAAGAATAAATATGATTGTTGGAAATGAAAATAATAATAGTAATAACAGATGGGTGATGGAAATTTTGGTTGGTTTTGTTGAAAATCATTGCGTAAATTGTGTTTTGCCCAACATGCACAAATACAATACACATTTGCTATTTATTTATTTCATGGGGATGGATCTTATGCTAAATTTAGGATTTTGTGTTTTTCTTTTAAATTCGTGTTCGTTGATTTAAAATCAGAATGTGTTTGAATTTATATTACAATTAAAAGGTTTGAAAAATAAAAAATGATGGAGGAGAAATAGATAATAAATCGAAAAAAGTAAATATATATATATATGAGAATGGTTACGGTGCTGATTTGACCATGCTAGCATGTTCTTATTACGTACAACAATGTGTTATGTGTAATAAAAGTATGTGATGTTTGTTAATAATTACATGTGAGTTATATAATAGTATGTGATGTGCTAAAATTTGTGTGTTGTACGTGACTATAGCATTTGTTGTTAGTTCATGTATTATATAAATATATATAATATGTTGTTTGTAATAATATTGTATGATGTCAGATAATACGATGATATGTAGCACTGTGTATATATATATATATATATCTGTAATGACTTATACAAAAGGGGAAATAATAGAATAAAAACTAAAAGTGACATCTATAGTAAAAAATTCAGTTCAAAGTTAGGTAGAATTTGTGTAATGAGTATATAATTAGTTAATCATTTGAGTAAACAATACCAATAATTTAAACTTCAATCAAATTAAAATTAGCTGTGTTTATTTGATGTATTGAAGATAACATTTTTAAAATTTTAAAAGCATTAAAAATTATATAATATGAAAACATATTTAAAAGATAAAATAAACACAATCCCCAAATATCCTCTCACAATATGACATAATCTTATTTATTGCATTATATTAAATCACGCAATCATATTAAAGCTTTACCAACAAAAATAAAATAAATGCTAATTAGGGGACCCTCACCCTACCCACAAAACATGATGCACCATTCATTGAAAATTATTCAATATTATTATTATTATTATTCAAATATAATCTATTTATTTATTAAAATTTTATTATTATTTTATTCTATTGGCTCAATTTATTGGAAATTCCTCAACAAATGAAATGAAAAAATAGGTAGAGATAATGACATATAATAATCACAGCAAAGAAAGCAATTAGGATTGGCAAATAAACTTTGGATGGGTTTGGAAGTGGACAAGTGTTGCATACAAACCACATCCATTTTAGTGGTGGGGTTTTCTTTCATATTATCACTTTTTTTAAATAAATAAATAAATCATTTTCATAAAAATATTTTTAAAAAATAAAAATAAATTGTATATTCGTGTGTGTGTTTAAAATTCCAAATAAATATAATGTTAGGGGGTGTGGGACAGTGGGTGGGTTGGTTGATTGTCCCCACAAAGAGACAATAACCTAAATACCAAATACCAAATATTCATATCAAATAACAATAACACCTAAAGAAGAAAGTCAATTTTTACTTTCAAATAAATATTATTTATTTTTCTAAAAAATAATATACCACTTTTAATAAATTGAGAATAAAAAAAAAATTATTGTTGTGTTTAGATGTGTCTATTCTTTATATTATGCATAAAAAAAAACTATATTCATTAATATAAAAAATATATTTTTTGTCCATCGAAAAGAATTATACTATTTACTTTTGAATGTCCATTTACAAAAGTCATATTTCTTTATTTAATAATATCAATTCTAATATCCATTTCAAATATCATTTCGATCATATTTATTTATATAAATATTATTTCATCAAATAAACCAATAAGGTAAAATTGTCATTTAATATAAAATACAATCATTTGTGATTAAATATTATATATTTTATTCACTAGTAAATTTTTTATTTGAATTTTGCACGTAAATTAAAATAAATTAATATTTTCAAATTTTAATTTAAATAAACTAAAATAACAAATGAAAAATTTATTGAATTATGGATGAACAAAATATATGTATTTATATATTTTTAACAAAGGATATATATAAGTCAACCTATATTTATTTAGTAACTTACATTGCATATTTTTCTCCATCTTTACTTAACTTTCTAAGGGTTTACTTTTTCAGTAACTTTTAAATGGTAATAAAACAGAAATAAAAAAAATGAAAAATAAAATAAAATAATTAATTTGTAACATTCATTTTTGACTTAGTTGACAACCCTAGCACTACTAACCAAATCTCTATATCTATGCATATATATATATATATATATGGTGGGACAGCCCTCAATCGCTGACCGTCGATTCCCGATGGGGAAGATCGGACGGCCGAAAGTCGCTCACGAGATACAAAAGGCAGGACGGCAATTTAGCAGACGTCTGTTGAGGATTTGTTATATGCTTTAATGGCTGTCTCGTCTTCTGCCTGCAATTCATCGCTCTTTTTCTAAAATTCTGTATAGGATCTTCTTCGACGTATCTGGGTGTGCGTGCCTGTGTTCGTGCGTCTGTCTACGTAGGAAAGAAATATTTGCGGGATATGCGTGCAGAATTGCAGACATACATGGCGCTCGCTGCATAGTTCGTGCTGTGGAAGGACGACACGGAGGCTTCTAGCGTATCGGGAACTGTGATTGGAATTGGAATTGGAATTGGAATTGAAATTGAGGAAGGAATAAAGAAATTGAAATACGTAAACGAGTGTTGAGGCGAACAAGGTACTGTGGCAATTGGACTGCGATTCGATTGGTTTGTGTTTATTTTTATTTTTTTTCGGTTTTCAGATTAATTTCTCGATTCTGATTGGAATATGGTTGCGTGAATTGAATTTCTTCGGCTGCGTGGTTTTCCGAGTGACGAGGTTGATTCGTCTGCCTTATTGGTGGATTTTGATTTGTGATTCTTCTGGTTTGCGAATTCCTTGTTCGATTACTACTCGTTTGTGTTGTGTGCGTTGGTGTGGAGTTAAGGTTGGTGAAGCTTCATGATCCTTCGCTGAGCAGTCACTTTGTTGTGGTTTTATAGGTGTCTGATTGATTGCGTATATCTTTTTATTTAGGTTTGTTTAATTTCCTCTTCTGTTTACTTCAATTTTGAGGAATTTCTTCTTCCATGTGGTGTTTATACTCAAAACTTTTATACACAGACGCCATGGGGATTGTTTGAGGTTGAAGAAAATTTTCAGAAAAGTCATTTTTGCTTGAATTTTGTGGTCACTTTGATTCTGGTAAAGTGTTTCTTTAAGCAATCGAATAAGATAAGTGTAAATATACAGAGTTGCAGAATGAAGAAGGAATTGAAGCCTCTTAAAAACAGCTTTGAAATATGACAAGATCACTTTGACTGTATGAACAGCTTGTCTTTTTCACAAATTGTAATTCTTGATTGTTTTTAACCTTGTGGGACTTCAGTTTGCTATGTTTTTTGGGTGTTGACTTGCTTGCTGTTGTTGTTTCTTCCATGGAAATGCAAGTAATTATTATTAGGATACTTTCATTGATGCTTTGGGGAAACTGGATTTTGTATTTTGTGCTTAACTAACATGTTTTGTTGGCTGCTTGTCGATTGAAATGTGTTGTATTTATTAACTTATTGAAATCTTGGATGTATTCGCGCGACGTATCGATTTGATAGTAGCCTTTATCCATTGAATGAAATGAGTTTCATTAAATAAGTAGTTTCAATTTTAGGATGTTGTTGTTGTTGCTTATGATCATCTAAAGGATTGAATTTGTTCGACTGTTATCCGTTATCGTGGTTAAGATTATCTTCAAGATTAGATTAGGAAATTGAATTAGAGATGGAAGGCTATATTTATAACATATTTCTTATTCGTTCAATGAAATGGGTTTCATTAAATAAGTAGTGGCTCGATTTCGATCCGCTGTTATTGTTATTATGATCGTTCTTGCTTATATTCATGTAGAGGCTCGATTTCGATCCGCTGTTATCTGTTATCATGGTTAAGATTATCTTCAAGATTAGATTAGGAAATTGAATTAGAGATTGAAGGCTACATATATAGCATATTTGCTATCCGTTTGACGATAAAATGAGTTTCATAACTTTCATTAATTAAGTTTATCGTCTTTGGGCCTTTTGTTGTTATTGTTACTATGATTGTTCTTGCTTTAATTCATGTAAAGACTCGAATTCGATTCACTGCTATACATTTTCATGGTTAAGATTATCTTCAAGATTAGATTAGGAAAATTGAATTCGAGATGGAGGCTAATAACCTTCAATTCTTTGTCTATTACTGCAGAAATAGAGGATCGCAAGAACTGATATGGATCGATACTCTAGTAAAAAGGTTGCAGGCGGACTTGTGATGCGCAGAAAAGGATGCGCGTCTTTTAAGGATGCAGCTACACATGAAAATGATCGAGGTGCTCAATTTTGCAACAGAATTGGATGCCATGGAAGAATTAAGTACTGTCAGAATGCTAAAACTGGAGGCTCTGATAAGGCCAAACTATCGAAATCTTCTTCTCGAAGTTCAAATGGAAATGAAGTAGTCAGGAAATCCACTTCAAGTTGTTCTACGATACCCGGTGCAAAAAAATCGAATCTTGATTCCAAGAGGAAGTTGTCTTCTCCGCCAAATATCGATTCTACTGAAAGTAGTGTATCCAGCGAGTCTGAAGCTTCCGACTTATCTCAAGCATCGAAGTCGGGAGAGGTTACAGTTGCCGACTCCGGGAGCTCCAAGACGACATCAAATATCAGAAGAAAATTTCATCCTAAATCGAGGGTAAACCAAAATACTCTCCCATCATTACCCCTCCCGCCGGCTTCTAGAAGCTCTTGCAGTTCGAGGAATGTCAAATGTAATTCAGTGTCCGGAAATCCAGCACGATGCTCGTCTCTAGAGCCCGAGCCTGCTGCTAAAAATAGGATGAAGAAGAGAAGTTCAGATGGAGAAAACAGCTTGTCCCGTAATGTCGGCAAGACTAATGCTGCCTCTGTATTACCTCAGATGTCGAAAAATGGAAACACGAGACTGTTTTCTCGACAAAATGGAAGAAACGGTTTGTCTGCTCGACAGCCGGCTGATAAAGGAACAACTTTTAACAACGGCTGCAGCTCGACGAATTTGAAACGAAGCATTTTCATGGGGGAGGGAAGCGGCGGCCCAGCCTCGGGTAGAACCCGAAGAACTATGAACGGTAATACTTCCCGACTAAATGGAGGGACTAATAGTTTGTCGATTCGACAACCCGACGCCCGGGTCCCGCAAGCTTCGTGGCTAGAAAATTCAGTACAGTCGTTTCCCGGAGGCGATTCGAGATCTTATATCGTTTCCGGCAATAATGGCAATAATCCATCTGCTGCGTTACCTCACGACTATCTGTACCGTTACAACAACGAGGGAGTTTCCGAGGTATCGATCGATATATTATTCCTTTTTTCGTATAAAGAATGAAAGAAGAAAATGACGGCGCGTTTTTTTGGTATCTGTTGCAGTTGTTATTAGCTCTCGACAGAGTCGATCAACACCAACTTACACATGAGGTACACAATAATTTTTGCATTTCGGCGTATTCTCGATTCTCGACTATATTTACGATTCTATACGTAATGTCGTCGACGTTGAACAGCAAATACTTGCTTTGGAAACAACTTTGTTCCACGACAGCTACAACTCCAACGACCACCACGGGAGCTACAACGCCTACGACCGGCACCATGGCATGAGGATGGATATCGATAACATGTCGTACGAGGTCAATATTTAATTTCTCGATTTTAATTACGATTAATTAAGGTCATTCATACGTAAATACATACGCTTCGACGTCGATCAGGAACTATTAGAGCTAGGCGAGCGAATGGGCACGGTGAGCACGGCGCTCTCGGAGGAAGCGTTGTCGAACTGCCTTAAGAAAAGCGCGTACCAGCCGACGCCGTCGAAATCGAAACCTTGCGGGGATTGCGACGGAGGTGGCGAAAACGACGACGACGACGCCAAATGCAGCATTTGCCAGGTTACGTCCTACCCGCATTCTCTCGATTAGTTCCTTTCGGTCGATTCGAATCATCGTAATGACGACGCAACGTCCGGGTGCTTCTTTTTTGCAGGAGGAATACGTAACTGGCGATGAGATCGGGAGGTTAGTCGAATGCTGCCATGGATACCACGCGACGTGCATAAACCAGTGGCTGAGGATGAAGAACTGGTGCCCGATTTGCAAGGCGGCGGCGGCACCTGCGGCGGCAGCACCGTCGCCGGCGAGATGGACGCCGAGATGGACGTAGATATGAAAGTACTCACTGCCATGTTCTTGTATGGTAATATTGACTGTGAATAATTTACTTATGAATTCTGATGATGTCTCTCATTTGAACAGAACCGATCAATCTTAATAATGGTAATGTCATGTTATTGTGTGGATGGTTCTACATTGTTCTTAATTTAATTTAAATAGAGTAAGAGAAAACTTATAATATGATATATATTATATATATATATTCAATTATAATTTGAACTTCTTTGAGTTGTTACTATACGTATATAGCTAATTGTCTTGTATGAACACGTTATTATGCTTCTTTATTTATGACAAAAATAAATATGAAGGGTGGATTTTTTCTAACAAAAAAAATATATTTATATATCATTATATTTATTATTTTTATATTTTTTACACAAATTTTCATAGTTGACTATAAAAAAATATTTTTTCCAATTATCACACAAAACCAACACACCTTAAAATTTTACTATTACACAAAAGTAATAAATTTTTATTATGCTTCTTTTTTTGTGAATCAAAATTGAAACCAACATTAGGATCTTATTTACCATACATATATTCTTTTCTACACATGTTTTGTGAAAATATATATATTTTTAAAAAATATATGAAAAAAAAAAGAAGATTTGAAAAAAAATATATATAAAATATCTTACTACACATAACAAAAAAATTACACCCTTATATTTTAAAATATTTAATTCATTATGTTTTATTTTTTTTTAAAAAAAAGATTATTATATCCAAATACTTATTTTTCGTTTAAAATATAATATAACATCCAAAAAAGTATTTTCCCTTAAAAATATTAAAATAAAAATGCAAGCCCATAGTTCTCCCGTGTTTTTTTTTTTATTAATTAAAAATATCTCCAAACGCGCCTTCATCTCAAACCCCAATACCTCCCCACCGAACCGGACCCGTTACAACCGGTTCGGTCAAAAAACCCGCACCGCATACGATTGCGCTTGCGCAAGCACTAAACGACGCCGTCTTTATCCGTCCCTATAAATACACAAATACGTTGAAATTTCCATTCTTTAGACACAAATAAAAAGCTCAATTCCCATTATTCAAATCTACGTAGGGCAACAGGGTTGAGTAAAACCCTCGTCGGATTTCCCCTTCTTCACCAAGTCTACAAATCGGCAGCAGCAGCAGCAGCGATGCCAGGATTGGCGTGCAACGCGTGCAACAAGGAATTTGCAGACGAGGTCGAGCAGAAGCTCCATTACAAATCAGAATGGCATCGCTACAATCTCAAGCGGAAGGTATACTATTCGCCTTTTGTTTTGTATTTTGATCGCTGTGGTAGGGTTTTTTGCGTCCTCGTTTCCATGGCGGCTGTTAGAATTTAGATAGAGGTGCTTTTCGATTCTGGAATTTATGTGGTTCTCGATAGGTTTAATTTTTAATGTTCTCGTTCGCGGTGCTTCTATTATTGTCGACATATATAGAGTAAATTTATCTGAGTAAAAATTGATTTATTAGAAGTTGCAGTTAGGGTAGAATGAAAAGTTAGCTCTAATGTTGGTTGAACAAGGAGTAATTCCAATTAGGTTTTCGGAGTAATCCAAAGAAAAGTTTGTGGAGTTCTGTTGTCTAGAGTTAATATTAATGGTGGTTTTATTCTCATTCTATGTACTATTTGTTTAGTACAGGTTGCCGGTGTCCCCGGCGTCACCGAAGCACTCTTCCTAGCTAGACAATCAGCCATGGCTGAAGAGAAACGAAAACTAGATGAAAGTCCTATGTTGTATAGCTGTGTAATTTGTGGTAAGGAATATAGAAGCTCGAAAGCCCACGAACAGCACCTGAATTCTAAAACTCATCTACTGCGAGTTTCTGGAGCAACTAGTAGCAGCAACGAGGGAAGCACCGTAATAAAGCCTCTCCCACGCCGTGCTCCTAAAGAAAATGTGCGTCGTGTGGTGCAAGAAGATGAAGAAAGTGAAGAGAGTGAGTGGGAAGAAGTTGATCCGGACGAAGAAGTGTTGGGAGAAGCTGGTGATTCGTTGGGAAAGCTTAAGGTAGATGAGAATGAGAACAGTGACATGGACGAGGATGAAAATGATGACGATGAATACGAATATTTGGATCCATCTTGTTGCTTTATGTGTGATTTAGAGCACGATACAATTGAAAGCTGTATGGTACACATGCACAAGCAGCACGGGTTCTTCATTCCTGATATCGAGTATCTGAAGGATCCCAGAGGTCTTCTGACCTACCTCGGCCTCAAGGTAATGACAAGGATTTATATCTTTTATTTTTATGTCAAGATTGTGTTTTTCGAAGGATAATACCTTATAAACTTTCTGTTGTCTTTTATATGATTCTGACTTTGAATTACTTTAGGTTAAAAGGGATCACTTGTGTTTATACTGCAACGAAAGATGCCATCCTTTCACTAGTTTGGAGGCAGTTCGGAAGCATATGGAGGCCAAAAGCCACTGCAAAGTGCACTACGGAGATGGCACTGAAGAAGAAGAGGCAGAATTAGAAGAGTTCTACGATTACAGCAGCAGGTATACAATTTTCATCTAGTTTTGTTCTAATTAGAATGATTGCTGAATTGTCGATTACCATATTGCCATTAGACATTACAAAAGAACCTTTAATTCGTCACTCATTACTCGATCCTTTTTTTTTTTTCCGGTGTAAAGTTATGTGGATGCTGAAGGGAAGCAGCTTGTGACGGTTGGGGACACACAGAACACTGTTGAACTTGGCAGTGGTGGATCGGAACTAATTATTACTAGAACAAGCGATAGGTCAACAGTGACCAAAATGCTCGGTTCTAGGGAATTTTTGAAATACTACCGGCAGAAACCACGCCCGACACCTGCAAATGGTGCCATAACCGCTGCCCTAGCCTCAAGGTAACAATAGAGGAAACATTAACCGAAAAGAAACCCTATGATCTTATACTTGTTTTGTTGTTGAGATGCAAAACAAGACAAGAATAGTATACAAATCCCTACCCCCATATGTTGAAGTAGAAGATAACATTCTGGAATGTGTTTTTTTTTTTTTTTTTTTTTGTCGCAGGTATAAGAGCATGGGACTGGCAACTGTGCAGTCGAAAGAAAATGTGGTTCGGATGAAAGTAATGAAAGCAATGAACAGAAGTGGTGTAGAAGCGATGCGCACTAAAATTGGTATGAAGAGTAATGTTATTCGCAACCTCCCCAAGAATGTCCCATATTAATTCTTGTCGCTCTTTTGGTTGCTTCGTTTTACTATCGAATTCTATGCTCGAGAACTCGAGTATAGCTTCATATCTTGGGCTTAAGACTTTTATGACTAAAATGTTATGTTGATTAGAGACTAGTTTGATGCCAATGTGTTCAAAGTTTGATAATGTTTTGGTATAATTTAAATGTTTTTGAATCTCATGAGTTTGGAACATTTATACCATTAAAGTTTGATCATCTTGTACTACTCTTTAAGACTATATGAAGAGATTTTGAAGTTTATTTGCATGATCATAAACTTCAATATTTTATTATTATTATTATTATTATTATTATTATTATTATTAAAGAGTGAAAATTATGTTGATATTATTGTTTGATTCCAGTATCATTATTCATTGTTCATAAAATTATTTTTACTATTTAAAGTTTGGTGCGATTCACCACTAAGAAATGGTGGTTATGATTTATTCCATATACAGTTCTTTGTTCCATATTGTTTCCAACTTTAAAATGAGCTTACTAGATTGAGATAAGTCCAATTCATTTATTTATTTTTTTCTTCTTAAAATAACAAAATAATCATAGAATGTTGCCCCAACGAGTCTACACTCAACCCATCACAAAAGGCTTTTAAACATCAATTTTATAGTGATATTCATTCTAAATTAGTTATGATTGGGATCATGTTTACCATGAAGTTTATGTCTAAAAATATTACCATAAATGATAGTAAGAAATTGTTAATACAAAATGGTAAAAAATTAATAAGGGTTTATTTTTTTGTAATTTTAGATTAAAAGTAATACTATTTACTTCGCAATGATATAAAAAAGGGGTTGTCTGGATAAGAGATCATATGTGAATGTTTTAAAGGAAAATAAAATTAAAAAAAAAAAAAAGAAAGGACAAATCCAACCAAACAGATATTCAAGGGGAAAAAAAAAAAAGTACAAATCCAACGAAACATCATATTCATAAATTCAATTATGAAAATCATATCGAGACGAACACTCCTATAGAAATTGAAATAAACGTGACAAACCGTACCCCACTTGATAATTATCATTCCAATAAAAATTGAAATAAACATGACAAACCGTACCCCACTTGATAATTATTCACCAATAGACCAAAAATAAATAAAAATAAAAACCTAAAAAAAAAACAATAGGCCAAAGAACTCTATACCAAGCAACATACAATTTTTTATTTTATTTTTCTTTTAAAGTTGGATGTTGAAATAAACTATTATCAGATTCGAAAGTCCTAGTCAGCTTATCCAAATTTGCCCACACACAACAATATAATAACGTGGCCACTTTTAGACTTCGTCAGCAAGATGAACATGATCAATTGTTCAATTACTATCCAAATTTATGTTTTTTTTTTTTTTTAAGTTTTCCAATAAAATACTACTCTCTCCGTCTCAAACACCCTTCTAAAATAGAAAATAATTAATAATATTTAATCTCTACCTCCGCACTTTATCCTTTCACATTATCCAAATAAAAAAATAAAATATACATTTCTCTCCGTTACATCACCTAATTTCTAAATTATCGTACTTAATACTACCACCCTAAAAGTCCGTGCCAAAAATAAATGTTGTACCTTGTTTGGGACGGATGGAGTATTATATTATTTTTTAAAGTAATAAAAAAAATAAAAAATTGCACTATTTGTTACTACAAAAATGCTAAAACATATGTCCATATGTTAACATATATGAGCACAAAATTAAACAATGAAGAGAGTAGAATAAATGACATCCACAAAACCCCAAAAGCACAGAAAGCAACTGAAAGAGACCCTCTAATTCTAAAGCCTAAAATTCCTGAGAGTTCCCCACTTGTCATCATTCATAATGGAATATTATGCCTAAAAATTCCAATCCCTTTCTTGTCACAATGCCATTATTTAATTCATCACCAAGTTTAGCTAACAGCTGTAGAATCCATGGCCAGATATTGCTTACTGTCTATGAAATATAAAAATAAAATAAAACTTGCAAAAAGCAATTCTTGCACTCCAAAAATTCTCCAATTAAATTATATCATTTCTTGCACTTCTACCTGTTCGTTCTTATGTCATTCTTGCTTCAAACTTTTAATTTTCTTTTCTTTGTATTTCCCTAATGTCTCTTATGGCAATGCAATATTCAGTAATGAGATGTGACAAGATGAGATAAAGAAATAACCACAATTTAATTCTGAAAGAAATAACTACTGATAAAGATAAGATAAGAGAGTCACATAGGAATTTATGTAGAAAGTACTGAAGAGGAAAGGGCAACCTGATGAATTGTGTTTTCAAGGAGTTTCCCTCTTTCTACTTATACGACAGCTACGACGGCGGCTGCTAATCTGTTGTAGAATTAACGGAAATTTGGTGAAGTGCATCGACAAATGTAAATGAGGTTGCTATAGGAAGATAGATGGAAATGTCTCAATAGATAATGTATAGAGGTAGCGTGTGTTCAGTTTACCTAGTTGTCATAAAAGCGCGAGCGCCGCCAATGAGAGCTGCAACACCAGGTCGGTATTTGTAAGAAACAAAATATAAAGTGAGAAATTCAGTTTCTGACAAACCTAATTTTATGATCAAAACCATTATAACTGTAGCCTTATTGTTACCATAGAGGGATCGATATTTGCGACACATAACATGCATAAATGTAATATTAAAGACGATATCTATACCTTTTTTCTGTATTTGACCTCACATTAGTATTCACCATAGTTTTTAAGAAACCATTGATTGCGTATAAAGCAATATTGCTCCAATATAATTCCAAGCTTGTCCACGGCTAATAATGAGCTATAAGTTCTAGTCTCCGGTCTTGAGCTATTCTCGCCAGAACGAAATTCTTAATTTCATTATTACAAGGCCTATCAGGATGTTCTATTCCACAAAGCATTAATAGATTTGTTAATACCCAACAAATGTATATGACGAAGAATTTACTAACCAATCGATTGTACATGATGAATTTCAATGTGGAAACTGGAACTATTAGGCATAGATAAACTTTTGCTATTTCTCTGTTCTGTTACTCAGGAGATAATGAAGGCGAATAGTAGTTATAGTGTTATACAAAGTCGCTTCACTAACCTCTGTCGAGCAGCTCTTCCCCGAGGCAGTGACCTTGCATTCACAAACTCATCATCAGCCTCATCAACCCTATAATCCGCATACTCCACAGATGATACAGAACCCTCATCGGAGTTTGAAGTATCAAAACTCAACCGGTTGTTTCCTCTTCCCGAATCGCTCACTCTTGACCGTCTTCGGTTTCTTGAAGTCCTAAAGTTATCAAACACCTGATATAGTATACAGGATGTCCACCAGTTTCCCTCATCCCCCGGGAAATCATCGAATTCATCCCCAGAGTTATCATCCCCATATTCGATCACATAATCCCCCAGAACCACCCCACGTGGAACCTCCGAATGGATAGTGCTTAAAACATCTATGATTTGAGAAGACTGCTGGAAGTTATCCCAGTCAAGCTGACGTGCTGGATCGATTCTTGAGGGGCAAGAATGAGGGTGTTCTGCGAGCGCATGAGTTTGAAGCTCCAAAAAGGTGCCTGTGAACGCACATTTTTCCTCTTCACAACATCGAATCTTCTTATCCAAATGCATACGAGCCTTTTCCACAACAATCCATCCAGTTACTTCACCTCTGCACAAGGGGCACTGCGGCTTGCTATCAGATCCCGGATCCAGAAATTGCAGATTTTCAGCAGAACTCGGTGATTGAGAACCAGAGGACACCTGATTTGCCTGTTTGAAACGGTCCAGACAATTGGAAAGCAGATGGTCTGTATCACAAACAAAAGATCGGCATCCCTTTTCAAATGACGAGCATTGGAGGAGAACAGCATTGTGGGGAAAGTTTAAGCATATCGGACAGGAGATATCTTCCCAGTTGGTATACAACTGAATCTCCTCCACCTCAGTTATACTTTGTTTCGAGTTGTCTTCCATCATATGTTTTGCAGAAAGATGCTGAAACATCGAGAGACAAAAATTAATGCTTTCATAAATATATATAAAAAATGATCCCTATGTGTTCACAAATCAGAATCGAACCCTTAAATCATAGGATCACTGTGGCATTCAAGTAACATTTACTCTCCTTATCTCAAAAATGTCTCTTCTACTAAAAATATTCGAAAAATAACCAAAAACCAGTCGCGACATCAAAACACTCTCCTCTAAGACAAACAAAGAACAATTTTATCTCTTGCTTTTCCACATGTTTACAGAAGAAAGTAGACTCGCATCATCATCCACCACTTTTCAAATAGTTAACATTTCCATAACCAGCAGACAGCCATAAAAGCCCCAACACCTCACATCATTGGCATTTATGCATAATCCAAGCCATTAAAAATCATATATTAACATCTTTCGATCTTAATCAGATTCCTACACTAAACATCCAGAGTTCTCCAAAATCAGTCAACCTTTTCAAAGCAACAACAAGCACCACAAACTAAGGCGTATTCTTTTAACCAATAATTTGCATCAAAAAAAAAAAAAAACAGAATATTCCAACTCACGATGAGTCAATTTTCGCCTCTAAAAAAATCCACACGCACTACTCAAAACCAGAAGCTGCCACACACAATTATCACAAACAATTCAAAACACATCAAACGCATACATAACAGCATCGCGAAAAATATAAATAAATGAACAAAAAAGTAAGCTCAAACAAGTCAAGGTCAATGTTACCCAGCAGTCAGTAAACGAGCTGAGCTACCGTGGACGATAATTGGAGATCAAATTGGGTGAGGTTGTGCACGCAGGAATGGCGATAGGCAGACGAACATGGTCAATTGAAATTTGGAGAAGAAGAAAAGCTGAAGGAAAGGAGAGTTTGGGGAACGGAGAAAGTGAAAACGATGGAATGGGCTTCTGTTTTATAAAGGCGGTTGAAAATAGATTGCTGTTATGAGGGCATTTCAGTCATTTCAGTTGGTGTCAGTCATTTGTCACAGGCTTGTCGATTGAATTAAATTTTAATTCGGTCAAGCGTGGTGCTTTTATCGATTAGTGCCTCCCCCATCCACGAAATTTACAAATGTTTTTTTCGTTTGTCTGAAAAAAAAAAATAAAATATATATATATATATATACATGTATTTTTTTACTTATAATTTTATTTACCTTTTAATCTTATTACTATTTATTTAAAAGAAAAAACTTACATATTTTATTTATTTCTAATATTTTCAGTCAATGCGTGTTAATAGCTTTGTTTTTCTATTTTTTATTTTTATTTTTCTAAAAATATTAATATTCTACAGGTATTCAGTATTTATCTTACATAAATTTTTTTTTAATATTCTTACAAAAACAAACGCAGCCAATAAATAAATAAATACGTACGGAATAGCATTTATATATTTATTTATATTAAGTTTTTTATTATTTAACATTTAAAGTTCTATTCAAATTCTACAATCAAACACACCTTATAAATTATAAAATGTTTTAATTATAATAAAAAGAATGACAATTCGGACCACACAGGTTATAAAGTAATAGCCTATGGTCCGGTTTGAAACCAAGCCTGAATATTTAGGCCCGAGCGTGATCCGGTTGAAACAAAACCGTGTCAGGCCCGTCAAGTTACTCATAATTTCATTGAATATGTTCCCTGTTGTTAGGCTATCTCCAACCATGTTTCATATCTGACATTTCAATACCATTTTTGCCGCCGAGCTGCTCTAATCCAGTGCCATTTTCAGCATCAGATTTAGAGTTTGCTACAGTGCAACACCATTTTTTTGTGTTGCACTGTAGCAAATGCCATTTTTTTTTATTTTTTAAAATTATAAATTTAATTTTTATTTTTTAAAATTTTTTTAAAATTTATTTTAAATTATAAAAATAAAAAGTTGTTTAAAATAATAAAAAAATAGAATATTTGAAGAACAATAGTAAAAAATTGACTTATGGTTGAAGTAAAATTACTTAGCAACTGTATATTTGGAGTTAAAACTAGATAAATAGAGATGATGGGTTGGAGATGGCCTTATACAATTTAGGTTATAATTGATTTGTTGAAGTTTTAACTTAGAAATTAAAGAGAACAGAGAAATAATGTAATAAAGTAAGTATATTTATTGTAAATAAATATTGAACTAAAAATTAAGTAAATCTAAGGAATAGACAAAAATAATAATAATAAAAATGACGGACTTATGTTTTGGATTTTTGTTGTGTAAATTTTGTTCTAGACCATATGGTACATTCATAGCTTGGAATGTGCTTTACTTATTATAAACACAATTGAATTCTTTAAGATGTGCTTATGGCCTTATTTTTATTACGAAATGGATGTATTTATATATTATCAATTGATAGAAAAATTAATGTAATTTTGTATAGGTCGCGGATGATTATATTAATTTTGAAAACCTCGCTGCCAGATCATAAATTTAAATTCTGATAGTGATAGTGCGGGGAGTAATCTCGCACGTGAGATTATGAATTTAAATTTAGACTATTTCAGGTCCATCTGATATGTCGTCGTAATAAAAATATTTTAAATGTATTCATCCACTCCCAATCTAAATAGCTGTAAAAATATCTTAGATGTAAAAAAATACCATTGTCCATATTTATTCACTACCTAAATCAAAGGGTAATCAATCTAACGATCAGCTGCGTCCTAATCGGCACTAAAAATATTTAATAGTACTATTTTTAGTATTTTACTAAAAGAAGTAAAAAGAAAAATTAAATTAAAAAAATCCAAAAAGAGACCCAGAACGACGAAGTCCGTACGTATAAAATGAAGTAATAGAAGAGAACAGCGCACATAAAAGAAGAGAACTATCTGATAAATAAACGAATTTTCATTAATACCATTTCAAATTTCCTTCCCCAATCTTCCCCCAAATTCAAAATGCCGTCTTCTCGATCCGGCGCCGGCGGAAAAATCGTCACTAACCGCCGCAAGCAGCGCCTCGCGGCCACGCCGTACGACCGTCCACCTCCGCTCGCTGCTCCGCATCCTCCGCCAAAAAACCCTAATTGGTTTACCGGAAAGATTGTTCACTCCGCCCGCGCTATCTTTTCTGGCGCCGGGAGAATAATATCTTCCATCCTGTCGGATTCGGAATCGTCGTCTTCTGAAGACGAGGACTCGGCTTCAGGCACGCATTTTTTTCTCTACACTTTTCCATTTTTGGCTTCTGTTTTTACATACCTTTTGCTTTTATTGCTGGCCTCTTTGAAGTTTGGAGTGTTGTTGATTTCGAATTACACTGCGTGTGTGTGGAATTTACGCACGTGATTTGCTATTTTGTTGCATATCCTCACAGTAGGAAGTTCGTTAGTATTGAAGTGAAGTTTATGTACCTTTCGCACTAGGTGGATGTAGCTTAAGTCAATATGAAGGAGACAGTGGCATGGGAAAGATAGAAATTCAGAAATTAAGGATTCACTTCATTGAAATGTGTTGCCTACATTGTTATGTTATATAGGGCTTGTCCTAGCTCGAGACTGATTCATAAAATCGTTGTTACTGGATTTTGTGTGCCCAGTCATATTACAGTCTAGACGCCCCTTCAAATAGAAGAAAATATGAACATTGTTGATTAGTTGACAAAACTGGAAGTTGTATTACTATATTTAGCTTCTATTTTCCAACTTAACCGATTGCATTAGAAAATTGTTCAAGATTCCTTCATTAGGTTTGAAGTTTGTAAATTGCATTTTCCAATTTATGTCTTAAGTACCTCATACAAGATGTTATTAATTCATTCCCATGGCCTGGTTCCACATTTCATTTCTAAATGTATTATATGTTGCCTACATGTTGATTATACTCAATGTGTACACATCAGTTTATGAGTAGCATCTTTTAATATTTTTATTTTTTCACCCATCTCCCACTTTGTATGCGTCTCAACTTATCAGTCTTTTTTGTGTTGTAGAGGATGCTGTTGACAACGATAATCAGTACGGAGATGTAATTGGAAGATCGGACAAGGTGCATATATAAAAGTCATTATTAGAAATCTGTACTGGGTACCTTTGGATTTGATATCATGTTTCTTATAGCATGTGTGCTGTGCCTACAAATTGAGTTATGCATTCTCTTTTGTTGGAAGATACCAATAGTGTTCTTAGATATTCTTCTTTTCCTCAGTTTTGTATTTATGCTGTGTGTATTCTAAACAACAATACATTTTCTTTTCAATTGTTGTTTTTTAGTATTATTCTAACTATACATTCATTGTGCCTGTATTGAGTTGGGCTTTTCCCAGTAACGTAATTCTGAAACCCATGTAAATTTTAGAGAAAGAGGTTAGTATTTTCAGGAGGAAAATCATATTTAGAGTCATTTGTTTTTTTGGAGATTTTTCATGGATTTGATGTTAATTGTTGAGGAGATGAACTGAGCAAAACCTATGAAAATTGTACAGTTAGTTTTGAAATGTTTCCCTGTCATAAAATCTTGCATGGTGATAGCTGTGTGCGCTTTTGTCTCTGGGTTTGCAGTCTTATTTGGGCTTATATGGTATAAATTCTGTATCACTCGAAACATTCCAGATCTTTGAAAGGTTTGGGGTGTGTTTGGATGTGATTGTGGTGTTTTCTATTTGAGATGTTTTTAAATAAAAATAGGTTTTTGATCATTTTGTAGGAAAAAGATATCGAACTGTAGATTACAGTTTGTTAGGTGAAAGAAACCGCTGAACACACTCTTAACTGTTAGTCTGTTGAGTTTGAAAATTTTCTTACATACCAACATTGTTGTGTTGTGGAGGGTGAAAGGTATTGTTTAACAGAGGAGAACACTGTTCTATTCACTTTTTATATGACATCTTTGATGATGAAAGGAAAATGAATATTAATATTCTTGGCTTGGTTGGTATTCTAAAAGAAATTTGTTGCAGAAGAAGCTCTTCTTCATCGCTAGTTATTTGGCCAATATTTTTGTTAGCAAATGGTTGGCTTCCCCTCCCTTCTCTCTCTCTCCCCCTGTTACAAAAATATGATTTCATCAGAAATGGTGCATTATGGACAGGAACCTCAATTAACTGTGCGGCATGCTGAAACGAAAAGGTTGATCAAACAACTTATAATGCAGGAGATTTTTTCAAGGTAATGATAGGAAAATTTTGGTATATGATCCCTGCTTGGTAAGCTAGGTAGTTTTTATCCCTTAATTTCTTTTACCATACTACTCTAGATGGTTTTCCAGGTTTTCTTCGTTGATAAATGATGGTTTCTGAATAGAATTGTGACTTATAGTGATTTTGGTTTCTGCAATATTTTATATAATATATTAATTTTGACTTCATCTGTTAACAGACAAACAGTATTTGAGAACTTGTGAAATTCATCAGAGAATTCTTGACAATTTCCTTAAATACTACCCTGTAAACCAACTGTTTATAATATTGTAGAATGTAGACAATTCCTCAAAACCTCGAAATTGCTTTTGCATCATATAGTTCTTCATCATTTCCATTTTGTTCTGGAGTTTATATCAATTATTTTTTCTGCGCGCATACTTGATGCTCTCTATTCTGTTATCAACTTTGATCAAATATTCTCAGGTTACCTGAATTTAACAAATGAGCGGATGAATCGTTAGTATAAGTGTCTTTATGAGTGAAATCCATTAGTCATATTCTAATGCTATTTTGCACTATTTTTAGACTAGAGTATTTCAATTATGGAAGTAGTTTATTTCTCCTGCAAGTCTATTCCATTTGTCAATTTTATCCTTAATCTTCATTATTTGTAATCAGGGAAGAATGCGACGAGTTGATACGAGCCCTTAATTCACGAGTTTTGGGCTGCTCTACCGACGGAAAAGAGCAAAGTTCACTTGGGGCTCCGATTGGCAATGGTATTGCTTCTTAAGAAATTTGTCAATTTTTTCCATTTTGTGTTTTTTCCATTAATTGATGCATTTTTAAATCTCATGAGCAGAAGATGCGGATATATTTAATAAAGCTGTTGAGGAAGCTAAAAAATGGTTTCAAGAAAAGAAAGTGGGTTCAAGTTCAGCAACCCAGTTTACAAATGAAACTTCCAGACTTAGATCGGATGTGCTTGAATGGGTTCTGTCTTTCTCTTCTTCTTGAGTTTCACATCTAAAGATTTACAAATAGATGTGGATTTGAGAGTGATGCGAACCTTCTATGGTTTTCTATATGCAGGTGGACAGTGGAGGAGGTTCTCCCGTGGATGTGGCAAGGTCATATATGAAGGAGAGGCCACCATGGGCGTCTCCCACAAGAAATTTTGAATTGAGTACTCCTCTAACATCAACAATGAAGCTTTTTAATGAAAGAATGTTGTATTCCACTGGACCTGATTCTTTGTCTTCATCAAAGGTTAATATCTTATTATTGTGTTTTTTTAGCTGGTTCTGAGTCAGCAAAGTGGGTCTTCTTTTCAGTTTCTATCAGTGTTGCCTGCAAACTGGCATTTTATTTTTTTAACCTCTCCATGCTAGTATTCCATAGTCTATCTGTTCCTCAGTATTCGTACTTATTTGCATCTGCTATGTTTGCCTTTTATGTTGGTGAGTTGGTTGTATTTCTCTTGTTTGTCCTTTAGCTTATTTTATTTCTGTAATATATTCTCAAATTAATATTTTTCATTGCCATTTAATTTCTATATATATGGATTTTGTAGAAAAGGAATTCCCTTGCCTCTGGATCATGGAATATCCAGGAAGAACTACGAAGAGTGCGGTCGAAGGCAACTGATGATTTGTTGCGTACCCCATCCTCAAAAATTGATCCATCATTGTTTGCAGTTCCTCAGAGGAAGGAGGAACCAGTAGGAGCACTGGGAGAGCAAATGAAGGAGCCAGAGTCGTTATGGAAAACTGTAGCAATAGATGAATTGGTTGATGCTGGAGTGAGCTATGATCCTGACCTCACAGGTTGATTATCCTTGTTTTTAATCTCTCTTGCTAGCTTATGCAACTTGTGCTGAATATAAAAAATCATATGTGGATAAAATATCTTTTCTCATCAAGTGTGATTGTTTACATTTAAAATCTAAATTATGTTGTGCTGCATTTCTTGGCCTGTCAGCTTTGGGTTCAAGACAGGATGATAAGGGTAGTGAAGCACTATCATCCAGGCCAGCTATTTCTCTTGATGGAAATAATGAGGTACTTGATTAGAAAGAAGTTTTGCCTGTTAATTTCTATCCAAGTATGGTTCTATAGTATTTGGCCTTGGAAATGGTATCAAGATACATGGCATAAAGTTCTCTCTCTCTCTCTCTCTCTCTCACACACACACACACACACACACACATATATATATTATCTTACATTTACTCCACTGTTTGTAAAGGATCCAGAAGCTGTTAAGGGCCTTAGGGTAGATGGTGAATGTGCTGCGTCTAAACCCTCCCAACCTTTGAACCCCCAGCATACTGAGGAACACCAAACTGGTGAGTGGGCTTTCATACAAACTGTCTCTATATATTTACAATGTTGTGGATTGTGTTTCAAGTACTTGATGCTTTATGAAGCTGAATATGCTATGGGATAGTGGTACTACACATATAGCCCGGAAAATGGTTGTAAGATGCATGGTTTCAGTCTACTTGTGAATTCAGATGAATTAATTCTTGTAGTGTTAGTTTATTATTGTCCTTGCTCCTGACCTTAGATTGCTTGTTTCTGCACATGGAACCAATCACACATACAAGAGGTACTGATAGTACCTGACTACCTGTCTTGCATGAGTGTGCAAATAATCTTCTTTCCGTATGGTGGTCTTGGGTCTTGATATCTTCTTTCACTGCTACTAGTTATTTTCTTTGTTTCCCATTGGTTATTGATAGAAGCCTAGGATAAGTGTCAATATCTTTTGGAACAATATCAAGGCTTCTGTGATTGCCACAACGATCTTTTTATTCACTGTCAGATATTCAACGATGGGGGAAATTTGGCAGAGAGATGGAGGCTAGGTTAAAGCAAGGACGTGAACTTAAGAGACTTGAAAGCTCTGTAAACTATGATGGGAGAAAGAACTCAAATATTTTGAATTTTGAAAATAAGAACACACCAGTTTGGTAGCATTTAGATGTTTGCCTTTTAACTGTAGTATAGCTCTGTAGGCTGGGACTGGGATTGGTCATTGTGTTAAATTCCTTCAGTCTGCTAAACTTCAATAATTGACATTTGCAAAGACGTAAACATTGTTCTTTTAGTTCTCAATACCAGCTGCAAGGTTATATGTGACAGTGCATTGTATTCTTATTTTCCCCTAAGCTGTTTTGGTTACTTGACCTTTATCACTGCTGCCCGTTAAATGCCAGTAGTGATACACATGCAACCACATATATCACACTATTTTCATTCCTACTATAGAGTTTCTACTGCAAAGTCATTTGGCCCATTCATCTTTGTTTTTGTTTCACAGATTCCGGTTTGAATAAAACTAATGGACCTCCAACAGCAGAGACGACTGAAACTGGTGTGAAACAGACTGTAAATGGTCTCTCATCATCACATGCCAGGTGAAACCCTAACCAATGCTTTTTGCTTTCTATCATCACTGAGTTTGCATGCACATTAGCTACTATCCCTTCCGATTAAACATTCTTCTGTTCTCCAGTGTGCCTGGAGCAGCAGCTACCGCTGACCCACATACAGGGCAAAATTATGAGCACCACAATGTGGCAAACCACAATGCAGACACCATAAATGAGAAGAAATCTGTCAACTCAAACCAACTGGAAGATAACTGCGAGCTTTTGAGTGAAGCATACATGGATGTCCCCATTGTAACCGACCAATTCCCTAGCGATTCCCAGCATAGCTTTGGTGTTACCCAGCATGATGAAACACCTTCAGATCTGCCTCAGCCATCTCCAGAAGAAAAAGCCAATATTGGACCTGGGAAGCAACAAGGAAGAAAATTAGGTAAGTACAATCAGCGGAAGCCGAGGAAGAGATAAATTAGTGATGAGATACAAAATTGGCAGGGTAGGTGCATTTCTGCGGCTTCTGCAGCAGCATATATTATTGTGTTGTACACTATTTAGGAAGAGCCTCAAGGTTGCCTGGTTTAGGAGGATGATTGTACTTTAGGACATCACATTAGTGAGTATCTTGCGCTACAGATGACTCCCATCCCACGTATACTTCGTTTTGTTGATCTGACTGTCTTTGTTTAATCAGAAATTGTGTGGATTTGGATTTGAATTGTTTAATAGGGTGTTTTAGCATTCAGTTGTAGTTTCCCTGTCACCTCTACAATGGATCACTTTCAATGGTAGCGGAGCTGAGAGCCGGAGACAGCATGGCTGATACAGCGAACTATGGACTTTAGTAAGAGTGGTTTCCCTTGTTACCATAATCAAACAATCCAGTTTCAGGAGGTACGCTTAATTTCATTGAGAATAAATTTCTTTCAATTTTTATTTCACTTATATATGTTAAAGCTTATATGAAATTTTCTGCCATTATCCTTCACAACAACACAAAATATACAAATATGCTGCCACATGCTCTTGTTGTGGGATTCACTTTTGGTGGTTCTACCTGGCCTTTACTTCAGTGGAGGATCAGAAGTCCCTGTCAACAACAGTCGATTCTTATGCCCATTAGCAAACGGACTGGACCATCCACAAACTCTAAAAGGTACTGACGTGTCTTTAACCACATGGAACAGTATCTACTGCAGGAATAGCTTAGAGGGTTGAAAGTAATGATACATGGTAGATGGAACAACCATAGATAATAGGGACCAATAACTAGTCAATTCACAAAGTGACTTATTCCTTCATTATTGCCTGATCATTCCTTCTAGAAAGAATATATGCTCCCGCTTTTGTCACTTGAGATCCTGTCTTATATAAGCTAGTGTACCCTGTTTTGATTTATTTACTCTTTTTTGATAATCTGTGAAGCATTTTACCAAACTGACAGCCTGCTTGATTTAGGAATTCATAGTTGAGTATAGAGCTGTTTGTAAATTCAGCAGCTAGGTTTGGGCCATTCACAATTGATAAAAGCTCATTTGAAAGTTTATTGAGTCAAGCTTGAACATGAATTTTAGTTTGTTATTTACAAATGCACTTGAGATTTGTTTGTTTATTTTTGATAGTGTTTGCTAAGAAGATAAGTTGATGTTTTTACTTTGAGTTGTATTTATTTTGCAATATTGAAATGAAATTCCATCATCATTTAAGCCTATTAAATAAAGAAAATGGAATAATAAAAAATGACTGGAGTTTGAATGATAGTATTTTCAACTTGTTTTTCTAATCACGAGTGGAGCTCGAGTAGTGAATAAACTGATCTAAACTATGAAAAGTTCAACTTAGTTTCACTCATTATCAATGCTAGTCGATTATTATAGAGAACTTTGGAAGGATAGAAATGCCTATTTAGCCGTTGATTAGATATGAGCCAATGCTTTTTGGGTGATGATTGCTGCCGCACTTGTTGCTTTCAGTCCCATAATAGAAATGTTCCTAAAAACATGCAATCTGGCTTTCAGAAAGGGTACACTTTTTTGCATGCTCTTTGGTGGTAATTGTCTAATTGACTTGTTGACAAGCATGAATGTGTGACAGACAAGACAATAAGATTTGTGATTTCTATCTCAAGATTGTGGAGCTTTCATCTTACCTATTTTGAATCTCTATCATTAGCTAAAAATATATTTTGCATTTATTTCTTCGCAAAAATGTGAGACGTAATTGATCCTATGAAAAAGGGTTTAAAAGTTAGACGCAAAGATGTGTTAGATATGATATTATGTTTTGAATGAAAGATAGAAATTTCGATGTGGTTTCCTTGGAAGGAAAAAAATATTTTTCTATAGAATGAATAGTGGGCCAAAACAATTAGGGATTGTTTGGTCTGTGTCTGAATTTAAATAGTATTTTGATGTAATATTTCTATTGAAAGCCGTGTGCCTTGACTGAATATTAAAAAAGTTACCCATTGTGAAAAGGTAAATAAAAACAATTCCCAAACTTATTGGTTCTTAATTAAATTCTATGAATCTTTAATTTATAAATCTTGTACTATTTAAACATCTCATTGTCTTTGCAGGATAGGGATTCATCAAGGACAAAAAAAAAAAAAAAAGGGGCTAATCTTTTTCAGGTAAGCAAATCTGAAAATCAAATAAATTGTATTTGAAAATTATTATTTACTTATTTATTTATTAGTTAAATGAAGAAAAGGGAAGTAGTGAGTCACAGATACATATAGATATGTTCACATGATGATGGATGGTATGGTAAGATGCATGTGAGAATTCATCCAAAAAGCCTTCATTTAATTTTCGTCATCCATAAAGATTAGTCCCTCCATGCCCCTCTCATGAACATGACCTCATCTTCTACTCTATTTTCATTTTTTATTTTTTATTTTTTTAAAATTTCAACCCAAACAAGAAATGGTAATGATGATTGTGTTTTGCGATCTTGTTTTTTTCGGGTTGTTTTGGATTTGCTTTTTTTTTTTTTTTGAATAAAAAGTTTTGAACGTGAAGAAAATTATGCATTAGATATGATGTTTAGAGATATTTTACATTTTAGATTTAATGCTTGGGATATGAAGGTTACTTTTTATTATTTTATTTTGCTTCATATTGTATATTGCGAAAGTAAAATTGAATATGTCGACTTTTGAGGTGTGTTTCCAAATGATTCTTGAAAACCATCGATGTGTTCTTATGGAGTAACTTACTCGGAATTTTGAAGTATTTTAGATAATTTTTTCGAAACATCGTTGTTGGATGATGAAAAGCGATAACTTTAGCGAAGATGTTGCATGCGAAAAATCTAGTCCATGGCCAAATGTGTCAAGAAAAACTTGTGATTTCCTTTGGAACTTTGATGGAGATGGATGAAATTGATGTATACTTATTAATTATAAATCAAATTAACTGTAAATACGACAGCAATTATGGTGTTGATTATATACTAAATATATAGTAACCAATCTCAATGCAAGATTGTATGTTAACATAATAGTCCTCATTGTGCAAATTAGTGTCGATCCCAATGAGTTGAATAATGTTTTCCAATTAATTTTCTTTACAACCGATCGAACAAAGATCAAAACACTTTTGTTTTAGTTAACTAAAAGAAACCTGAAAAGAAAGCAAAATGTAGTCCAGTAAGAGATGGTCTGGTGGTGTGGGGTTGGATGTGTAACTGTGAGGCCGCTGGGGGTTTAATCGGTGCATACTTTCGGTAGCGATCGCGAATTCTCAGGTTATAAAAAAAAAAAAAAAAAATGTATCTTAATTAATTATTACTCCCCACCCGCCCCATGCCATGCATTTTGATGAGGCCAGTAAAAAAGCTTATTTTGGCTTTCCTATTGCATCACGGTGGATATTAGCCATCCATTTCCCTTTAATCCATTGCCAACCATCTATATATACAAATACATACACTTTATTTATTTATTTTTTCAAGTTGCCTAATTATTATTTCATATTTAGGTGGAATGTTTTCCATAATTATTTCAACTTATTCATACCTAGCTATGATGTGATTGTTTTTCATATACTATCCATATGTATTATATATATATGAGTTTTTTTGTTTTTTTTTAAATTCTATTTTTTCTCATGTCTACAGTAAAAATTGAATTCGAAGGTGGGTCCCACGTGACATTGGCATATATATATATATATATATATACATAACAATGAATGTTGTGTTGTGTGATTGTATTATTTATTGAGAGGTTCTCTTTTGTTTAGAAAATTGATAAGAAGAAGATGGGCAGCAACGCCAAGAGCATCACTCTGGAGGAAATCAAGAATGAAGCTGTTGATTTGGTTCGTACACTCACACCCAAACCCATCTTTATATTTTCTCTATTTTTCTCAAGTTTTATTTCAATTTTTTTTCATGCAATGATCGCAACACTTTATAAAAGTATGTTAATATTGTCATAAAATATCATATTAGTTTCAAGTTCATAATTCTTACAAAGTCATTTAAGCAAATGATTTAGTGTTTTTTCTTTTATAATTTCAAACTGAACTAAGTACTATTCACTATATACGATTTCTTGTAAAAATATACAATTTTCTCAAACAAAACATAATGGTAAAATATTATATAAATAAAAATACAAATTAACATGGTATTCAAATTAATTTCAAATAACAACCAATCAAACCTTTAATTTTGTTAATAATCATTAATCTAGACAAACTTTAGGGGATTTTAATTGCCATAGAACCCATCACTATATATATATATATATATATATATTTACATATTAGCTCTTTTAGTATAATTCATGTTGTTCTGAAACCCCAAGTTTCATACATCTATTTTATTTAATTTATTTATTATTAATTATTGTATTATTATTATTATTATTATTATTATTGTGGAAAAAGCAATTGTTGCTTAAGTTATCTTAATACAGATTAAAAAAGCTTTAATGCTAATAACTAACTAACAGCATTAGCAACAAAGATTGCATGATAGAGTTTCTTCAATATTGCCACTTCAGCAAAATATACATAAGTATTTTTATCAAACTAAATTTGAAATTTAACACAAACATATCTTACAAGTAAATCTTTTTTTTTAAAAAAAAAAAATTAAAATAAATTTAATTACTATGAATGTGCATAATATTTGTTATGTGTAGTCTTGAATATTTCTGTGGAGGAAGAAATCCCTGATAGAGAATTTTGCCCATTGTAAGTTACTTAACCATAAAAGGGTTTCGTAGTTTAATTAATAACCTTATGAATGCCTAAAAAATTGCAATAAAAAAGGGAACATTAAAAGGTAGAGTTTAGTTACATCTTTAATTCGCAAGTAAACTTACTCACATGTCCATGTCTATTTTCCATCACTTTTTGTCTTTTGTCCTTTTTAAAACAGTTGGGTGAAATTAAGGATAAGGGTGTGCTATTTTGCACTTTGATTTTATTTTATATAGTATTTTAAATGTAAAATTTTATTAAAAAAAATTATATATATATTTATTTTTTTAATTATTATTATTATTTTTTATAGAGTGTAACAGTAATTGCTTAGTAAAAAAATTATAATCAATCTTCAAAAGAATTTTAGTTTCTGCATTTTACTATTTTTGAATATATATATATTAGTTTGAATTTATTTGAAAATACATGTATATATACGAAAATAATTTTGATTACTCCCCCCTTATCTAAAATTATATTTACTTTCTTTTTGGATTGTTATAATATATACTTTTTTTTTTTTTTTTTAACATACTACTTTTTTATGTTTTTTACTATTAAAAACAAATTTTTTTTAACGATATTTGTTACGATTCGTATCAAATCATATTGAATTTAATTTTTTATGAACAAAAGAAGTATAATATATATTTTAATTTTTTTTGTTTTGTTTTTACTATAATTATCTTTTAAACATGAGTAACTTGTCAAGAATATATATATATATATTTTTTGGGTAAGTCTTGACATTAGCAAATATAATATCAACTAATCCCATAAAGATGACTAGGTAGTGTGATGATGAAAATGGAAGAGTGAGATCATAGGTTTCCATGGTTCTTGTCTGCCACACATAATTCGCCTAATGTAACTTATTCTGTCGAACTTAGTTTGCAGACTATTAAATTCGACCGAAAGTTTTTATAACAGCTATGACGCATATTTACATTTTCGATTCGACAGGAAAGGATCCCGATAGAGGAAGTTTTCGAGCAGCTAAAATGCACGAGAGCTGGCCTAACCTCCGAGGAAGGCGAGAACCGGCTCCACATATTCGGCCCGAACAAGTTGGAAGAGAAAAAGGTTAGAATCATCGACGGTTTTCTTGAACCTTATCTCAACACTCTGTTTCATTTCATTTCATAATCGAAACAAATTCATTGCAATAATACGTCGAGATGCAACAGGAAAGCAAGATTCTCAAGTTCTTAGGGTTCATGTGGAACCCGTTGTCGTGGGTCATGGAGGCCGCGGCCTTGATGGCCATAGTCCTCGCCAATGGGGGCGGGAGGCCCCCTGACTGGCAAGACTTCGTCGGGATCGTGTGTCTATTGGTTATCAACTCGACGATCAGCTTCGTCGAGGAAAACAACGCCGGAAATGCGGCTGCGGCTCTTATGGCCGGGCTTGCTCCCAAGACGAAGGTTTGCAACAGATTCGCTACGTCGATAGAACGAACATGTCCGTCAACCTTTTTTCGACTAAAATTTTGTTCGTTCATCGCGCGATTGTAGGTTTTGAGAGACGGGCGATGGACCGAGCAAGACGCATCGATCCTCGTCCCGGGGGACATCATTAGCATAAAGCTCGGGGATATCATCCCCGCCGACGCCCGTCTTCTCGACGGTGATCCGTTGAAGGTCGATCAATCCGCGTTGACGGGGGAGTCACTACCCGTCACGAAGAACCCCTCCGACGAGGTTTTCTCCGGCTCGACGTGCAAGCAGGGGGAGATCGAAGCCGTCGTGATAGCAACCGGCGTGCACACGTTCTTCGGCAAGGCTGCCCATTTGGTCGATAGCACGAACCAGGTCGGGCATTTCCAGAAGGTTCTCACAGCGATCGGGAACTTCTGCATCTGCTCGATACTCGGCGGGATAATCATCGAGATAATCGTCATGTACCCGATTCAGCACAGGAAGTACCGAGACGGGATCGACAACCTGCTCGTTCTCCTCATCGGAGGGATTCCCATCGCCATGCCAACGGTTTTGTCCGTCACGATGGCCATCGGTTCCCACCGACTCTCGCAGCAGGGCGCGATCACGAAGCGGATGACGGCGATAGAGGAGATGGCGGGGATGGATGTCCTCTGCAGCGACAAGACAGGAACGCTGACGTTGAATAAACTGACCGTCGACCGTAGCCTCGTCGAGGTTTTCGTCAAGGGGATGGATAAGGAGGAGGTGATCCTCATCGCGGCGAGGGCGTCGCGGACGGAGAATCAGGACGCCATCGACGCAGCCATTGTCGGCATGCTTGCCGATCCCCGAGAGGTACGACTCGATGCATTCCGCTATTTGGTTTCGACCGTCAACTCAGAGAATTTTCTTTGATCGGTTGACAGGCGAGAGCCGGAATACGGGAGGTTCATTTTCTGCCTTTCAATCCCGTCGACAAGAGGACAGCCTTAACCTACGTCGACGGAAACGGAAACTGGCATCGTGCCAGCAAAGGCGCCCCCGAGCAGGTCTCCTCCGTTTCAAAATTCTCGAAACTACGCTCATCGACGACAACTTATACCTTGTTTCTTGCAACAGATACTCGTGCTGTGTAATAGCAAGGAAGATGTCCGGAAGAAGGTCCATTCGTTCATCGATAAGTTTGCAGAACGGGGACTTCGCTCGTTAGCTGTAGCCCGACAGGTCTTCGCGCCTTCTCGATTTTATGCTTCTCCCTAATTTTCTTCATAAACTAATCCTCATGTCTTCTTGTCACAGGACGTTCCCGAGCGAACGAAAGAGAGCCCGGGTGGGCCGTGGCAACTCGTCGGTTTATTGCCGTTGTTTGATCCACCGAGGCACGACAGCGCTGAAACTATCAAGAGAGCACTGTACTTAGGAGTCAATGTAAAGATGATCACCGGTAATGAAATCTAACCTTAAAATTCCTCCGGTAGCGACGAAGCATGACTTGATCCGACTTCTTTTCCTCGCTCAGGCGACCAGCTCGCCATTGCCAAGGAAACAGGGAGGAGGCTTGGAATGGGCACAAACATGTACCCGTCTTCTTCGTTGCTCGGCCAAGACAAAGACGAGTCTATAGCCGGACTTCCTGTAGACGAGCTGATCGAGAAGGCTGATGGCTTCGCTGGAGTATTTCCTGGTCAGCAAGAATTCTATACGACCGAAACTTGCATATGAGTGTCGCGCCTAATCGCATCTTTGCTGTGACTTTAGAGCACAAGTACGAAATCGTGAAGAGGCTGCAAGAAAGGAAGCACATATGTGGTATGACTGGCGACGGCGTCAATGATGCTCCGGCTCTAAAGAAGGCCGACATTGGGATAGCCGTTGCAGATGCAACCGACGCTGCCAGAAGCGCGTCCGACATTGTCTTAACCGAACCAGGCCTCAGCGTCATAATCAGCGCAGTTCTTACCAGCCGGGCTATCTTCCAGAGAATGAAAAACTACACGGTGAGTGAACTGAACCATACTTTTTTATCAACTTAAATCTGAAAGCCTCGAAGATCATCTAGAATTTTCCATTGTCTTTGCAGATATACGCCGTCTCCATCACAATCCGTATCGTGGTAAGATTTCTGTAGAATCCATTGCTCACTTCGATCTGCTCACTCGATCAATGAATAATTCCTTCCTATGCATCGAACACAGCTCGGCTTCATGCTTATCGCATTGATATGGAGATTCGACTTCGCACCATTCTTGATTCTGATCATCGCTATACTAAACGACGGTAAGATCAGTTTTCATCAGCAATCCTCATTTGTAGAATCATACTCTGACCAGTATCATACCCTTGCTCGACTTTCCGGGATGCCTGCAGGGACCATCATGACAATTTCGAAAGATAGAGTACTGCCGTCGCCAATGCCAGACAGCTGGAAACTAAGGGAGATCTTTGCCACTGGAATAGTCTTAGGAGCATACTTGGCTATAGGGACAGTGTTCTTCTTTTGGACAGTGAAAGAGACTGATTTCTTCCCGGTAGGCCGCCTGTCTTACAAATTTTCCACGAATCAACCCGGATTTATCTCTTCATCCCTCAAAACCAGCAGGGATCTCTTTTGAACTCATAACACCATCTGCAGGACAAATTTGGCGTACGCTCGTTAAGGAACAGTTCAGGGGAGATCATGGCAGCATTGTACCTTCAAGTTAGCATAATTAGCCAAGCTCTCATTTTTGTGACGCGCTCCCGGGGTTGGTCCTACTCCGAACGCCCGGGACTGCTGTTGCTCTGTGCCTTCATCATAGCTCAGCTGGTAAGTGCTCATAGAAAGAGAACTTCTCGACGCATATGGTGCCCCTAAATTGATCAATGATACGATAAAGCTACCTTATTCGTTCCTTTGGTGATAGGTTGCAACCCTCATTGCTGTTTACGCCAACTGGGCTTTCGCAAAGATACAAGGTTGCGGTTGGGGATGGGCTGGCATCATCTGGCTTTACAGCATTGTAACCTACATCCCTCTCGACATCCTCAAGTTCGGCATTCGCTATGTCCTGAGTGGGAAAGCATGGGACAACCTTTTAGAGAACAAGGTACAGTGCTTTTCCAAGCATATCTTACTGTAAAAAAAACTCCTCTATCCAGATCATTACCTAAAGATGGGTAAAACGTCATTTTTTTGTATGAAGACTGCTTTCACGACAAAATCCAACTACGGGAAAGAGGAGAGGGAAGCACAGTGGGCAGCCGCGCAGAGGACATTGCATGGGCTGCAGCCACCCGAAACTGCTAGCCTCTTCCCAGAAAAGAGCAGTTACAGGGAGCTGTCTGAGATTGCCGAGCAAGCTAAACGGCGTGCTGAGGTTGCAAGGTATGTCGACTCCATTGAGCCTATTAAGTTCACTCAATATATACATATGCATAAATGTAAATGTGCACCTCATTGAACTGTGATGCAGACTGAGGGAGCTGAATACACTGAAGGGCCACGTCGAATCAGTTGTGAAGCTGAAGGGATTGGACATCGACACAATTCAACAGCACTACACTGTGTGAGAAAGGAGATGAGATGTAACACCATTACAAGTGGTATATTTGTATGTTTACTAGAAGATTTCTGCATCTATGTATTCATATGCAAGATAAAGATGGTTTTAGAAGCAGTACTATGCTAATTGCGATGGCGAAACAGTTTAATGAGTGTAGGGAATATCACATGCTAAACAAGCAAACAAATTCGGCAGTGCCCGACTCTAACTGTTACTCTTAGATCAGCAACCAATAAATTGGAAGATAATTGTGTCAATTCAAGTCGAAACAATAGATGGATTATAAGTAATCATGGAAGTTCAAGTTAACATACACACAATTAGTGCATCCATTTTTGTACAAGAATGGTATTTAATTAGTGAGGAGGCAACAAATACCAAACTGAAGTGAACAATGGTCGTCAACCAGGCCCGACTTTAGGGATATCGTAGTGCTCGCTCAAATTAGCCAAGTATAGGTTGAACTCTTGAACACGATCGCGGTGAGATTTCTTAGCAGCTTTGGCAATTCTTTGGAGCTCGATTTTCTGGCACTGCTCCAGATAGCGTCTCTCTGCTGGGGTGAGGCGTGTGTCTTCCTCATCTTTCTGCACCTCAGTTCCGTTCGCGTCCAAATTAGCAAGAGCTTCTGCTACTGCATTGTTTGCATCTGTAAAATGAATCAAGAAAATGGGCTCAGGAATAAGGGGAAAATGAATCCTCGAATCTGTATGTGAATCTAACCCGCAAATTCATCATCTCGACCTGCAGCAGATGACAGGAGATTAAGTCCCTTCTTTTTCTTCTTCTGGACATTACCATGTTGAACCTTCAAAGGTTTTCCCTTCAACCTCAGCTTCCCAGCAACTACATTCTCGTAGGCTGACATTCCCTGATGCCACAACAGCTGTGACAGCATTTCAGAAGCTTCTTAAATCCACATTACCTAAATATAGAAAATATTGACTATACAAAAACTAAACATCATAGCGCAACATTACTTTCTTGTTCCATGGAATATACTTGTGTATCAAACATCACAGTGGATAAAATTTTCACACTCGGAGAACTTATCATCTGATGTGTACTCCTAATAGCCAATCTGTGTAAAGATATATATATATATATGTATATTCAGCTGAGTCTTTCACAGGACTCGGGCATATACTGAGACTTTTTTTTCTATGAGAGAATAAACATAGCTAGATGGATAAACCTTTTGATGAAACATCTAAAGAAAAACAGGATACCAATGCAGAAGAACATCTAACGAAGCCATCACGACAAAAACATTAACCAACACATCAGCGACGAAAAGGCTAGGAAAATTACTGACACTTCAAAGGGTCAGTTTTGAAGCTCAGTAGAGCATACCAACATTTCCAACATGCCAAGATACCTCTTACGTGGATATTTTCGTTCATGTGTGTAGACTGGTTACAAGATTTAGAACCATCAGTGAAATCACCTACGATTCAGAGTTTTTTACTATAAGGAGTAGGATGAGATTATATAAAATTTGTATGTAGATTAATAAAAAAATATCATAAAATCGCATCCTATCAAGCATAGTAAACACACCCATAAAGTACTATATTATGCATTTCTAGGTAATTTGCACTTTTCTTTTTTCATGGGTGACTTTTGAAGAGTTTCTGCAAACTTTGGATTTCACTTCTCTGTACATCACTTTATCTACTTCTTCTATCTTCAATCTGTCAACACAGAAACAACTCAACATCTGCTTGCAAAATTGTACACATAGAACAACAAGCACCGCCACTTGTAGTCCATTCATTATCCAAAAATGATTATTCTAAATCATAAACATGAACAAAAAGCAGGAAAAGAATACAATAAAAAGGTACACATTCTCAAACCAAAGGCAGAAATTGGTTAGATGTCTTCCCCAAGTTTCTCACTACATACAGATTCAATAATATCATTCACCTTTCAGACATACTAGCACCCGTTCTGTTCAAGATTATAATACTATAAATTGTGGACAAAACGAAGTCTTCTCCAATATAGCAAACACAAGATGTTCATTTCAGCATCCTTCTATCCTCCATTCAAAGTATAATACAAAAAATAATGCCAGAATGTTCAGCAAAAGGTGTTATTTCGCTCAGACTCGAAACAGAATCAATCAATCCCATAATCATCGACGAGAGAGGAGAAAAACACAACTACCTACCTGAATCTTCGGATCAGACGAATCGTCGATTAGCTATCGCACAATCTGCAGGCACTCGGAGAAAAGATTCGGTGAAAATTTACAGGCAGCTTCTCTCCGGAACGGCAATCCCGACGTTTCTGGAAGCTACTAGCTGTCGCACGCATCAAGCACGTGACCCAGGGAAGTCCTTAAATGTATGGGGCTTCGAGTATTCTAGGCCCAATTATTTCGTCCAGGCCCACATATAAAAGATTTTCAGCGGATCCAGGATCATGGATCATTGGTCCTTGGGGCAAACCTCTCCTTCCATGGGAGCACATCTCCTCGCCAGTAGCAGTTGCAGAGCGACCTACGTTCCTGCTCCAGGTTAACCTCTTTCGCCGATTTCCGATCTTACTATTAGCGGTGAATCTAATCGGTATCGTTTGGCATTTATCATTCATCAATCAGGGAAACAGTGCAAGCACGCTGGGCAATCGGTGGTGAAAACTTCGAATTTGACTCCATCGTCGATATTGTTTTTTTGTAACCTTATTATTATTTTTTAGTCCGAAGCGTTTGTGTTTGCAGAGACCGCTGCCAATTCGGATTCTAACTGTGGGGAAGAAGAGGTCGGCGGGGGTTCAGCTCATAGTTGACGAGTATATTGAGAAGCTTAAGCATTATTGCCCCGTCGTGGATGTTCGAGTGAAGTCTAACCCTAGAAATGCTCGGTGAGCTGTCAATTGCTTTCTGTGTAGATTATCTGAATATTGTAAAATCAAATGCATTATTGATTAGTCATCTTGGTATGCTACATATGATTAGTGGATAAAGAGAAGATTTAATAGACATGGATAAGTGCTGTGGTTTTTAGTTTAGTTTTTCTTAGGTTTGATCCCAAATTACTTTTTCAAGTCCATTTGCTAGTGAGGTGAGAAGCCATGGTTAATTCTACAAAATTTCTTCATAAGAGCCTTTCATTTGCTAATCTTCCATGGACATTTGATTCCCCAGGACACACGGAGGATCGATTCTAACGCAGTCTAGTATTTGTTCATGTTTGTTAGTCATCCACGATTCGTTACATGGACAGGCCTGCTCCCCTCTCTGGCTATGGATATAAATGAAAACACAAACCTGTTGGTGGAAAATGATTTTCGAATAATCCTCAAGTCTGTCTGTGTATTTTTCGAAAGAATGTTTACAGTGTTGCTTGTTTTATTATGTTTACAGTGATGTGAGGGCTCAGATTGATCATGAAGATATGGCTGTAATGGATCTTATCAAATCCAGTGAATGGGTAAGTCTTGATTAATGTGTATTCCGATCATGTGGTTTCCAATATGTGATCATTTACATTCTGAGTAACATACGTTTTGCTGTGCTTTTGTATAGTAATTCTTGACTTCCCGCGGGCAAGTTGTCTATGTATAATATATAACATCAGACTAGAATTAAGTAAGACATCAGAAAACAAATTGAATCACACAATTATTTACTTTTTAAGCTTGGTGTTCTATTAAGGCATCCGACTTTTAAATTCAGGTTGTGATGTTGGATGAGCGCGGACTTGACGTGGGTTCGGAGCAAATAGCTTCCATAATCGCGGATGCTGGAAATTCAGTAATGATTTGAGTATATTTGCATTATCTTCTTCTGGGAACTCCTACCAAATTCTTGAATTATGATGAAAGTGTTTAGGTCTTCAGTTACCTTACTCTAATTCTTGTCTTGGATAAACTTCTTGTTCTCGACAGGGAGCATTGAGCATCACGTTCTGCATTGGTGGACCTTACGGTCACGGAAGACAGCTAAGAGAACGGGCCAATGCATCAATCAAGTTGTCGTCTTTGGTGTTGAACCATGAAATCGCTCTGGTTGTACTAGCCGAGCAGCTGTACCGGTAAGAATTGCACCACTCAACTCATCTCCTTATATTAGCAAAAGTTAGAGTGCTTTCTACTACCCTTAATAGCATATGATTACAGGGCTTGGACCATTCTCAAAGGCCAGAAGTATCATCATAATTAGATATCAATGACACTAATGGTCATAGAAATCGAAATTCGAAAGAACCAAAACTACTAGAAGCCTAGAACTACCGGTCTTAGAACCAATTATTCTTAGATATAAACCTGTGTTTGTTCATATTGATTCTTGTGAAACTCCATTAAAATTATTATGTTGTATTAGAATTTAGAACCATACAAGTCTCCGGACTGTATGAAAATATCTTTAAAGAATGTGTCAAATATCATATCCTCCATTGCCAATGGTGTTACAACAATATCCTCAAAGGGGCTATCCCCAACTTTGACTTTCTCAACTTTCATCAACAACTTTGTCAAAATATAGAGAGAGGGAAAAAAAACAATTAGTCAAAATCAGCAGCAACTTTTGTTAGAGCATACCTTCATCATCATACCCAAATCTTCTTCTATTAGTGCAAGTTAGATCCATGGAACCTTCATCAAGCTAAAGCCTTGACTTTGAGGGGTGACAAATTTGACTTAAGGGGGACATAAGAAGCGCCAAGCAACTTCTTCTCCTTAGGAGAGTCGCCTTTTGTCATTCCAAGAACCTTCCGAACCTCATTCGCAAGCTCGATAACATAGTCATCTTCATGACCTGAATCACACAATCAGTCATTTCCCAATTTCAATAACATTGTCAATTGATGAACATCGTAAATTTCTTAGTGGTAATGCAATAAGCCATTTTACCTATATCGAACATGGCCTTCTCCAACAGGAAAAGATAGTCCCTGTTGTTCCCGCAAGGACCGTAGGCTGTCGCGATTTGCCAGGCCATGTCTTCCAGTGGCGCAGGCCCTAAGTAGTATTTGTTCGATATCTTGTCCTGGGTCGATGTGAACCTAAAGTTTCAAACAAGAAGCTATTAGAAACATTATCCCTAAAGGCCAATTCGGGTAATAAATCGACCCGAATGAAAAACACATGGAAAATACTTACACTATCACATCAGCCAAGAAGGGCACATCAGAATCACCCTCCTGCATAACAAAAAAACAGAGAACCACACAAGTGTGAACGCCATGTTTACAATAATCAGAAAACAATACGTCGCCTGTGCTCGACTTACTCTATAAAACTTTACCAATGTCTTCTTGTCATACTCGCATTCCCTTCTTTCCAGATACTAATAAACACAAAAAGAACCACCATAAGTTCATAAAGTTGTTTTTTTTTTTTTACTAGCAAGAGGCTAATAGGTAGCCTGTTTCGATGATGATCGAATGTTATGCAGTAGTAGTACCTCCATGGCTTCCTTCTCTCTTTCTTCCCCGCCACGCACACAATAAGCAGCACCCCACTGAAAAATAAGAACTCCAATAATTACACAAAAAATTCATCCTCTGAAATGATATTTGCTTGCATCTTGCAAGCAAATTAGGCTAATAAACTCACACAGATAGCTCCTTCACATTTCTCCAGGGTGCAGGTCCTGGCAGGGTGGTCTGGCGTGCCCCTATGATCAATGCACGCTGAAATCACAAACAACAACCGCCATAAATAACGTAATCATTTTTCCCCAAATATTAGGGTTTAGTTGTAAACAATCAATCATGGAACACAAACAAGCAGATTCAAACATAAATCTCCTCCAAACAATCATGAAAACTTCCATACCTAGATCAAATACACGCCTGTAATCCTTGATAAACCCTACAACCTTCTCATCCACTTCAAATCCAGGGTTCCACACCAACGATCCGTATCCAAAAACCCAGAACACCATCTTAGCTTCCTCTCTCCTCAAATCCTGGCCAAAAACCAACCAATTAGACCTAAATCCACAATAATCAATCAAAAACACAATAATACAGAAGAAAAAAACCTAAAAAAACAATAAACTCACAAATTCAGATCAATCGAAATGAATTCTCCGCCGGATTACCCAAGGCAGAATGAGATATCCGGCAAGCAGTTAGCTCAGAGAGAGAGAGAGATTTGAGAGGTTGAATCGGATTGAATATCTCCCCAATTCCCCCTTCCGAATCTGCAATTTCGTCGCGGACCAATTCGGTGGTTTCCGTTGGAGCGAATCGTGGTATTTATAGGAAGGAGGAAACTGAAAAACCGCGTGTACGGGAGAATTGGATTGCGTTAGTTCACACCTTTATTTATTTTATTTTATTTTTATTTTATAGATTATTGTAATGTTTATTGAACTAATCTACACCTAATAATTACAGAACAGAGCGCGGGGGTTAATTAATGCTAGCAATGGACCATTAATTACGTTGCGTCCTCAAGTTACACGCACATGGCAGTTTGAAATTCACCCATGTGCGGGTTCATTGAATCTGGACGTGTTTGTGTGCGTTTATTGTATGTGGTCGTAAACCCGTCTAGGGGGGGACTGGACTGGACCGGGTTTTTAAAGCTTGCGGGCGTTGGCGGCAACTGCCGTTGGATATTGGGGGACCGTTTTAAGTAAGAATTATACAGTTGGGGAGTTGGTTTATTCTTATTGGTGACATTTTATGGGAAATTTAAGGATGTGTTTGTTTGTGCTTTTTAATGTGTTTAGGAAATTTTAGGTTTTATTTTATTTTTAAATGTGAATTGTATTTTGTATGTATTGTTTTAAATGATAATTTTGTATTTTGCATAAAAAGTACTAATTTTTTAAAAATTGTATAGATCTATGTTACTATTATTTCAAAAATTAGATAGATCTATGTCAATGCATTTAATTCACTTATTTAACAATAATGGGTAGGCACAGACAGAGAGAGTTGGCAAATGCATCGAATAGTTGGTCAAATTTTAGGGCCATAGACCATACAACAAAATAATTTATTTCTACCGCTGTCTGGCTGGAATTACGTTGAATTCCTTTTTTCACATTAAAATTTTTCAAAAGTCAATTAATTACATTATTTTAGATTTTTCAAAAAAAAAAAATCGCTACAAATTTCAAAATCATAATAATAATAACAATAATAAATAGTCATATTTCCGGTATCTTGAATTATTTTTTATGTTTACGGTTTTCCTTTGGGGTTGATGTTTATTTAATTTTGATTTTACATTTGATATAATTATGAATAAAATTATACTATTTTTTTTTATAAATATTAAATCAAAATAATATTTAAAGTAAATTAAAATTAAATTAATTTCAAACTTAAACCAAACACAAATCAAATATTTTACTACAATTTCCATAATATATATATATATATATAAAAGTATAATAATAAGACTCCACTTATACAGAAGTTTTATTATTTTTAAAAAAAGTTACAATAGCAAAAAAATAAGTATTTCATGAAATGCTTTATTATAAGTGAAAAGTATATTTATATTTATTGTGATTTTTGCTTTTTTCTTTTTTCTTAAAACAAAAATACTAATAATTAAGTGGCAAAATGTAAAAATATCTATATAAACTGATTCATAATACACCTAATTACATCATCAAACTATCGAGCTTATCTAACCTCTACATGGTGCAAAAACACACACCAAGAACCTCCCAAAGCACGCACAGCTGCGGCGGCGCCACCGTCGACATGCCGGAAAAACAAAAAGGCTCCGAGCCCGGCCCGATTCTCCGTATACAAACATGATGGAACTCATTGTCTCAGCATCTATAACTGCATTCATGCTACGGTTGCTCGTACATCAGCCACCGGTGCTCGATTGCGCCGATGGCGGGTAACTCAACTCCCCCTACACAAGTAGACATTTCGAATAAAATGCAGCGCCGGAAAACTCAAGAAACAAAACGTCCGAGAACGAACGCACTGCATAAAAACACTATTGTCGACAAAATATAATTGTCGACGATCATTTTGGTCCTTTGGGTGAAAGAATAGTAGCATAATCATCTCGTAGCATATACTATGTTACGCTGTAGTCCATGTTCCTATGGTTTTTCTTACTAAATTTTCGAGTGACAACCTATGATAAATAACCATCTTATCTAAAAGTTTAAACTAGTAACAATACAAATTTAAAGCCACGTATAAATCTTACACGTAGACCTGTTAACTAGTTGAACCGAACAAAATTTTAAATGTTCGTCAACATTCGCAAACAAAATTCGTGTTCGTTTGTTATGCTTTCGAGCTCAGCTCATTAAAATTTTTTGTTGTTTGAGCTCGTGTTTGGCTCGTTCGAGCTCGTTTGTCTCATTTTTTTTAAAATTTATATATACATTAAAAAGAAAATTTAAAATTATATTATTTATATATTTTAAATTAATATTTTATTTATTTATAAATTATAATTTTATATGTATATATAATATTTATAATAAATATATTATTTAAACGAACATTCGCAAACAAAGCTCGGGCTCGTTAGTTAACCAAACGAGCCTGTTTATGTTATTCAGCTCGGCTTGTTAACGTTTGCGAACGAGCTTTAACCGAGCCGAGTTCACGACAATTTTTACGATGAGAGGCCGAATACGGCCACAGAAATCCCCCTCTGATATTATATATTATATGATTATCTCACCTAAAAGTATAAACTAGTAAGATCGAATAACTAACCTTAGGAACGAAAGCATCGAACAACATAAAGCATTAAATGAAGACGGTTCGACTTACTTTCGACATAGAGACTTGAGTCGCGCCGGGAGAGGCAGTCGTGAAGCCATTCGCAGGTTCATACACGTTGTCGTCAGCCATTTCCCTAAGCTTGTTTAAGTACGGAAGCACGACTTTCCCAAGATCCGGCCTGTCTTTCCGTCTAAGCTCGGAGCATTTAAGCGCCAATTTAGCCAAGCCTAAGGCCTCTTCTTCGGGCCAATCGGGAACATAAGGATCCAGAATTTTGGTGAAGTTCCCTTGCTCGATTGCTCTCGCGACAACATGGCTTATGCCCATCGGCGGCTTAGCCGTAAGAATCTGCAAGAATATGATCCCTAAGGAATAAACATCGGATTTCACGCCGAGCATCCCGGTCTGTTGATACTCCGGATCGATGTAGCAGAAAGTTCCAGCTGTCGCCGTCAGTAGGTATTGAGTGACATTATCGGCTACGGACGGAGGAACAAGCCTGGCCAAGCCGACATCGCTGATTTTGCTGACGAAGTTCCGGTCGAGCAGAATATTCGCAGGCTTTAAGTCGCGGTGAACCAGTGGCTCGGGTTTGTTCTGATGGAGGAAATGTAGGCCGACGCTAATCTCGGCTGCAATTCGAAACCTGTGCCGCCACGACAGCGGCGGAGTCTTCCCGCGCTGGAATAGACGATCTTCCAAGCTTCCGTTTGATAAATACTCGTAAACTAGGCAACCGTATTCAGGACAGGCTCCTAGAAGTAGAACCATGTTCGGATGCCGCATGCAGCTTAGAATTTCGACCTGCCGTTGAAAAAAGAATATAGCGTAAAATCACCATGAAAGTGGTTATCGAGCTAAGAAATGTATCGTATTGTATACCTCTTGCTGAAATTGCGCCCGACCATGAGTAGCATCAGGCCGGAGGATCTTGACGGCGGCAGGAGTATGGTCCAAATAACACTTGAATACGGGCCCGTAGCCTCCTTCTCCGATCTTTCTAGACGGCGCAAAGTATTCCGTGGCGACTTCAATCTCCTCGATTGTGTATTTCCGGTACCTGATATCCGTCTGCGTTAGAGAGCTTAGCATCGTATTATTCTCTTCGGCTTCTCGTAAGGCTTTCTTCTCTGCATTTATTCTCTTTTCGGCTTCCAGAGCTGCCAGCCGTTGAGCTGCTTCGGCGTGCTGGAGTGCAGCCTCAGTCGTCGCCATTTTTTTTCCTGGCACAGCCATGGCTGCTTCTTCTGCTAATTGAGCTTCTTCTACCTTCCTTTCTTCTTCGATCTTCCATTTCTGGAGCGCCGTTGCCTGTAACATCCGAAAAAAGGTCATGAAAAGGCACATAGATTTGATGTTCGAGCAAGGTGAAGTTTCTCCTGCCTTGTCCCTGGCCGAGAGCTCTTCCATGCACGCAGTACTGTACATATCCATTGTTTGCTTTAGTTCCTGTTTTAGTCTTCTCATTTCTGCTTCGACTTCGTCCTGCAATCGAAAGAATACTGTTAATATGCATGGTAATGGTACTAAAGGGTTTTGATGTATGCGGCCTTAATGCAACAGTCCTGACCGTTGTTGATCCCAACAAGGTATGATCATTCTCGAGAGAAACAGAGAGTTCGACTGGGAATCCTGCGTCTATAGATTTCTGCCCTACCTCCTCAGATTTGTGACCATTCTGCCATGAATCCATGCTTTGGTAATCCATATCAGAGATTCCAGAAAGCCGAGGAGGAGTAACACCGCTCTCGAAACTCTCATATGCTGAATACATCTCAACGCTTCTCCTCCCCGTGTTGGCAAAGGATCCTTCTGTTTCTTGTTCCGAGATTTCATATGGTCTTTCATTAGGGAACCTTTGGTCAGCAAGTGGGGACCTGTTTATTTTGGTAGAAGGTGAGGGCAGTTGAACGACATCGAATAGTCTTATTCTTCGTACTAAAAAGTGTGATGCTTTGCTGCTTCATAGAACTTACTTGTTGTAGCCTGCATCGCTATTTCCCGAGAGTGGCGATAACTCTGATCCCGGCCTAAAATTTCCTGAGAATGAACCTGCGTATAATCATCGAAGATGGTCTTGTAATTAGGGGACTTGGAAAATTTACAAAGAAGATATAGAACAGCAACTGACTTTTGGAATTAGTGCTGCACGGCATTGCTGGATCGGGTCCGTTGACTCTATTGTTGGCTAGACTCATGAGCTTGCCGCGAAGTGGGCTAATGATGGATGGAGCAGGACGACAAGCAGACCGTGTAGATGAGATCTTTCCTTTGTGGATGAGATATACGGTGCAATAATCGGGTAAACCTTTTAACACAGTCCCGGGAATGTCTTTAACTCTAAATCTGTTTATATGAATGCTAACTTAATTTAAATGTTGTGATAAAATAACTTTTAGCTAATCCAAAATGCAGCATTAGATGAGAAACTCCGCTGGAAGCGACGTGCAAGATAAGAACGCAAAGGAAATAACATTATAGGTTACCTGAAGAAGCTGGCTTTTGATGCAGCACCAACAACCATTACTTCAATGGAAGACTGTTTTGCGAATTCAATGAGAGCTCTTGCTACATCCGTCTCATCGAGAACAATTTCGTGGCATTGTATCTAAGGAAACAAAAATAAGGAGTGAGTTAAGGCATTGACAGTGCTGCAGTGTTTCATTTTCATTCCACACCAAAGATAAGAGTTCTCGAGCATTTCTAGTGTATATGATGATTACGGAATAATATATGAATCTCTTGATACCCACCTCTTTGCGTGTACAGAAGACACGGAAAGGCCGGAAGAGATCCTTCAAATCCGCATCATTTTGAATTTGCTCATCGGGAACTTGGTGAAACCCTGTGTGAAGGAACAAAATCAAATACATTGTTAGCTGAGTAAAGTTTAGGGGATTGGCTACTTAGTTCAAGCTAATGAAGACAGCCATCAATTCTACAAACTAAATTCATTAATCGAAATTATACGGCGTCAAACACTAGATGGAGCAACAGAAAAGCATGTTATACGATTATTTCATATGCACCACGGAACAGGAAGGGAAAACATTCCAAATTGTGTCAATTATCTAGGGGAGGCCAAGTTATTCCATGGAAAATAGGGCAGAAATCAGGAAATGTAGCATTCGAAAATTCGCAAAAAAGAATTGGGATAGATTAATACTGTGGGAATGGTTTGATGGCTTCATTCGAACATGTACCAAAACAATTGTCTGGCCCCTGCCAAGAACATTATCAACAGCCCATTTGAGGGCACCTTGGCAGCCCTTATCCCTGTCTATTGCCACAGCAACCAATTTCTGCATCGATTGCATCCCATTTGTAGGCCACATTCCTCCTCTTTTCAACTCCCTCTATAAATAAATAATTAAATCAATAAATAACTTCAACAATCCTGCTCCTTTCTTGATGATCTAGAAGTTCTTGAGGGATTGGAACCATTTGGTCTGGGACAAAAACCTCTAGATGCTTTCACCTAACAATAATTGTATATTCTTTCCGAATTCACATGAAAATAAAATTCTAGATAATTCAAGGAATCTCTCTTCCCCCTTTTTTTTTTTTTTTTTCTGCACATAGATGAGGAAAAAGGGATTCATCTTTGGCCCTCCCAGTTTTGTAGGTAGAGATTTTCCTGGTCATTGCTGCCTGCCATTAAGACAAATGTCAACAATAGTAAGGTATCAATCAAGACAAATGGATGGTGATTTAGATTTCAGCATCCAATACTTTTCATAATTATGACAATATTTTACACTTCAAGATTCTTTCCCATATTTAGGATCCTATGGAAGAATTTGTCCACATTTCTAATCCTTTTCAAATCGATGAATTAGATCAAACCACATTATTGATCTAAATAAGAAGGTTGAACAATTCACCTAAAATCTTGTCTATCACAGAGGACAATCTTTCCACCCTATCCACATTTCTAATCCTTTTTCAAATAAATAAATTAGATCAAACCACATTCTAAATCTGAAATAAGAACAAGGTTAAACAATTCACCTAAAATCTTGTTGATCACAGAGCACAATCTTTCCACCCTTCTGGCACAGCCCCTGTTCTCCTACATCATCCACCATTTTCCCATAGCTATACTTCAATGGCATCTTCCCCAATACCCTATGAAACTCTCTGATACATTGCCCTCTCCTCTTCCTGTGTTCTCCATATCTACTGCTCAAACCTGCCTCCTTCACTCCCTCCGACGATACGCCGTCGTTTCTAGCATCGCCGTAATCCCTAACTCCGCCGCCGCCCTTCACTCCTACCATCAATGGTCCTGATTGTGTTTCCTCCGCCACAATGAAATTCATCAGAATATCTTCGCAATTTTTCGCGTCGTCCACGATTTTCCTCGCCATGGAGTACTGCTCGTCGCACGAGTAGTTCACGAGGTACTTCCTGTTTAGAATCATGAACTTGGTGAGGATGATGGAATACTTCTGCTTCTCCATGGTGTAAATCCAGGTTTTCGATGCGATGTCGTACGCGTGCGACCTCGCGAAGAATCCGATTACCCGATCCGGATCGGATCTCCAGAGAGTGAAGGCGAAGGAGACGGAGCTCGGGTCGGGTTCGATGTCGTCGTCGCAAATGAGAACTGCTTTAGTCCGGATAGTATTCCAGGGGTAAAACCTGTGATTCAAGCTGGCCGACGGCGCGCGGAGGACGGCGGCGGAGAGGTTCTTTGTGAGGTCGGAGAGCACTTGGTGTGACGTGGAAGGGTTGCACCAGAGGAGGATCACCGCGGAAACTGACGGTGAAGTCGAATACGCGGCGGCGATGGAGTGAATCAGCGGGATCCGGTGCTCCGAGTAGCCGCTGATTATCACCGTCATCTGGTCGGAGCGGAGGGTCGTCGGCGCCGGCTGGCTCCGGCATGCCTTGCCGGCGACTACTCTGGATGAACTGACGACAAGAACCGTACGGAACATAAAGAGAAGAGCTACGATGAGGGCATAACACGCCATTTTCGTCGATTCAGCCATGAACACTACGCATCACGTCGATTGCTGCAGAATTTGTGGAAGACGACGGATCGTCAAAGCTCTTTCAACGATGAACTGGTTTGATGGGCCAGCCTATGGAAAAAAATTAAGGCCCAATTATTTTCGATTTTAGCCCAACTAAAATTTTATAGTGAGAAATAATGGAATATATTAATATAAAAAAATAAAAAATAAAATAACAAATACATCAATATTTAATTAGAATTTTTGTTTATATAATATTTTCATACGATATTTTATGAAAAAATATAATATATTATTATTGAAAAATAATATTTATTTTAATTTGAAATACTAAAAATACAAATACATAATAGTTGAACAATAAAAAAGCAAAGAGATATCTCATTGTCAAACCGATAAAACAAGTATGATTATTGTTTTGATATTTCGATATTCAATATACTAATATAAAAATAATAATAATATTTTGTATTTAATTATTAATTTTCTATAAATACATAAATTAGGTATTATTTATAATTATATGTATATGTTTTACTTTTAGGGTCTTTCTTTGTAAGATTTTGCAAAAAAATCTTATTATTCATCCTATTTTTTTTTCCTAAAAATATCAAATCGAACACCTATTTTTCATTTTTTATATTATACTAAAAATCAATTTTACATTCAAAACATCACATCAGCACCTATTTATATCACATCATACAACTATTCAAATTCAAAATTTTTACTATTTAAATCCCAACTCAAAATCCAAACCCCCAAACAAACACACCCTAAGGTATGTTATTGATGTTCTGGATTTTCTAACACTGTTTTCATCTTTCTTTACCATTTAAGTATCGTCTTGGTCTTTTTACAATCCTGATTTCAATCTCCTCCCTCCGGAGCCGAAAATGGCAATTGAGGATTTTCATTGCCGCCATAGCACCAACTCTGTTAGCTTGTTGAAATATTTAGCCTAAAAATTTGTTTAATTTATTTCCGAACGAAATTTGTTGAATTTAACTTCATCGTCTTACCGATTAAATTCGCAACAAAAACATTACACGATAGACAAATAACATAACAAACACATTCAAACATGAGGTAAATACATAAAGGATCAAACTACGGCCAAATATCCGAGACATCGCCAACTCCGTCGATGACATTGTTCACATTTCCAAGTCCGTAAGCCGGATCAGAGATATCTCCACGCGTAGACACGGCGCCGATGGCGTTCATTTCGTGATTCATGTACGTTTGGGGAGCGTTTGGATAGTTCTGAATAAGATGGCTTAAACCGGAGGTGAACGAGCCGCGGATAACCATATCTTCGGCTAGTTTCACCTAAAATTTATGAAGCTGTTAGTACAATTTGAACTGCAGCTGCTGTGCTGAATTTAAAATTTAAGTAGAATATTGACAATATAATATATAACAAAAGATGACACATTATCAATATTAATACTCCCTCCCTCCGTCCCATTGAAAGATTGTCAATTTTTCATTTTCGTTCGTTCCAAAAACAAAATTATCATTTCTTAATTCAGTAATTGTACTACTTACCTAACATAATAAATATTTTTCAAACATACACTATATTACACAAATGTCATTATTTATATATTACACAATACTAATAGAAGTATTTTTGTCTTTTTACACTGCAGCTCAATATAATACTAATATTAAAAGATCTACGTAAAAAAGATAAACTGTAACCTTTCTACGGCATCGAGGGAGTAAAATATAAATGAAGCAAATATGGCTTAGGTTACCTTAGCTCTTAGCGCTTCCACGTCTGATTTAAGTACTCGATGATTGGTCGTCGCCTCTTTGAACTGATGAGATGCGTCGCCAAGTTGTTTAAACAACGACGCGTTCTCTCCTCGTAGTTGCTCGACCTAAACTCATAATGTAGGTATATCGTTAATCGAATTTAATCAAATCATCGAATCATTCGAATTCGATGTCTAGCAACATCCATACCTGATGTTCGAGTTCCTCCAAATGCGCTTGCTTCCGTTTTCTCGAGCGCCGAGCAGACTCCCGGTTAGAAGACATCCTAAAAAACCACGCATACACACGATGTCACTCTTCGAGACCTCGAAAATCATTACAAGTGATATACACAAACCTTTTAGCGCGCTTTGTCTCGATCGGATTAGAGCTTTCCTCATCCGACTGCTCGCTGCTACCGCCGCCTCCTTTCTCTTTCTTCGTCGGATTCTTGCCCGAATCAGAGCTGTCGACTAGAAAACAGAGGAACACGACAAGCGTAAAAGAATCGAACTAAAAGATCAGCAAGAACTACATCTTCGAAACATAGACTCACCGCAAATCAAAGATTGCGAGTCGAAAGATGCTGAAACCTTCGAGTAATTTGAGTCGAGATTCGGCGACCAAAACGCCGCGTTCTCGTCTGAGAAAATACTACTCGAAAAGTCATTCAAAACCTGCAATTCCACAGCAAAGAATAAGCCAAGTTCACTTATATATATATATATATATATTTGTTCTTGATTTCTACATCTCTTCGAAAACTCGTCGCCTACTCGAATGGATAAAAGAGTCGATACACATCCGTTCGATTGTACTCGATTCGAATCGATCTATGGTTCTTTTCAATTGTGAGAATCTGATGTGTTCTGCAACTTTCTGTGGTGTAGATTTCTTGCTTTTCCAATTGCAATAAAGCTAAGTCTTTTTTTTCGTCGATTAAAAAGAGAACGTTTACATACATATATATATATATACACTTAGGGAATATTCGAATATCCTCTTATCCATCTTGCATGGATGGATAACAAATTTTTTCCAACGATATTCGATCAAGTTGCGCGGAAACCATCGATATCACAATTGAACTAATACACACTTCGAAACACAAAATCGCGCGAAATTTACCGTAGTTTTGGAGGCAAAATGCGCATTTTTGTTAGCCGCAAAGATTTGATCGTCGGGTTTTTGAAGAAGTCTTTTATCGTCGTCTTCCTCGGGGGCGAAGAGCTCATCCATTGCTAACTGTGAGAAGCTTTTCTTCATGTCTCTGCAACCAAAGAGAGATTTGTTCTTGAAAGTTAGCTTCTTGTCATCCATTTTTTTTTTTTTTTTTTCACTTATCTTCTTCCTTAGCTATGAAGAATGTAGAGAGAGAGAGAGGGGGAGAGAGAGAGGAGGAAATGGAGATGATTATATAATGAGAAGCCGACGTAAAAAGACTTGATTTTTGGGTGAATTCCATTGAAGAATCCAAAGTAGCTTTTCTCATGAAAGCAAAGGAAAAAAAAAAAAAAAAGGGTATGAACCACTGCATGAAGGTTCCTGGCGTGGTGAAATTACTGTTTTGTCCTTTTTATCTCAAGTTTAATTCTTTGTCAGGATAATCATTTTCAAAAGCTATTTTAGTAGATGATCAAAGACAAGTTCTTGGGATCTTTCTACAGAGATTGTTAATTAACCTTAAAGAAACCTGTAAGTAGAGCTGCAAATAAAGTTGGTGATTCAACTTACTAGGAATACATAAATACACGTCGATCAAATCCTGCTTGAAAAAGACACTCTGCTTGTCCTAGCTATGACAAATCTTCTCGCCTTTTCTATGGCGTCTAAGGCGGCCATAAAGCCGAACAAGTTTGAGTATTTATTGTTCGAACTCGACTCGATTTGTTTAAAATTTGAATTAAAATGATAATTTGAGTTCGATTTGTTAGATTCGTATTCAAGTTCGAGTTCAGCTTTCCCAAAGTTTGAACTTGGGCTTAAGTTCAAACTTCACATATATTATATACTCCATCCGTCTCAAACATCATACAACATATGAATTCGATACGAGAATTTAGGTAGGTACTATTAAGTAGAATAATTTAAAATAGTTTGAAGATTAGATGATATGATTGGAAAGAAAAATGTATATATATATTTTTTTCATTTGAGTGATACGATAAGATAAAGTAAACTATATATTTATATATTTATGAAAACATAATTAATTATTTTTAAATTTGAAAATATTGCAATGAGTTTGAGATAAATAAAAAAGAAATATTGCATGGTGTTTGGAACCGAAGGAGTACAATTTTTAGTATTCTCGTCGTCCCTTGAGTAGATATCCGTTTGTCTTTTGTAGACAGTTTAAAATATATTAGTATTATATTGATGTATAAGTATAAATACAGTAGAAATGATTGAAATAATTTTGTATTATATGATATAAAGCTAATGACATTTTGTATGATATATCGTAAGCTGTAATGATACTTAACAATTAGGGTTTATGTAGATAGTATATTTACTTAAAAATAAATAAATAAATACTTTGTTACCAAACGTACCTATGAAATGGATCAAAATAAAAAAATGTATAATTTGTTAAGGGACAAATAGAGTATATAAATTTATTCACAATAAAGCTGTTAAATGAGTCAAAAGTTTTTAAAAATAATTTAATGTAAAAATTATTTTGCTTAAAATTTTGAATTTATTTAATTATAATTTAAAATAATAAATTTATGAAAAATAATATTTCCCCGTCTTCCTTTAATTTTAATTTATATATTTTTTCATTTTCATCATTCCTATCTTAATATATGTATACTTGTTAATATATATATATATTTTATTATAACACTATTTTACATATCTCTACTTACTAGTATTAATTACTATTATTTTTTTATAAAAAAATAAAGATAAAAATTTTCTTATACTATTTTAACTATCAATTTTAATTAAAATGCCAAAATAAATGAATATTTTAAGAACAACTAAAGAAGTATATTTTTATTTAAAATGGACCTGAGTATTAATATTTTTATTTGAATTATGGAGTAAAACATTTCTTAATTAGTCCAATTCCGTTCCCGAGACGAGTTCTTTATCCAACGAGGGTCAAAATCAGTGCCATAAGGTGGGGCCAAGACCAAATCTTTATCCGAAAAAGGTCAATTCACTCTTACAAGAAAAGAGCATGGAGAGTCGAAGGATGGCCGAATTCCGGAAGCAGATAGGAATCCCAAGGCGGAATAAAGCAAACGATCGGGAGCAGATTCTCTGGACGTTCCTCGAATAAAGTCATTATCAGTACTCCTCCATTCGCAATAATCGCCTCAATCCTCTCGATTTTCGTTCCCGAGCTGCAATTGGAAGAAGCGATGGGAACTGAGGTGCCGATCGAGCGACCTTTGGTGTTTGCGTATTACGTCACAGGCCATGGCTTCGGCCACGCCACTCGCGTTGTTGAGGTCAGTTCTCTGCTCCGAATACTGTTCTACGGACTTTTATTTGTCGAATTTGTCTCGATTGTTGTGATGATTGACCTAATTGAATTCCATTGGCGGCGGTTAGGTCGCCAGGCATCTCATTCTCGCCGGACACGATGTCCACGTCGTCACCGGCGCGCCGGATTATGTCTTCACCTCTGAAATAAAGTCTCCTCGGCTTTTTCTCCGGAAAGTGCTGTTGGATTGCGGAGCAGTTCAGGCAGACGCCTTGACTGTCGATCGTCTTGCTTCACTGGAGAAGGTAACCTGCTATACATACATACATATATATATATATGTGTGTGTGTAGGAGAGCTGAATTTCTGTATTTCTGTTCTATGATTGTTCAGTATTCTGAAACGGCGGTTGCTCCTCGGGACACCATTTTGAAGACTGAAGTGGAATGGTTGAAGTCCATCAATGCAGACTTAGTGGTAAAAATTACTCTACTTTGTCAAGCTGATGCCAAAATTCTTGAACAGTTATGTAATTAGCTATGTTTGTATATAAATATATAGATATGGATATGTTAAAAGAGGTGTTAAAATGGTGTGGAACAAGGAGAGAATAGCTTAATCGAATACGTCGTCCAATAGTATGCATCTTTCTTTAATGATCTCTAGTCTTCTTGTTATTCGGAAATTTTGTTGAACTATAGGTATCAGATGTGGTTCCGGTGGCTTGTCGAGCAGCAGCCGATGCTGGGATACGCTCTGTTTGTGTCACCAATTTTAGGTGCTCTCTATAGCTCTTGGTTGTGTGTTTGTGTTTTGTATGTCACTGCATTTCCAGCAATTTTTTCTTTCCTGGTGTATGTTTTTAGTATTAATACAAGTTTATCACTGTTTCGAATTCTATGGCAGTTGGGACTTCATCTATGCAGAATATGTAATGGCTGCTGGCCACCATCATCGATCCATAGTTTGGCAGGTTGTTGCAGCAAAATTGGTTGCAATTGAATTATGGGCTATAAATGTTCGAAAAGCAAATTTCAATTGCGATAATGCTTAACTATGATTTACTAATTAACCTTTCCTCTATTCTTGGATGGTGCAGATTGCCGAGGATTATTCGCACTGTGAATTTCTTATCCGCCTCCCAGGATACTGCCCGAGTAAACGATCAATAAACGCAGCAATTTTATGTTCTTTGTTCTACCAAATGAACGTTGAATGGCATTAGCTTTTTCGTGATGCATTTTTAACCATTTGTGCTGCTGCAGTGCCTGCATTCCGTGATGCAATTGACGTGCCGTTGGTGGTTAGGAGATTGCATATGTCGCGTGAAGAGGTACATGGACAATGGCGAGACTCACTTTCCACGTTTCGATGATATTATTATTGGTGGATTTTTACCATTTCACTGGAGTCGTTAACTTTCTTGCTAATTACATTCCAGGTGAGAAGAGAGCTAGGAATTGGGGAGGATGTCAAAATTGTTATCCTCAACTTCGGCGGACAGGTAAATAACTTTTCGAAAATATGTTTCATGGTTTGAGGATAAGATTTTGCTACAGATTCATTTTTGGCTGAAAAATCAGACTTTGATTGGGCTTGCAGTCCTTTCTTTACAATTCTGATATTTGCTGCTCCGGGATTTAGTTTGATTTCGATTGTGTTGACAAATTTAACATGAAATATTTTATTGACAGCCTTCCGGCTGGACTTTAAAGAAGGAGTACCTGCCAGATGGTTGGCTTTGTTTGGTAAGTTATCCGAACTATTGTTGTTTCATATTTAGGCGTTTCTTGAAGTAAATATGTACCTTGCAAGGGTTTAAAATGGCAATCGAATATGGTTTTAGGTTTGTGGTGCATCAGAAAGTATGGATGTTCCTACAAATTTCGTAAAACTGGCAAAGGATACGTACACTCCTGATGTCATAGCTGCATCCGACTGCATGCTAGGTTAGTCGTAACTCTTTTGGATAGATTATGTGTTCTTGCCATATGAAGCATAATGGATGCCTTCAATTCTTTTGAAATCTCAGGAAAAATTGGGTATGGAACTGTTAGCGAGGCCTTGGCATTCAAGATACCGTTTGTTTTTGTTCGAAGGGACTACTTCAATGAAGAACCTTTTTTGAGGAATATGCTTGAGGTGAACTTTAATTGCGATATCAAATATCAAAATATTCTGTTTGGGTAAAAGGAGTTGATGAAATTGATTTCACGTTTTCAGTCTTATCAAGCTGGTGTTGAGATGATACGAAGAGATTTACTTACCGGACACTGGAAACCATACCTGGAACGTGCAATTAGCTTAAAACCGTGCTATGAAGGTGGCATAAATGGTGGAGAGGTATGCTTATCTTTGATTTATACGTTTGAATGTATTGTTGTATATGTGTCCGATTAGTTGTTTTTGATTCATTGTGCACTTGCAGGTTGCTGCTCGTATATTGCAGGATACCGCCTTTGGGAAAAATTGCACGTCTGATAAGGTGAGACTAAGTAACGATGACAATAGTTAAGGAATTCGGAGCATCACTAATCAGAACTACAGAGTGAAAAGTGATCGGTTTTTTAGACCATCTAAGTTTTTTTTAAGTGTTTATTTCTTGTAATGCAGCATAGTGGCGCTAGGAGATTGCGTGATGCTATTGTTCTTGGGTACGAATTGCAAAGGGTTCCGGGAAGAGATCTCAGCATCCCCGACTGGTATGCGAATGCAGAAAATGAACTTGGTCTCCGTACGGGATCTCCAACTGCTGAAATGAATTGTGTTAGCTTCTTCATGGATGCGTGAGTGAATTCTTTCAATCATGTTCTTCACTATCGACTACCAAGTGATTGTCGAATGCTTTTTAAACTTACCACTACCATATGCAATATTCAATAGATTGCCGGAGGACTTTGAAATTCTTCATGGAGACCTTTTAGGTCTTCCGGATACCATTAATTTCTTGAAGAGCCTTTCAGAACTTGGCGCTGCTCTTAATTCTGAAAATAGCAGTGAGAAGCGCCGAATGAGGGAGCAAAAGGCTGCAGCTAGTCTGTTTAACTGGGAGGTGTGTTTTTCTATTCTTTTGTACGTTGTTTAATCGTATTGTTGATCTAATATGATTAAAGCTTTGTTTTTTCAATCGTGAGCAATGAATTACTATTTATTGTTTTTGATGCCCTCACTGCATTTCGAAAATATAGCCTGTGCAATAAGAACAGATAGAGTTTAGCAAGCTTTTCTTTTGTTTAATGGTGGAAAACTTTTGTAGGAAGACATATTTGTTGCAAGAGCGCCTGGACGATTGGATGTCATGGGTGGAATTGCCGATTACTCTGGAAGCCTTGTGCTGCAGGTAATGCGCACGCATTTGAACTTTCGAAAACTACGCCCCTTTCCGAATTCATTCATTCTCTGTAATGATTTTTTAGCATATGGATTCGATATTTTCTTATAGCATTGTTATAAAAATATGTACAGTTGCCTACGAGAGAAGCTTGCCATGTCGCGGTGCAAAAGATCCATCCGTCGAAACAGAGACTGTGGAAGCACGCACAGGCTCGGCTAAATGCTAAAGGACAAGGACAAACACCTGTTCTGCAAATTGTATGTGATCGTTTCTAGTTAAACAGTTTTGCCGAAAAAGCGCACAGCTTAGATCCCTTTGGCTTATATATTCTTTCAGGTATCTTATGGATCCGAATTAAGCAATCGAGGGCCAACCTTCGATATGAATCTTTCCGATTTCTTGGATGGAGATCAGCCAATGTCTTATGAAAATGCTAGGAGTTACTTCGCTCGGGATCCATCGCAAAAGTTTGAGCTCCTTTTTTTCTTTTTTTGGCTTCTAAATAATCTTTTCTATCGGACACTAATTTGATTCTTGTCGTAGATGGGCAGCGTACGTTGCAGGAACCATTCTAGTCCTGATGAAAGAACTCGGCATTCGCTTCAATCACAGTATTAGTGTGCTGGTACAAGTCTTCGATTCTTAATGAATACTGTTTTTCGTGAAGATTCTATGTCTCTTAGTTTTCCTTATCCTGAAAAATCTGTAGGTTTCGTCAGCCGTCCCTGAAGGCAAAGGCGTCTCGTCTTCTGCCGCTGTGGAAGTTGCTACCATGTCTGGCATTGCTGCTGCTCACGGTGCGTGCGCGCTTTTTTTTTTAAAATATTTTGATTTCATAGTTTCTTGTTAGAGCGCTGTGTAGTGTAACTTTGCTCGGTATGTCCTTTTCAGGATTAAATATCAATCCTCGAGATCTTGCGCTGCTGTGTCAAATGGTAGCCATATGAACATTTTTGCGCGCTTCTTCTTTCTTTCTTTTGTTATGCTTGATCGAATTGCCATTTCTTTAAGGTGGAGAATCATGTAGTCGGAGCTCCATGTGGCGTCATGGATCAGATGACTTCTGCGTGCGGCGAAGCTAACAAACTTCTTGCGATGATCTGCCAGGTAATTCACTCGAGTAATGAAATGTACATGCAAATTTCTCAACCGTAAACTGTTTTCATACCGGTTTGTTGTTCCACATAGCCTGCTGAGGTATTAGGCCTCGTCGATATTCCAAATCACATTAGAGTTTGGGGAATCGACTCTGGAATCCGTCACAGGTAAAAAATAAAATCATGTCCTGTGGTAACGCCATTTCTACCTGCTCGATGAGAAAAAACTTGTACTAAAACAATAGATCGCCTCACAGTATAGGTGGAGCTGATTACGGATCTGTAAGGATCGGGGCATTCATGGGTCGAAAAGTCATAAAGTCTATAGCTTCAGCATTGCTATCGCAGTCTTCGGACGATCTTGAAGAGGACGGAGTCGAACTTCTTGAGAACGAGGCTAATTTAGACTATCTATGCAATTTGTCGCCGCACAGGTAATCCGTTATTTGTCATTCGATCTCTTTGATCCGCTATTCTAAACCTCTTCGGTGATTCTTTCGATCTTTTGATGTCAGATACGAAGCTCTCTATGTTAAGCAGCTTCCGGAAACTGCGCTCGGCGAGGCATTCTTGGAGAAATACTCGGACCACAACGATTCGGTCACTGTCATAGATAAGAAGAGGAAGTATGCGCTAAGAGCAGCCACCGGACATCCGATATACGAGAATTTTCGAGTCAAGGTCAGGAACATCATAATTGTATGAATTTGTCTTACCGAAGTTTTCGCTGAATGACCCGTGATTTTTCTAGGCTTTCAAAGCGCTGCTGACATCTGCATCGTCGGATTATCAGTTAACCGCCCTCGGAGAGTTGATGTACCAGGTATTCGCAATGTGCTATTTCTCATAGACAATCGAATTCGGCACAATACATTATTGTGGTGATTATAAATTAAGCACAATACGGATATCACACGAAATAAGGACAAATTACACACGACATAAAGATATATTCTATAAGCATGTTTTATATGTGCTGACTGGATCAAATCGACGATATTGATTTGTCTCAATCAACATTGTAATAATCTTCTTTCTCTAAATATTCGAGCTCTTCTTGCAGTGTCACTACAGTTACGGCGCCTGTGGGCTCGGCTCAGACGGAACGGACAGGCTCGTCCAGCTCGTACAAGAAATGCAGCACAATAAGTTGTCGAGGGCCTCCGAAGGAACTCTGTATGGCGCAAAGATCACCGGCGGAGGATCCGGTGGAACTGTCTGCGTCATTGGCCGGAACTGCTTGCGTAGCAGCGAGCAAATTCTTCAGGTAACGGAATAATTTGCGCGGTTCAACTGTAATTCAGATTCGACTGTGTCGGGAATTAACTTGACGCCATACTGAATATTTCCCTGCAGATTCAGCAACGGTACCGAGCAGCCACCGGCTACCTCCCGATCATTTTCGAGGGATCGTCTCCCGGCGCCGGCAAGTTTGGCTATCTCCGAATCCGACGACTAGCTAAGAACTTGAATTGAGCTAAACATTCAATATTTAAAGTCGAGATGTTTAAGATTAAAATCTCGATCGATGTTCGTTCGTTAAAAGTTACAAATCGAAAATGTTATTTGATGGTATTGTAAGGAACCCAACTCAACAAATTTACTGTGTAGCTTTCGTAAGCATATAAATAATTTTTTTTTACTACTTGGACTATTAAAAAAAAGAAAAAAAATTCACAAATTATCTCATTATTCATTATTTTAATATTAAAATCAGAATTTTTTCAAAATTATAAAAAGACAAACAGATTATTTTTGGCATTATTTATTAATAATAATTTTTATTTATTTACAAAAATTTCAATTTGAAAACAATAAATACTCATTTAATAATTATAAAAGAAGCTACCAAAAAGCGCTTTACAGCTCAACGGCCACCAGTCCACCACGTAGCATACCTATTCATACGCCACGTGTCAAAATCCCAACTGTTCATAACGACCTACTGAACTTTCCTCAACGCCATTGTAAGAAAATCAAAAGCCATGCTAATAAATTTCACGTCGGCTTCTCGTCCCGTAGTAAATCCTCTCTTCTCCGCAGCCCGTCTCGAATCTTCTATCTGCTTCAAAATGCAATTCTCCAACGCCGCCAGAGCGTCGCAGACAGTGCAGCACGTGCCGAGCTTGTCGGCGCCGGAAATGGAGCGTGTCTGGCAGCAGACAGCCGCGCGATACTCTCTCGGGCAATCCCCTCACCGCCGCGGCAAAGGATCCTCCATCGTCTGGTTCAGAAACGACCTTAGGGTTTTCGACAACGAGGTTTTGTTCAAGGCGTGGGTTTCCTCCGAGGCTGTCCTTCCCGTCTACTGCATCGATCCGAGAATGTTCGGAACCACTCATTATTTCGGCTTCCCCAAAACCGGTGGTGAGCAATTCCTTACAACAATGTGTTCTAAATTTAGGAATCGATTTTAATTTTGATTTTCCCCCAATTTTTGGCAGGTCTAAGAGCACAATTTGTGATGGAATGTTTAGCGGATTTAAAATTAGGGCTAACGAAGAAAGGTCTGAATCTTCTAATTCGTCAAGGGAATCCCGAGGATGTTCTTCCAGCTCTCGCAAAAGAGTTCGGAGCCCACACTGTTAGAACAATTTTCGATTTCGATTCTTGCCAGAATCAGACAAGTAATTAACTGAAAGTCGTCGTGTTTGCATGTCAGGTTTACGCGCAGAAAGAAACCTGCAGCGAGGAGGTCAAAGTCGAGAGATTAGTTTCTAGAAACTTGCAGAAGCTTCCTAACGATGGCGGAAAATTGAAATTGGAGTTGATTTGGGGATGTAGTCTTTACCATATCGATGATCTTCCATTCAGCTGTCAATCCTTACCCGATGTCTACACTCAGTTCCGGAAGGTCCTCTGTTCTTCCTTCATCGTATCTATTCATAACAAGCTTTCCTTAATCTCTTCAGACACACACATATATATATAGACACACTGCTTCTAATGATTAGAACAACAGTCTGTCGAGTCGAAGGCTGCAATAAGGAGTTGCATCAAGCTCCCAGAATCGCTCGGCCCTGCTCCAAATGTTCGAGACTGGGGAAACATTCCGGAGGTTTCCGCGCTGGGGCTTTCACCGCAGAAGGCAACGCTCTTATTTGTATCTAATCGTAAGTATAATCGAGCGTGCCGCGCATTAATTAAACGCGACTTTTTGTGCATCTACGCAGGTCGAAAAAGGAATGGCATTCGTCGGGGGCGAAACCGGAGCTCTAAGTCGCGTGCACGAGTATTTCTGGAAAAAGGCGAGCGAGGCATTTTATGTGGTTCGATTGATCTTCGAATGAGCTTAATTTCAATCTATTTTTTTTTTTAGGATCTCTTGAGGAAATACAAATTAACCCGGAACGGAATGTTGGGACCCGATTATTCGACCAAGTTTTCGCCTTGGCTCGCGTCGGGAAGCCTTTCGCCGCGCTTTATTTACGAAGAGGTTCGGATTTATATAGCCGCGGTTTTCTTGATTGCTTATGATTTCATCGATTACGTAGTTTATCGTAAATCGACATGTTCAGATTAAGAGATACGAAAAACAGAGAGAAGCGAACGACTCTACTTATTGGTATTTCGAGCAATGCTTTGTTAGAACACAACTTATCCGATGAAAAACAAGAATGTATGTTGTAATCCGATAGCGTTTTTTTTCGCATCGCAGGGTGTTGTTCGAACTTATTTGGCGAGACTACTTTCGATTCTTGTCGATCAAGGAAGGGAACTCGATTTTTCATCCCGGTAAGAGACGTTAGAAAGCTATTTTACATACTGCTAGATTGAATACTACAACACTACAAGAAAATAGTATTTTTGTAATAAAAAATTTTCGTCATAAATTAACTTTTTCCGTTACTAGTGACATTAGAGACGGAATTATAGATGAAATTACGTTAGTTACATTAATTTTCGAGACAGAATTCTATTACAAATTTTGTAATAATAAAACCGTTTATATACATATCAATATAGGTGGTCCGCGAAAGGTACGCGCAAATTGGAGCCAAGACGAGGCGCTTTTCGACGCGTGGCGAAATGGGGAGACGGGGTAAGGAAAATCGAGGTTTTGGTTTCGTATGTGTTTCTTGTCCGAGCGAAGAAATCGATGATTTTTTTTTTGTTGTCCCGCTCTTAGGTATCCTCTTATCGACGCGAATATGAAAGAGTTGTCGACTACCGGATTCATGTCCAATCGCGGACGACAGGTTAGTTTCCGTCGAATTCTAGAAGCTCATTTTCGTCATAAATCAAAGGTTCACTCTGTTTTTTTAGTCGATTTTTCGACAGATTGTGTGTTCGTTCCTCGTCCGGGACATGGGCATCGACTGGCGGATGGGCGCTGAATGGTTCGAGACGAGTCTTTTGGACTACGATCCGTGTTCGAATTACGGGAATTGGACATACGGCGCAGGTACAAGTATTAATTACATACTCCCTCCGACCCTTTACAAACTATTCATTTTTTTTTTTATTTTGGTCTGTTCCATAACAAAGTATCAGTTTTTTTTAGTAACGGTATTATTTACTTAACATTACAAATACCCTTCAATTTATAATATATTATACAAATCTCGTTACATTTATATCATACAATACTACTAAGGTTAGTTTAGTATTTTTATTTTTATTTCTACTATATTTTAATATAATAATAATATTTCTAAAAATTCGTAAAAAAAAAGAAACGAATAGATAAATATGAGATGGAGAAACTGTTATAGTCTTTCAATATTTCTATTTATGGTGGATATGTCAATAAGCTTCTTTTTTTTTTTTTTTTTTTTTTCTAATGGCAGGTGTAGGGAACGACTCTAGAGAGGACCGTTACTTTAGTATTCCGAAACAAGTATGTAAGAAAGTTGATGTAGTGTAAGATTTTCAAATCAAAATGTCTCACAGTGTTACGTCTAAAGGCCTAATAAGTGTGTATAAATCTAGGCTCAAAACTACGATCCGGACGGCGATTTTGTGGCTTTCTGGTTGCCTCGGCTAAGACCGCTGCCTAAAGAGAAGCGACACCGTCCCGGAATGTCGTATTTGAAGCCGATCGTAGCTCTTAAGTTTGCGAATACGGCGCCGCAAATGAATGCCGGAAAAAAGAATGGGAAAAGTGTGCCATAGCTGAACTTGGATCATTCATCTTTAGGGACGATGGAAATAACTTGTTATGTAAAGAGTAAAAGTATGTCGATTTAATCGAGTGTTGCCCCAAAATTCAGTTCAGTTAGGGTGCTAGCCCATTCAACATATAAAAATATTATAGACAGGAAATAAATATAGAATAGACATTACAGGCCGTATAGAGTATTCGTGTCTACTGTCAATTTTATTATATATATATATATATATATATATTGTGTTAGTAGACTATGTAGTGAAATAAATTGAAGTATATGTTGTATGAACTACTATAATTATTTGTTAGTTTATATGTTGCATTTATATTATACTCCCTCCGTCCCAGATACCATGTCCAAGTTGTCGTTTCTGTCTGTCTTACATGCCATGTCACTTTCCTTTTTTTTAAAATGATTACACACTTTAATCTCATTTTAAATTTTTTAATTTTATTTTTTTTAACTTTAATTAAACTAATTAGTTATCTTAATCTTAATTTACAATTATTTATATTATAGGATAATTATTTTCACTAATACATTCTTAATTATCTACTAATTATACTCCTCCTAAAATACTGTGTAGCAGACACTGTATCTGGAACGGATGGAGTATATAAATATATTCCTTATCTTGTTGGTTTATAAATAATGTATTGTCCGTATATATTAATTTGTGTTGTCAATACTTTATAAATTGTACGTCTAATTAAAATTTAAAAAATAAAAAATAAATAAAATAAAATTAAAGTGTATAATTTTTTAAAATATGGACCGATAAAAATTGAAATATGAACATAATAAGTAGGACCAACGAGGAATGGAGTAATGTGGAAGTTGTCCATTATAAAGGCAACCTTAGTACATCCTTTTTCCTGCCAAATAAAGAGCTTAACTTCTTCAACTAATTAAGACAACAAATCAAAGTTTCCAAAAGTCCCAAAACCAAAAAAGAAACCTTACTTATTGCATCTCCAATGGTTGTCTCCTTCCTACAACCCCTCGACAACACCAAATCCATACACAATACTATATTTTTGCCCACAAATTAAATTTCACCATACATTCATCAGTAAGAAGGCCAGTAGTTCTCCAAATCCTCATCATCTTCGTCTATGCGCATATCTCCGGCGTACCCTCCGGCAGCCTCGTGATTGCCGCCGCCGCCGCCGCTCATCACATGATCTTGGAGGCTCATCCCCGGAACTATCACCTGAGGAGGAGCAATGCCGCCGCCCACATTCAAGTTCAAGCCGGAGACCGTGAAACTTCCGCCGATTCCGGCGGTGCTGGCGAGGTTGTAGCCCATCACCGGAAAGTTCATCATGGCGGCAGCGGCGGCGGCATAGGTGGTGGTGTTTCTTAGAGGGTGGATTACTGAGGTTTGGATGTGGTTTTGGGACATGTCTTGGAAAGAATTTGGAGGCCTTGAATGGTACCTTTTGGCTCCGGCGGTCTTTTGAAACACTCGACACACCACCCACCCGTCCTGTAATAAAAATAAAATAAAATCAATTTAAAATATAGCAATCGCAAATTTTCATATTATAAAATAAAATTTAAGAAAAAAAATTAAATATAGCTTCTATATAGTTTAGGTCTTGCAGAAAAATTTTTTACGTGGACAATCTCTGCGAAGCCACGTATATATTTTTACTGTCGAAAGAATATGGACAACAAATACAAAACTATTTTTATTCATGATAAAAAAAAAAAAAGGATAAAATGGTAACTATTGTGTTTTTCTACCCATAGAAAAAATATGGCGACCCATATACATTTTTATTTTCTGAAAAATTTATAAAATAAGACATAGGATTTTTTTTCACTTTTTATTTTTATTTTTGGATGAATGTATTTTCTAGATTGAGAATTGTATAATATAAAAATAATAATATTTTGTGTTTAATTATTGAATGTTTTAGAATATATAATTTATAAAGGGTGTGTTTGTTTGGGGGTTTGGATTTTGAGTTGGATTTGGATAGTAAAAAATTTGAATTTGAATAGTAGTATGATGTGATATAAATAGGCGTTGGATACGATGTTTTGAATGTAAAATTAATTTTTAGTATAATATAAAAAATGAAAAATAGGTGTTTGGTGATTAGGATTGTAATTATTTATGAGTATGTGACGTGTGGATTATTATTAGTTCATACTATATATATATATTTGTATTATATTAATATATATTTTGTGTTGAAATCAATTATGACATATTACTATATATATATATATATTATCGGTTGATGTATATAAATCGATGCATAGTTACCTTGGTGGATTTGAAAGGAGATTTGGAATGAATTCGATACTCATGCATGACCCAATTGGACTTCTCTCCTCTTGGAGCTCTTCCTTTGTAGAAGACCAATGTCTTCTTCATTCCCACGAGCTCTGTCGACGCGTTGCTGTTGTATATCTCTTTGTCCTTTCCCGTCGTCTTCCAATATCCGGTGTTTGTCGCGCGATTTGTCCTCACTCCCGTCGGATATTTCCTGTCCCGAAGGCTGAAGAAGTACCACTCTTTCACTCCCATTTTTGCCTTTGCTATATATTAATGTGTCATAACAAATTAAATGAAATAATATTAGGTTATCAAAAATAATAATATTTGTCATTAAAGATTATATATAGTAATTTTAGTAATTAATAAAAAATTGGTAGCTACTTATTTATAATAGAGTATCATATAGTGAGTAGTACTGGTGCAACTTTTTTTTTTTTCTTTTATTTTTCTCAAGAACAATATAATTATCATTTTATAGATTTTTCTTAACCATGACAATCATTGGGTTTAATTTTATCTTTTTTGACAAATAATAATCCAATATAATAATAAATTGAATCATTTCCCAAAGAAAAAGTAAAGGTGTGCTTAATTTCAATTTTTTTCAATTCTTTGCTTACAATTCTCAATGAAAATATGATAATTTTTTTCTTGAAACTTTTTTAAAAAGTAATAAAAGTAAATATATTAATAATAATCTCACAATTTTTAATATACAATAACAATAATGTCAAAATTTTCTAAACACTAAAACAACACAACCTAAAATTCAAAGGAAAATAAAAAGTATTAATATTCAAGAAACCCTAATTTTGTTACTTGATCTGTGATTTGTGTGTGTATATATATATATATATATTGTCACTTAATGTAAGTAAATTATAATGAAAAAAATAATATATTTTCATTGAAAATAATAAAATTTACATAGTAAAAGAAAAAATGAAATTTTCTTTGAACAAAAATAAGTTCTCATTTAGGGCTTCAAAAACCCTAATTTTAGCTGTATTCAAACCCTAATTAAGACTGTAGCAAAGGTTGCAATCATCCAACTTATCGATGTAAAAACCAAAAAAAAAACCAAATCACCAGGAAGATCCCACGGCTCGGATTTGTTGAGATCGACGTCTCCAATAGCTCGTGCAGTGAAATTCTGGTCGGCGATCTTGTTGATCAGATAGTATGTGATGAGTTCTTCGTCTGTCGGGTGGAACCTAAACCCTGGCGGCAACGATGGTGGTTCTTCCTTGGCTGCCGGCTGAGCTTGCTTACCTCCTCCTTCCATGGCTAACTATACTTTTTTAATTTTATTTGGCTTTTTGTTAAAGCTTTTCTCTAGCTGACTCAAGAAAGAGCTATGAAAATTAAAAGTTATCTTGTTATGTAATAATCAAATTAAACCCTAGTTAGGTATATGGTCACTCTTGCAAGAAATCGAATAATTTTTATTTTTTTATTTATCATATATATGTATATTATATGTGTGCATACATGCATATATTATAATGAAGACATATTTCTTGTAAATTGAATTTTCATACAAGAAATTGGAATAGTGGCTTACTTGAACAATATTCTAGGGGTAATATATATGTAATATGTAAACAATATTAAATATTATTTCATCAGCTATTTAAATTTATGTTTATATTTTTCATAAAAAAATTTATTTCCCTTTTTTAGTTTTGCATTTTTTTTTACAAGACAAAAAACTTAATAATAATTACTATTTTTATTAAAAACTCGTACTTGATCATTTAAGTACAAATTTACATTAGGGATTTACGCAATATATTATAAGATATATATCAAACAAAATTGTATTATCATAACAATAAAAAATTTCAATATTATAAAAATAAATATTATGTGCTTTGTTTTTGTAATTAAATTCAAAATATAAAATAAAATATTTCTAATATTTAGGATAAATTTTAACACGACACTAACATAATTTTTGCACTATATTTAATGTATAACATACTTAACAATTATAATATTAAATTTTTTTTACCAAAATCATTGTTCCGTCTATAATTAACGAAGCGTTCAACCCTTACGGAGTTTATGCATGAGTACATACACTAAAAAAATTATAAGAAAACATAAATATTCTTATAAGTACGAGTAATATATTTAAAATAAATAATTTTTCATTGTAATAATAAAAAAATTATCATAAATAATGCAAAAGCTTCTAATAACTATGCCCCATATAGGGTAGCTATTATGAATTTTCTCATTAAAAAAAAAATAATAATCTGAGAATAACTAATAAATAATCAATTTTTTCTTACCTAAAATAATAAAACTTTTTGTTTTCTATTATTGTAAATAATGGTGATAATATATCATTTAATACATATATTGGTAATGACACCTACTAATGGCTATTATTCAAAACTAATGCCTTTAGGTAACAACAAAAGAAAATGTTTCTACTTTCTAGTTCATTTAGTACAAAAATATACATTTCGTTCTTGCAACATATTTTTCATTTGAAAAATAGAAAAAAAGGCTAATATATATATATATATATAATTTGTTTCCGTAGTTATATATCATCTGTTATGCAGCAACATTAGTAAATAATAATTACTCGAAAATACTCGATCCCAAAATTCAAACATAAATTTCCAAACCCGACAAATGTCTAATTTTTTTTAGTTTTTCCGCTAGCCCGATACTAAATAACCGATCTCTAATCTAACGAGTTCTTCGCGCAGCTCCGAGGATGTCCTGTCCTGTCCTGTCGTCGGCTGAAACTCCAATAAACTCATCGGGAGCTATACCTCAAAACTGGGACAAGTTTTTCGAAGAACAGTGAACTGATCTTGTCTCGACATTACCTGCCGGGCACTTGTCAACTAGTCTATCGACTCGTTTCAGTGGGCCCCGGATTGATGAGATGCCTACGCCTCCTCGACTCTCGACCCGACTCAAATACAGCTTATGCTTATCCTGAGAAATGAACATAAACAGACAATTCCTCATTTTTTGCTTCCATCACCATCAAATCTACAGTTTGGCAGCCTACTTGTGATGCACTTCAATTTAGTTTAATCCAAACTTGTAACACTAACATATAATGAATGATTCATGTCGAAAGCGATACTTTTTCGAGAAGCTTTTAATATTACAAGTTCAATTTCATAAGAAAACACCACAAAATAATCATAAATCATCATCCTTGTCCCCAAAAATCGAAATATAATCTCAACTAAAATTCAAAATCACAATCGCTATTGCTATACTATCAACAGTAACAAACTTTGAGAAATAATTCATATATTGATTAAAAAAAAAATTCTTTCCTTAATGAAAATCCGAAACCATTGGCGAAATTAGGCAATGAATTGAGATTTTTAAGGCCGGGGGATGGGAAAACTGACCTTATTCTCATCGTGAATTTATTACCAAGTTGGCTGGGATCGATCACAGAAGATCTTCGTCATCACCGCTGCTGAAAGATTCAAGAACCTCACTGTCGTTGTCCTCGTCGTCTTCCTCGCCTTCGGTAACAATCTCCAGAATATGATCGGCATCGAAATCCTCCATTGTGAAGTCCCCATCATCCTCTTCATCAAACTCGCCCAAACTGTCATCAGCATCGCTATCGCCATCATCGTCTAGATCAGCTTCCAGAATGGAATCATCGTCCCCTTCGTCGTCTTCGTCGTCTTCATCTTCGCTTTCCGCATCATCGGGGTCAGAGTCATCGTCTGTCGGTTTGCGCCTTCCGATTTCGTACACCCTAGCAGAAGCATACATCTCATCTTGGTCATCCATTGTAACTAGCCCCACAAAAGAATCAGTCGGTTCGGTTGCAAAGTCGAGCACACAGCGGTCCACGGGAATTGTTGCAATATCCGAATAGTTGACAGCATCCACAGTTCGAAAAGCAGAAAAGAGAGGGTGCTTCACACGGCGCGTGTTGAACGCTGAAGTGACTTCCTCTAGATTTCGCCTCAGGATCGCATATATAACATCGCCACTGGCATTAAATGTTATCACCGTCTGATCTAATGATGGCACACTTCGGAGAAGCCTAAAGTTCCGGAGATCCCACACCTCTGAGTTTATGATTACCTATTTCCAAGTAAATGAAAAACAATCGAACTTAAGCATAAGCTAATATCTACAATCTTTATTCAAATCGAAGTTAGAATTTAAATTTTTAAAAACATATTATAATTAAACATTACAAATAATACCTCATTCCCAGCAGGATGGAAGCCCCCACCACCATAGTCAGTAAATTGATCAAATCGATGAATCGGCCCAGAGCCCCTGCGGTCCCACAAAACTCCATTCCAAAGCAGCATTGAGTCGGAGGGATTAAAGTGAACATAAGAATATGCATGGCCACGTCCAGACGGATTATTGGAAGTATCAGTCAGTGTTAGATCCAATTGACAGGACTGGATATCATATACAAGGATCTCACGCCGTGATGAATCTGGTCGCAGCGCTGCAAACATGGTACCTGAATTAGAGAATCGTGCAGCTTTGATTGCATCGAAGGAATGCTTGGGGCCAGCACAGATTGAAGATGCATCCCATAGGCGAACATCAGCCCCAGATGACGAAAGAGCGAGTGTAGTTTGCCCAGAAAAGTGCGACTGCAGCATCGTAACCGGTGATTGATGACTAGTGCAACTCTCCAATACATTGTTGCTGTTAGTATCGAACACTCTCAGTTCCCCAGTGTGGCCACCAGTAGCAATCCGAGAAGAGTCTCCGAGGAAAGATATGCAAGTCAACAGGGAGCTAAACTCATCTCGGCATGTTCTCCAAGGTCTGAATCTGCTATAAACAAATTGCCGATCCTTGCGACGCCCATGGGTTCCCCCATACATACTTCTAAACTCACGTGTGCTGAGGCGGGATGTCACATTTGATGGAGCATCAAGTGTTCTTCTTGGCTCAGGGCAGACATGAGGATGCAAGAGCGAAAAAGGAGGCAGTGTCGTAATAGGAGCCGGGCACTGACGATGCTGGTGCTTTAAATACTGAACAACGATGGAATCTAAAGTGAGCCGCTCAGGACCAGAAGGCTGTGGATCATTCACAAACCCATGTTGAGGGGTATATGTCGGACTGGTTAGCAAACTGTCATCAGAGGCCGGAACATTAGGCAGCGAGCGGTTGTGATGATCCTTTGGAGTGAAGCTTGGTGTGCATAACAAGTTCGGATCCACCTGCAGGCCACTTCTACGAGCAGTATTAGGTGTTGAAAAACCAGGTGATCTGAGGGTATGTTCACCAGTGTTGAGCCTTTTCACCGAGGATCCAAACCCACTTTCCTTCACATCTGTTAATTTCCTTTTCATTGGCAACACTATTGGAGTTCTAATTTGATTGTCTGGATCGCCACTTGATTTCCCCGTAGACACTGATGGTGTTCCTGAAACATCTCCACCTACAGAAACATTCGGCGATCCAAAGCTTGCTTTGTTGTTCATGGGCACCGGGCTGTCCAGATTTTTTGAGGAACTACGAGCAGCAGAGAATGACCATGGTTTCTTCTTTGAGGACAAGCTTCCAGGCTCATTTCTCAAGCTGGAATCATTAACATTTGGTTTATCCGACAAGAATCCACAAGCTGCTCGTCCAGATGGCCATTGCATTTGTACTGATGACAATTCCTGCCCAGATGTATGTTGTGCTAAAGATGATGGAGCAGCCAAGGATGGCAATGGTGATAACTTAGACTCTTTGAGAAGCAAAGATGCAGTGTCAGCTAATCCAGATGCTTGAAGGTGCTCATGGATAAGGAGTAACAGTTCCCTGAAGTATGGATAAGGTGATGTCGATCAGAAGAAAATTAAAAGAAAAACCATGATCCATACATCTAGGCAAGATGATTATCAAATACCTAGAATGATAAGAAACTGGAGTAGCAGCAGCAATGGCTGCTCTTTCAATGCGTCTCAAAGTGGGAGTCGCTGCATCACTAGCTGCTAAAGTACTTGCACGTCCAGAATTAGTTACAACCTTCAAATTCAAAACAGCAGTATCAGCATAATGAAACAAAATATAATTTCAAAAAGAGCAAGTGCAAATCTGACAAGACTAAGATCAGGTCTGAACATTATGCTTGTATTATCCAATTTTATGACTTGTATTTTCAGATTAGATCACAATATATATAATCAATAGATAGCCCAGAGGTTATTCAGCCAAATATATATATATATATATTTATATATCAAGTGTAAGGCTTGTCCGGAGTAATACTAGCTAAAGTCTGCACATGTTTAGGCAAAGTTTCCTCTTGAAATCTAATGATAACACGAAGAAATTAGAACGCACCCCAATAAGCTCAATAGTCACTTGAGTCAATTCGGCCTGCCACCTATTTTGGTCACCACTGGCAGTTTGGCTCCCAGAATCTCGGATGAGTTCTGATAATTTTTTCCCAACCTAAAAAAACATAAATAATAAAATAATATTAGAAAGCTTAAGGCGATGGTGTGCATTTGCCATTTCACAATTTGAAAAAGAAAATTAGTTCATTCCCTATTCAATACTATGATTGATTGATAAACCAAAACCACAGCAGTACCAAGCTACACCAACCTGAAGTTTCGTCAATATATGTGCAATAGCATCATCTCTTGCTAAACCTAAAAGTACTCGGCATGTAAGAGCACGAAGACAATCAAGAGCTGCAGGGGATGTCACCATTCGAGGTTGGAGAAGCTGAAGAAGAACCTTTATACCATTGTTTGCACGAACAGCTTCCCTAGCTTGACGATATCCTTGTTCAAGCTGAGCAGCAAGCCCAGCACAACCTGCTCCAGCACCTAAAGAAATCCTGCGATCTCCAACTAAACCAGAAGAACCTAACGAAGCAGATGCCTGTGATGATGAAGTGTTACCAACAGATGATGACATAGGTACTGTTGAACCACCTCTATCCACAGAAGTCAGTTCTCCAGTTCGGTCCCTTGATTCATTCTGATTCGGAATGCTGGCACCACGCTCCGGGACATTCCTCTCTGAATTTCTGTCCCTAGAGTCTATAGCAGATTGATTTCCAGCTTGGGTAGAAGAACCTTGCTGACCTTGCATGAGACTTGGTTTATTGCTTATTGATGGAGGAGGGCAGACGAGGTTTATTAACAGATTCAGTGCAGGTTCAACAATCTACACAATGAAAATTTTCAAAGTTAATTGAGGCACAAATAACTGTAAAAAATACCATACAGCTGATGCACAAACATTACCTCAGGTTCAACATAACCAGCACCATTTGCAGCGTCCAAAATGACGGCTATACCAACCCGATCATTGGACAATGTGGCATTCACAATAGGTTTGCGACTATAAGGAACCAAAGTTACAATGTGCAATACACCAAGTGCATATTGAAGTAAATCATGCAAATAGCGCTCGACCGGAGGAGCCTACAATACATACAAATAGATTACTACTACTGTAGAGACAGACGGCATATGTGCAAAATAATAATAATAATAATAATAATAATAATAACAACAATAACAACATCAACAATAATAATAATAATAATATAAAATGCAATGTCACACCTGGCACAGCTCCAACATAGTTATATGACCATTTGAAGATAAAAATTTGTCAACAACAGGCCAACGAGCGCGGGCGAGAGCAGGACCAAGCTTCCGATCCTTCTGTATTTGGCGAAATACAGCATCTATTGCCTCATTACTTATGTCAAGTGGCTTGTAGGCTGCCCTTGAAGCATTGCGGGGTGCACTGCGAACGTTCTTGTTAGGTCGAATAGAATCCACAAGCAAGAGGAGATGCGCCCTGAAATATTGTCGCAGCGCCACACAAGTATGATAAGCTATCTGTTTCTCCGAAGAGGTCAGTACATCCGCGACAGATCGATCATTTCGAAGTGATCCTGGGTTATTTGATGGCCCAGGAGGAACACCAGATCTCACAGAGGCTGCATCATGCAACAAAGAAAGCAATTTCTGTAAGCCATCCTGTGCATCAAATGCATCAATGACCGCTCTGAAGACAAAAGCAGCAGCAAAAAATAAATCAGCGTTCTTTCTGGCTTGGTCCTGGGGGCATTCAAGAAGTTGAAGAGCCAACTCAACAATCTGATGGACAATATTTGGCGGAAGAGAACAAACACGCTCCATTATCACCTGCAATAGTATAGAGTGAATAAAAAACTATCCTCAACAAATGGTACAAAGCTGCAAGAAAATAAAGAGTAAACAAACAAATTATAGCAAGTTGTGTCTAGTGCGAGTGGAAACAACTTGAGATATGGGCAAGACAAACTACCTGAATTGACCCGATAGTAAATAAGCAGGAAGAAAGACCCACATACGTATGGGCATTTCTTGGAGTCGCAAGGAGTCTCTGCATGCCCCCACGATCAACAAACAATGCAGAAAACTTTCTATGAGCAGCCAATGCACATATTAGCTTCAAAATATCATTCATAAGGAATTTAGTGTAGGGTGTTTCTTTGAGCTTAAGACTTCGCTGCAATAATGCAAGGCATACATCTACTCCCTTCTCATGGAGTACAGGACCAAGAACTTCAACATACTCCCCAAGAAACACAAGACACTGGATACAGAATTTTTCTCTCAACTTCGCAAGGGTATGACCATCTGGAATAGAAAATTCAGCAAACTCATCGTTACTCTCTGGTTCCATAGGCTTTGAATTCTCCAAATCATCATTAGTATTGCTTGAACTCCTACAAGTATCAACATATCAAATGAAAACATAGATATATGGTGTAAATAACTATGTCTCAAACACAAAATGATAAAAACATATCGGAAAGTGTCATCAGTACGAGAAGCATAGGACCACCAACCTTGCAAGAGCAACTGCACTAGCAGCATCCATAACAGTGGATGCAGCTCTGGATGCAGCAACCACAGCAGCTTCTTCATCATTCGTCTTCTTGTATTCCTGCAGTAAATAAATGCGCAGATATGTTCATGAGAAACAAGCATTCAACAATAACCTAGAGAGGTGAGAGAACTTGCTCACCTCTAATGCGGCTGTCTTGACGACCTCAGCGGCATCATCACCCGCAGCCTTAATGGCACAGGCAGGTGCATGGGCTGTTCTTGCTTCTGCCTCAGCAGCTCTGACTGCTTTCTTAACCAACTCAGTAATGTCTTTGGAGCCAACCTTGCATCCTTGGAAGCAATCATCAGTATCATCTCTTTCAAGGATGAAAGAATCACCATTGTTTCTACTTAAACCTTTTTTAGCATCAAAAGTTTTTCTCGGTTCTTGACTTCTCATCAGACTCTTTTCCTTCCCAATCCGTCCCACTCCAGACCTAGCGGCAGAACCTGGAGAGGTGAGAACTTGCTCATTCTCAGAAACTCCTTCATTGGACCTACCTCTTGATCGCGATCTCGATAGTCCGCGATTTGCCCTTCGTCTGGAAGATTCATCTCTCACATTTTCATCAAAGTCATCTTCCCTAAGAGACTTTCCACCAGGTTTAGCTTTTGACTGGCGGAGATCCCTAATACTGCCCTTCTCGTCACTATCTGCTTCAGCATCATATGCATCAACCTCAGGAGCTACACTATCAAGATGTTCCTCATCACCCCAGTAAGCATCCCCATATGTTTGCCTAGTGCCACCCCTCTCATCATCTCTATCAAGGTTGTCCATAGATGTGGGATCTTTATCACGTTCCCTCTCAGTAGGATGGGCTTTGAAAGTCTCTGCATCTATGTGAGAACTCTCTGTCACTTGCTTTGTCCTACCCCTGCCATCCTCTTTCACTTTTAGAGCCGTGCTGGACACACTTTTGTTGTCAAACAATACATTAGAATCCTTTTGGTTTGTGATTGTGTCGCCCAAAACCCGTACTCGTAGATATCGCATTAGTTTAGATGATAAACCAGATGTCAACACATCTTCCACTAGCTGACCACCACTGAAATAGCAACATTCAAAAGGAAATTATGAGAGGGCAAGGAAAAAGTAAAAAAAAGAAAAGAAAAAAGCAGTAGTAGAGTGTAAAAAACAATTCCGGAATATACTTCTCCAAGCATGCAGCCAGCAGGCCAGTAGCATAGGTGCGCAACATTTCAGTATCCGACGCCTTTCTTTTCCCAGAATCATGCTTCCAATACCGATCATCACCATCCATTACCCAGCTTCTTATGTTAGTTAGAACATCATCTTCAAACACATGTTGATACTACATTACAAACAGCATTCAGTATAATAAGCAGGGTGATAATACATTGAAACAGGAATACAAGTAATGGTATATGCAGCAGTGGCAGCATGACAGATACAATCATCATAACAATACAGTCTACTTTTACTTCTGAAATTAAGTTGCATAAGAAAGTTATTTCTGTACCACATAAGTTAACGAACAACTGTACATAAGCCTTGCAGTTGCTGCTTGCACTGATGTTGAATATCTACTTTCAGTTAGAAATTTTGAAGATATCAATTCGAAAAATTCTTCGTTCTCCTGCAGAAAGAGAAATTGAGGGTAAAAGTTAGCTCTTCTTACAAAGAATAAATGCATAGCAGCTAGTTTGGCAGAGGGTAAAACCCCACTCTACAACCAACTGGATACAATCCCACCCTAAATTTCAGATATATATATATATATATATAGAGAGAGAGAGAGAGACATATAATCTAGGTGCAAAAAACCAGTCAAAATATGCAAGAATGGAACTAAAAAATGCAGCAAAATACCCGAATAAGGTTACCAAGCCGTCCCACGTTATGAGAAGACCTGGTGTTATTTGTTGAAGAGTGATCTGCATCTTCCAAATATCTGTGGATGAGAGAGGGGTAAATAAAATTATTGATATGCGAGCACAGACTTGAGAGTTAAAATAATTAATCATTGTAGTATTGTCTTTTAATAAAAATTAATGTGACAACCTTTTTGTGCCATCTCAACTCAACTACACTTCAAGGAGTTTCTAAATGGTGAAATTGCTGTCTCAAACAAAACGGCCTGGACTATTTTTTGGCGGAATCACTTCCCAAGCACTAGGTAACTAATATACAAACAAACAAACCTCATCCAATAAACATAAATCATCATTGTCCGCGTTGTCCCGAGCTAGATATTTGCATACCTTTTAACTTTTAAACAGATCGACATGTTTCAAATCCTCACATTTGTAGTTGCTTAATGTAAATGCTTAACTACAATGTTTGATCAAGCAATGCACATAATCCTAAATATATAACCCTTAACATTACAATTCATTTCGACTGTAATGAGAAAACCTCGGGGAGCATGTCCAATAATTTATAGATCTCCATCGCCATCCACATGAGTTCAATATCTCATAATGAAAGTACTCAAATTCCATGCTCTGGCATGACAAATCAACTTCATGACTAAACAAAGTGTATGATCAAGTAAAGCAAAAGCTACAGGAAGCCATAATATTAATTGTAACAAGAAACAAACAAACAAATAAATAAACTGTATTCCATCAATACAGGGATAGGAGATTTAATATTCTAAAACTAGACAAACCTACGATTTGAAAATGGATAAAATCCTCCAGTTACCATTGTTACCATACTGCATTAACTATGGATATACCCAAATTTTCACTCATAAGTTCCAATAACAACATATCCATTTCTAAGAACCACATTCACTAACAATCATCCCAAAATCTCGGACCAATTTACATTAAACAAAGCCTTCATGGTTCAAATAAGCCTATTCCAATCCCTCCCACTCCCAGGCGGCAGCAGCAGCACCAACGGCCTTAATAATTTTCTACTTTTTCTACCCCATCAAATTCTCTTTATGTCTTTAAGACTACTAACAGATCAAACGGAAATATATATATATATTAAACGAAAAACATAAACGTAAACAGAACGAACAAGAATATATAATTTTGAAACACAATAAACATGACACTCCCACCCAGAGTGTACCAAAAAATGACCCATATACGTAAAAAAAAAATATAAAATGCTGCTAAAGTTAACGCCGCGCAGAAGAAATTCAACCTGGACTCTTGGGCCTCAAGAATAGTGGCGAGAGCATGTAATACATTAGGGTTAGGGTTGTCAGGGTTCGCTGTGATCTTATCCATCAAGGATTGCGCTTTCGCTATCAAAACATCATTCTCAGCCTCCTCCTGCTGTTCTTGCCGCTCCTGCTGTCCTTCGGCGGCCTCCGCCTCCGCGGTCTGTGCCCGCGGCTCGGAGTCCCCAGGCATCTCCATAAGCGAAATACAACGAATACGACCAAATTTTCACGAACACGCTGAAAACCTCGAATCGTAATTAATTTTCGGTCCCAAAGTTCCAGCAGCTGGCGGAGGAATTTGAATCCCCGAAGCGAGTTCCGATTGTATTTATAGTGTTTCACGGGAAGGCGAAAGACGGAGAGGGTGAATAGGTACAGCTATTGAAGCGCGGGGTACTGCATTCCAAGGGTTTCTTTTTATTTCATTCCTCTCGAATCATCCCGATCACCCGGACCCGATTATCGACCCGATTACCCGTTATTGAACTCAGTAAAATAATCCGGGTAACCATAAACACATTTTTGTCTGGATATATAAAAATTAATGTAATCATATTAAGATAAATAAAAAGTTAAATTTTAAGAAAATCTATAATAGAAATAAAAATAAAAAATAAAAAATCTGTAAGAAAATAAATATATATATATATATATGTGGTGGTAATGATGCTGATTTAGCATATTGATTTCTATCATCAAGATCCATCAAAATTTCAAAAGGTACATAAGAGTCCATATAACATATATTGCCTTAATATATGAACACTCTACTTTTTAAATAAAATTATGTTAATATTTTTTTATTTATAAAAAATATGTTACTATTAAATTAAGTAAAAAAAAATTGAATAACGTGAGAACCCGTAGCCGCTACTCGAAGATGCGCACTAGGTAAACTCTCGTCCGAACCTAATATCCTACAAACTAGGCCCGACAAAAAAGTTACGGTGAGGCGAACCGTGGCAGGTGACCTGAGTCAAACCATATGCTGAATTATTAAATTCAAAATGTATGCTGATGCTTACAAAATTAATTTAACTAATTGCATTAATTAATAGTGTAAATTAAATTATTAGATTTATAAGCATTCACCATACATATACGAATTTTTAGCATATGATCCATAACTTTTTTTTTTTCACATCATTTTATTTTGATTCAAATTTACATTATTATTTCTATAAAGTTTTACTAATGTCATTACAAAAAAAATATAAAATTAATGTTAAAATATTATAGTACTCCTTTTCAAAAAAAAACATCATAATTAAAAAAAAAAATTGAACATAATTTTACAACACTAAAAAGAATATTTAATTTTGTATATTTTTAAAAAAATTATAAATTATAAGTACTTACAAAAATATCATCTAAACAATGAAATCAAATACCCTAAATAGTAAGTACATACATACATATATATATATATATATCAAACATCGATCACAATCAACATACACGATCAATGCATCGATCAGGTCACACTCTACACAACAACAAAATGGCCGATACAAACACCGGCAGCAGCCGACCCAGGAAGCCGAATGGCCTCGACAATAACCCGCCGCTGCCGCCGCTCCCCTGTTTCGGCGCATCGATCATAACCGGAAACCTACACGGCCCGACCGACGGATCCTGCGTCGTGATCGAGCCGAGGTTCCCGAACCGGCATGCAATGTCGAGTTGGTTGTTTATCTGAAAATAGCTATTAAATGCGTACGATATATTTTGCTGCGCGTTCAAGTTCGCACACGACGTCCCGTAGCCGAGGCTCGTGCAATCGGCCCGGCCGCACGCGTAGCTCACGCTCGCCGCAACTTGCGGGTCCTGAAGATTTGCCGACGACGACAACACGCACCAACGTCTCGGGAGATATCGAACGTCCCTCGCCGCGACTAGCGACCCGCCGCCGCCGAGGCTGAGATTGTACTTCGGCGTCCCGTCGTAATTAAATATCCCCCAATGCCGCTCGAAGTTCCCCGGCTGGATGCTTTTCGCATCCTCGTCGATGAGGCTAAATAGATACGCCGAGATCGGACCCGGCCTCATCGGAGTTCCTTTATTCATGTGCGAGACGAAGCCTTGATTGAACCGTTGCGCGTACCCTAAATTCGCGCTGCGATCGCCGTCGGTCGGCCATCCGATCTCTCCGACGAGGATCGTCATGTTGCCGAATCCCGACTTTTGCAGAGCCCAAATTAGGGTGTCGTAATTGGCGTCGAATGTGTTGGCGTATATCCGGCCGTTGTCGTCGATCGGCGACGAGTAGCCGTCGAAGAAGGCGTAGTCGACCGGAAAGTTGGGGTCGTTGTATAGGCTGATGAAAGGGTAGATGTTGACGGTGAACGGGCCGCCGTTTTGGCTGAGGAAGCCGACGATTTGCAGCATTGCATCGCGGATGTCCGGCCGGAAGTCGCCGGAGGACGGCTGCTGAGTCGGGCTCTGGTAGACGTCAGCGTTGAGCGGGACGGTGACGCGGACGCGGGAGCCGAGGCCGGCTTTGATCAGCGCTGCCTGAATGTTCTGCACCGCCGGCAGCGTCGTGCTCAGGTATGTCCCATTGTACGTCGACAGGAACGGCTCGTTCCCGACGGCGACGTATCTGAACAGCAAAGATCGAAGAATATATAAATTAATTTGTTAGATGATATAAATGATCGTTTACGTTACTCAGATGCATAGGGGGTAAATGTGGACAACAATAAACCGGAGACTGACCTAAAAAATTTAAATAGAGAATGAGAATTGAATCTCTTATTTAGTAAAATAGAGAATTTAGCTGATAAGTGTAAATGAAATGCAGCTATTCCAATCGAACAAGAATAAATAATTACAAAAACTAGTAAAAATTCATAAAAGAAAATAAATTATAGGGTGTGTTTGTTCGGGGGTTTGGATTTTGGATTGGGATTTGAATAGTAAAAATTTTGAATTTGAATAGTTGTATGATGTGATATAAATAGGGTTTGATGTGATGTTTTGAATGTAAAATTGATTTTTAGTATAATATAAAAAATGAAAAATAGGTGTTTGATTTGATGTTTTTGGGGGGAAAAAATTGGATGAATAGTGGAAATCCTCCAAAATCCTTCAAACAAACACACCCATACTGTCTCCGTCCCATTGTAGAGTTATCATCTTTTTACTTTTGTCTTATGTTATCATTTTCTAATTTAGTAATGGTATTACATAACTAACTGACATAATAAATACTTTCCAACTTACATTATATTACATAAATGTCATTATTCAAAAATCTATCTAAAAAAAATAAACAGTAATCTTTCTACGAGAGGAAAGAGGGACAGGGGAGAGAGTATACAATGTTATGTAAAATGATATTTTAGTAATATAATTTAAAAAAAATCATAAAACTAAAAAACTGAATAATAAATTAAATATAATTTTTATAAAATATAAATATTATCATTTCTTTACTATCGATTTTCTGGGACAAACACCCCCAAAATATCATATTAAATTAAGTAAAATGGCTCTAAAAATGATTAAGAAAAGCATCATTTATTTATTTATTTATTTATCTATTGATCATAATAATTGAATTAGGATTGGGGAAGTGATTTTGACCTAATGTCGACGCTGTTGGAGGAGACGTGGGCGGAGACGTTCTTCTCCACCCATTTCTCGGCGGCGGCGACGCTGTTGGCGATGGCGGCCAACATTTCGTTAGGGATTCCGACCATGACTTCGATGCCGGAGCCACTTAGGGCATTCAAAACCCTAGATTCTGCATCGAACAATTTCACCTGCTGAATTCCATTATCTTTCAGGAGCTTGACGACGGTGGAAGGCGGCAGAGGATGGGTCGCCTGAGTGCCCCAATTAGCCCCAATACACTCCGCCGTTTCCGCCATGGAAAGCACCAGAAAAGCTGCAACTCCCAGCCTGTATCTTCTTCCCCAAATCCAATCCATAAGAACAGCAAAAAATTCAAATAAACAAAAAGGATCGAGAAAGATAAGCCCTTATTTTTCAGCAGCTAATGAAATTGAAGAAGGAGATGATAAATTGAGAAGGCAGGGAAGCTCTGAGCAGACAAAAATGGCGGAAATGGCGACGATAGGTTAAGATTTGCAGAGACGATCTTGTAGCTCAAGCTTTCAATTTTTAGACATTAGAAACAGTGGGAGTGAGATTGAGACGAGTTTCGATCTTCCCCAGAAAAATATGATTCGATTGTGTACATGTGGAGAAGTGGCGTTAGAGGGGAAAGGAGAGTGCTTTATTTGCTGTCGCGATGGCGGTGGTCCGTTGAAGAAAGGAATCGGACAAAGTGGTGGCTTGCTTTTGGAATGGAAGATGGTGACACGTGTGCTCTCCAGGTTGGGACACGTGTGCCATTCCATTCTCCCTTAATTTTCTATTGAATGAATGTAAACTATTGAACATACTGCTCCCTCCGTCAAGTGGCTAGTATCAAGTATGACAATTTTAAAATTAAAAGTGATGTAATTGAAGAAAAATTGATCTGTATTTTTTTATTTAATTAATCTGATAGGATAAAATAAAATATATTAATATATATATATAAATATAATTATTTATTTTTAAATTTAAAAATATTATTATTTATTTAAAATAAATAAAAAATAATATTACCGATGTTTGAGACGGAGAAAATACGTAATAAAATGAATAGATCATATCACGTGGCTATTATTAGTATTATAAATTTTGTTGTTGTAATAATTCGATTCGGTTTGGGGGGAAGTTATTGCTCTTCAAGTAATATATATTAAAAAAAATATACTGTATTAGTAATAAGGTTAATAATTAAATATAAAATATAATTTTAGATTTAATATAAAAATATATATTTGTTGATATAATTTTTCAACAAAAATAAAGTAAAATTCAAAGATATAGAAAATATCCTTAAACTTGATTAATTAGTGTCTGAGATTAGGAATATCTAAACACTGTATGGTACAGAAAATAAACTGGAAAATAAAAGACTGAAATTTAAAGTGGTGATCCCCAAATCTGACTTTGCTTTGTTGAAGTTGATTGAAGATGCCTTTTCAGAATAAATCTGAATCCTTAAATAACCTTTGAAGAAAACGGTTTGAACCGCCGTCTGGTCGGTTACAGCAACCGCTGTCAACCGACCATCAAATTCTCCTCAATTGACACGTGTTACAACTTCCTTCAACCTCCCCAAACCTCTCACGCCTTAAACCGTCCCAGAAATGCCATTCGCCCGACCTAAGTGCTACCCGACCAATCCAGAGACTAACTGGTCGCCGGACTGAACGATTTATTGGTCGCCCCATCAAGCGACCAACATCTGATTTCCCCATACGATTCAATGGTCGCCCCAACCAGGCGACCGCCATCGAGTCTCTTGCCCGACCACGTATCGTCCGTCTCATTCTTCTTCGCCCGACATCATTTGGGCCGACCTCCGCATCAGCCGCCCTCCGTCTTTGACCGACTTTAATTGGTCCGACCATGGACCAACCAAATGTGGTCCCGACCACGGACCAACCGACCGGCTCTATTTGTCTTATCTCTTTAGAAGGACAGACTGTCCTCTGGACAGACCTCCGCATCTGTCCGTACCTCTTCCTTGCCCGACCTTTCTCTTGACCAACCTTCGCCTCTGCCTGACTTCGTCTTTCACCCGATCTACGGTTTACCCGACTTGGGTACACCTTTTTTTTTAGACTCCGCCCGACCTTTCTTCCTTTCCGATCCTTGCATCTGTCCGATTGCACCCGACTTCTGGGTCATTTAACTTATATCCAGACCCGTCCAGAATCCCACTGCCATTATTTATTATTATTATTATTTTTGTGCGTAACAATATTAATTAAAAAAAATGAACACCAACTGTGTTGATTAGAAATCCTTTTCGTACTTGCTGTATGAATATATTTATTTTATTAAAATCAATAATAATAATAATAATAATAATAATAATAATAATAATAATAATAATAATAGTAATAATAATAATAATAATAATATATCACTATGTGTCATCACTGTGCCCAAATTAGATAATTGTGTGAAATGATAAGGGTGTATTTGTTTGTGATTTGAATTTTAAAATTAAATAGTTGTTATATTTTTTTAAAAAAACATTAAATACTAATTTTGGTTATTTTAAAAATTGTATATTTAGCCTAAATAAAGAACCCACAACTATTAATAAATAAATAAATTAAAATCAAGAATTTGTTGGATAAATCCCCTTGGCCTAACATTGACAATAATTTGTTCTTCAAGAATTTGTTCTTCAAGGATTTTATCAATTTGGGTTGCTTTTTTGAGTGGAGATAAATTAGTATGATTATGTTTTGTACGACTCAATTTTTTCCATATAATAATATCGACACCTAGCAGCAGTGGCGGAACCAAAACTCGATTAAAAAAGAATTAATATTTAAAATTTACAAAATAATACAATCTAATTTTTAAAATATACAAAATAATTCACACCCACCTCTGGCTACACTTTAAAATGCGTATTGGATAAACCTCGATCAAACGAAACACATGCAAATTTCTTTAGTTAGTCTCGAAAACTATTTTAAGCAAATTGTGGGCCACAAGTTTAACTAAAGTTTCGAATAGATGATCTGGCGGTCACCGGCCAAACATCATATCAATTCGATCATCGAATTTTTTTGCCTTTATTCACTTTTGGTTTGTGAGATAGTGACTAATATTTTTTTGTTCGTTAATCCATAATTGTTGTACGTATTTTGTAATGACCACTAAATATAAAAGAAACATTTATTTATTTTTTCTACCGAAACAGCTAATTTAAATATTCGGTCAATAATTATCAAACAAATGAGGATTTAATCAATCATCACTCAAAAATGGATTCAATTTAATTTATGATCAAATCATTAAGATAAGTCATGAATTCAAATGCATATGATTTGGGATTAATAATTTCTTGATGATCGAGTCTTAGTCTTATAATTGGACTCAAATATGTAATTTCAGCATATTAATAATGGAAAAAAAAAAAAGATGAATGAATAAATAAATCCACTATTTTCTTAAAAATAGAAGGGAATTGAATAGTAAATAAAATATAAATAAAACATAGATTAAAAAAAAAAAAAAAAAAAAACTATAGTATAAAAATTATTTTCTTTAAATGGGAGATGAAAACTAATGGCAGAAATGCATGCAGAGAATAACCACTCCTCCAGCAATCCCCAATTCGAGTAAAAGATTTGCAGAAAACCCTAATTTTGAAAGATCTCATGAATTCACCCCCAAAACATATCCTAATCGATCCCCACTCAACCTCTTTCAATTCTGAAATCTTCTAGAATGAATCAAATTACCCAAAACAAAGTTTAATTCAATTAATTATTTTTTTTAAAAAAATTATTATCCAACCATGTTTGTCATCGCCTTCATTCCCTCCCCCTGAAAACCCTAGAAATTTCCAGGTTAATTGGCATCACATGCCCAGCTTTTGATTTTGATCACTTGCAATGTACAATCTGATCATTTTTTTCTTTTTTGCAGATAGATTCCCCAATTCAATTATATATACATTGATTTGTGTGTGGTATTTTATTTGGCAGGGAAAATGGGAGGCTTGAAGCTTCTTGAAATCATTGATACATAACAATGGCGTTAACCATTACACAGTTTGGATTGATTGTGGCTTCCCTTGGCTGTGTCTCCTTCCTGTCGGGAATTTTCGCCGAATTGAAGAAGGTATATATATATATATAGATATTACAGACACCATGAAAAAGCAATACTATTTAATTCATATGGTTTAATACAACATGCTATGATAATTTCAATGATCAATTCACACATCCGACGTTGTTCTCATATTATTTGTTGGTGAAAAAATTTAATATGTGCACATAAGAAAAGAATGAAATAATATCGAAAACCCTTGTAGACGACAAGAATTTTATAATAAAAACAATTGAAATTTATGATTTAAGACGACGCACATATATATATATATAGGAAAAATCGTAATTTTGATCTTATAAAAAACATTTATTGTCATTTTGGTTCTTTAAGTCAAAATGTAAGAAAATTGTTATATATTTTGCTCATCATACTTTTTAAATACTCAAGCAAAGTTTGGTAAAATGATTCGTGGAAAGTTCAAAGGATTACACGGGAGAATGTCACAAAAAATAAACGGTGTGTTTCTTTTGATGAGTTTGGAAAAAGTTTGGTTTGGATTCGATATGAAAATAATGTTTAATAGGATATTTTGTGAGAGAAAAAAATGTATTTTTTTCGAAAAATACACAGTCCAAATAGTAAAATTTGAAAAAATTATACTAAAGAAACATACCCAAAGTTATCAGAACGACAATAAATCAGATATAAGATTATTTTCATACACAGCCCGCCTGAATTAATAAAATGAGTAAGAATTTCATTCACATAACCAAATTATTTATAGCCCGCGACGGGCCAAGTGATTCAAGGAGAAGGAGTAATCACATGCCGGTATTCATCTGACCCATCGACGTATTTGGGGTTCATCTCAATTGCATTTCTAGTGGCGTCCTCCATTGCCGGATACCTATCCTTGATATATCCGTACAACGGCAAATCCATCCCTCGTATTGCCATCTTCGCCATCACTTGTTCGAGCTCCTACTTCTATGTCTCATCGTAAGTACATAAGATATATATATATACATACAATATATACACATATTTCATATAATTTGTGTATTTGATTTAGGACTACCACAATTTTTGCTGCGATACTGTTGCTGTGGCCAACGCTTCAAGGAATATTTCACCATATCAATAATGTACATAACGATCTTGACTATTTATGTCCTACTGCAAAAACGGGGCTTTTTGGAGGCGGAGCTTTTATGGCGCTCAATGCATGTCTTTTTTGGCTAGTGAACCTTATGCTAGTGAAAAATGCTCAGGAGGACTACTTCCGCGAGGAACACATTGATGATTATATATGCTATCATCCAAATGTCACCGCAAAATTAATTAGTTAATTAATATTTAGAAAAAAAAAAAAAAAAGAGAGACGATATGAAACAAAATTAACAATTGTAACAGCTAAAATATTGTGATCTTTCCGTCCATCTGCATAGGTTATATTTACGTTTTTTGTATTTTGATATTTGAATATTAATTATTATATCAAAATATAGTATAAATCAAGAAAAAATAATTTTATTAGTATTTTTAATATTAATCACAATGATACACAAAATATAAAAGGTATCTCTTGCAAAACCACGGAAAGAGTATAAAATATGTATAGAATTACAACAAACTATGAATTATGTACATATTTTTTACTAAAAAGAATGAATTATGAAATATAATATATAATAATTATATATTAATATTAAAGATAAAGTACTAAAATATATACTTTTTCTATCATTTAAATTCATACTTATCTATTTATTATCATTATTTTGACTTCACAAAAATATTATTATTTCTTTTTTAATTTTAAAATATTATTTTTATAATTTCTTATTGAAGAAAAAAAAAAATACATTCACATAAAATTTGCATCTAAGATATAAATACGGACAGACAGACCTAGTATTTTATACCAAATAATAATATTGGGCTAGACCATTGCATTTTATTCAATCTTGTGAATCAATTAGGTTTGTTATTGGGCCAATTAGTGTGCTTACACAAGGCCCAAATTATAATATATCGTGATTTCTAAATAATATTTTAAATAAGAAAAAATTACCTATAATGTTTTTTAATTGGAGAATTTACTTATTTTTCATAAACTAGTAGAAATTATTTACACTCGGTTTATATGTATAATTTTTTAATTTTTTTTTAATGTTCTTATAGTGTTAATTTATAATAATTTTTAAAAATTTATATCAAACATTTATTTATTTCTCTTACAGAATATTAAATATTCAATCACCAAAATGTTCAAATCTCTGAAAATTGAAATCTTAATAAGATTTACAAATAATCAAATAAGATAATTAAAATAGGTAATAAAATAAATTAAACCTGTCCGAAAATAGTGAATAAAGCCAGGATGGCGTCCCGGTGCATCCGGTGCAGGCACATCCAGCGCTGCTATGGAAAGTCCGAAAAGAATCAATAGGAATCTCTTTTCCCACTGTGCCGTTACTGGAAGTATATATAAGTACAGATTCTACGCTACCTCATCACTTCCTTTTGATTTGCTGCCTCTAGTCTTCTTCTCTCTCTATCTCTCTCTTCATCTTTTACAGATTCGGATCTCACCTCACGGTTGACCTAATTTCGTTTTCAATTTATTGTTTACCCGACCGCAGGTATGATGTAATTCCTTTCGATTTTATTCCGATTCTTCGTTGGTGATGTTTTTGGGGAATCTAGAACATTGATTGTCCTTGATTTGCAGTTTTAGACTGAATTTGGTGTGTTTTTGGGAGCGATGGCGTTAACTGTGAAGCAATCTGGGTTGGCTGTGGCTGTTCTAGGGTTGATGTCGTTTGTATTTGGGGTTATTGCGGAGAATAAGAAGGTAAGTAAAATTATTGTTGGTTTTAGGTTGAAGTTGTGGATGATAATGAATTGAGATTGTGTGTTTTTGTGATTTGATTTGATTTTGTTGATTGGGGTTTTAGATTGGAATTTGGGGTTGGAATTAAAGTGATTTGGAGTTTGGCAACAATTATAGACATGTAAGATTGGAATTTTTAGGTGAATTTTGTGATTTGTGTTTTTAAGTGATACAATCGTTGCATGCACAAAATTGCTTGTTTTTAATGAGATAGCCCTAAAATGTGTTCTTTTGGAATTTTGAAATTTTTTTAGAATTAATAAAAATTATTTAAATATTTTGTAAGAAAAAAAAGTTATACTAACGATCTTTTTAGAAGGAAATAGTGCTAAAATTTTAAAAAGTTATACATCTTTAACGTTGTATGTCATCTTTGCCGGATTTTGCAGCCTGCGGCGGGAACCTCCGTGCCGGGAAAGGGCGTCGTGATCTGCCGATATCCGTCCGACCCGACCGTCGCCTACGGATACCTCTCCGTCGCATTCCTCATCGCCTGCACCGTCGCCGGCTGGTTCTCTCTGTTCTACCCCTACAAAGGCAAGTCAATCCCGCAGGGCGTGCTGTTCCAAAGCCGAACCTTCGCTACCTTCTTCGCCATCGCCGTGTAAGCGCTCGATTTTTATCTTCATTCGTTCGAGTTCGAGTAATTTGTCGCGTCGTTTATCTAGTTTGCATTGATTTTTATCTGAGGATTGGTTTTTTTTTTTTTGTGTCGCGACTGTGAAGGGGCACGACGGGGCTTGCGTTGGCGTTCTTGCTGTGGCCGACGGTGACGGAGCAGCTCCACCACATGAACAACGTCCACCACGACTTGGAGACGGATTGCCCGACAGCGAAAACCGGCGTTTTGGGGGGCGGGGCGTTTGTGTCGCTCGATTCTTGCCTGTTCTGGCTCGTCGCGCTGATGCTCGCCAACAATGCCCGCGAGGATTACTTTGGCGAAACTGGCGACGGGAAGGACAGGGTCGAGGCTTATGGCATTGTCGCTTGATCGAATGATTGATCGCTCGGTGAAATTGTCTTGTTGGGACAAGGTTAAGCTCCTTCGACATAAATATATACAATTTATGCACTGGAATAATGAATGTAAACTATATACTTATGTCAAAAACCGAAAACATCCATAGCTTCATAAATACAATAATTGGAGTCCTACTTTAAAAGTTGCCGGATGAACCTTGCGACGGTAGTCGGATAACTCAGTCGAGAAGTTGGCTTTGCTGTTGGATCCATTCCTCGTAATCTTGTAGCAGCTGTTGTACGAGTAACGGCACCAGCTGATCGAGAAGAGCCTGCATCACTCTGTACGCGATAATTAAAAAGTTAATTTCCGAGAAGCACGCGAATGACGTGTCAAGAAATGCTTTAATTCTATGAAAAATACATCGGGAATCGAAGTTCTTACATGTTTCCTGGACCCTCGACAGCTGATACCGGCAGCAAAGCAAACGGCATTGTGTAGATCTACATGAAGCAAAAATGCAATAATATATCAAGAATCGGAAGCATCGGATAAAGTCTTCAATTCCATTCGGTGTAATAACAACCTCAAGGACGACGTTTAACTTCACATCAAGATCCAAGAATTGCTCAGCTTCAGTGCATTCCCATTTTATACGATTTCTCATAAAAGCTGCAGTGATATCCGCAAACAAATTACGAGCCCAGTCAGTATATTGTAGCATATTAGATTATTCCGCAGAAGAGGAAAAAATAGGTATTGTTACAAAACGAATCAAAGTTATAACCAGACATACCCGAAAAGTATTTATTCTGCTGCTCGACAACTTCAGAGCCCTCAAACTGCAAAAATGCAAATTTCATTGAAAACAAAGATAAGCACGCAGTATCATAAATCTTATACCGAGCAAACAGGTGTAACACAAGATACAGAGCAATATAAAAGATTCGAATTAAGAACGCTTGGGATATACCACAATGGTGTATTGTTTCAATAGAATCTACGATTTCGTTTAGTTTCAACAGAAAGAAATTCGCTTGAGAAGGCAAGAAAAATCAAGATAACGTCGGAAAATGCACTGTTAATTCCACAAGCAGCAGACAATTGAAGCCAACTGATGTAAATGTAAATAACTATACAGCTCTGTTTACATACAAACTTCTAAAAATTTTAACCTTATTCACCCCTAAATTTTTAAATTTTTTAAAAAATATCACATCAAATACCAACATTTTGCTATTTCTAAAATTTTTCGAAACTCCAAAAACCCGTCTAAACTGAGCCTAGGTAATCCTATCCTAGCTTTTTTACTACTTCTAAAATTTTTCCGAAACTCCAAAAATCTGTCTAGACAGATTTTGCAAGGTAATCATCCTATGGAGTTGGCTTAATTACCTTCATACAAGCTTAATTTGCAATGACAAGTGTTTGTTTGTGTTTTCGATCATATTTTCAATATAAAACATATAAACAATGCATCACAATTCAATATCTATTTTCGATTAACATTTTTTCATCTGGCATAGTCTCATTCTTGCAATCTTTACCTTGCAAGACAACATCTCAACCGTGCAATCTTCACTGGTCGGAATCACTTGCAAGTCCATCACCGGCGCAACCCGAAAATTAAGAAGCTGAACCTGCGGCAAAACACATCTGTATGGATCTCACAATCAGTTGCAGACAACAATCAATTACTGGAGAATCAATCAATACAATTACAAATTCAACAATGATAATTATGGTTTGCAAGACTCCAATCTTCATACTCTAATTGCTTTCAGTAATTTCATCGAACACCTGAACTGCAGTGCAAAATTTCAAAAGCAGGACAATAAATCGGAAGAGCAAATCTACCTGTACAAATTGGAATCAACACATCGACAGCTCTGCAACGCTCTCGTATTCAAAATTGCTTCAATCCCCGAAGGATGGCTAAGAAACTCACTGAAATTGAAACTTCCATTTCCGGCGACGCCATAGTTGGAAAGCTTCACCCTCTCCTTCTTGCCGGCGGAGAGCTTCGCCTTCTTCTTCCCATTCGGCTCCGACGAATTCGTTGATCTCAAATTCACTCGAATGCATCCATTTCCATTCCTTCACAACAAAATTTTCCCCCAAATTTCACCAAATCTGACGAACATTTTTACCTACTCGCGGAAAGAGGAAAAAAAAAGAAGCAAAGTACCCGAGTCTGGAGCTCAAGATTTGATCGATGTGTCCGTGAAATGTGGACCCTGAAAATATATAGTTAGGCTTAGCTACGGCCATCGGCTCCACATGCTCTACTAAACTAAACTTTTTGTGAAGAAAGTGAACAGTTAAGGAGCAGAGAAGAGACAGAACTGGAGAAAATGGAGACAGGTGTCGACAATGGTGAACTCCATTTGGCGTTTCGGACATCACCCGTTTCAGGATCCCTTCAGCACCATTATCATTTTTTATTATTTTTTAATAATGAATTGAAATATATAATGCCTCCATACGAGAAAATATAGATCGCAGTGTTTACTTGTGAGGATTTATATTATTTTATTATTTTAATTTTTTTTAAAAAAAATTAAATTAAATAATTAATTTTTATTTATTTTATTACATTAAAATTTAATTTTATATTTAAAATATTATATCAACAAATATTTATATTACATTAAATAATTATTTTAATTCAAAATTTTATTATTTAAAATCAAAATTCAAAACTAAAACCTAACAAATTTAAGCAACACATTTTTATTGATTTGGTATTATTTACTTTTAAAAAAATCTCCTTAAATACATTTTATTTTTTACAAAAACATTAAATCAAAATTTCCAAAACTTCTATCAAAACAAAGTCTATATATTACTCCCACTATTAAAAAATATCCCTTCAATTTTAGTAAAAAATAATTTATATTTTTTTTAAAAAAAAATCAAATATTTATTAATTAAAAAATTAAATATTCAATTTAAAATAATATATTTTATATTTTTAAATAATTATATAAATCACATATTAAAAATCAATTTATCCAAAACTGAGCAAAGGATATTTGATCTCAACCAAAAGCAAAACTACCAATCCAGCCAAAGACTCACTCTTAACACTCTTCATCCGATTCATACTCCTCAAGCAAATCACAATCACTCTCCGTTTCCGATTCACACACTCGCCGCCGGCGACCTCGGTCGAAAGCTGCGGTGGCGACGGCGACATTCGTCGCGCTATCCTCGCCCGCAACCCTCGATTTCTTATACAATCCTCTACTTCGATCCAAATACCCCTCCTTCATCGCAATTGCATACTTCGCCCTCACATCGATCAACGGATGCTTCTCGACGAGCTTCCCGTGATCGTACGCCTCCCTAAGAACGACCGTCTGCACGCCCCCCTTCTTCGATATGTAAAAAATCCCGGGATGCCTTTCGAACAATTTAGTGAACTTCTGAGGCATCGACAACGGCGTGCGCATGTTGCTCACATTTTTTCGTTCCATTTTCCGGAGGATCGTTAGGTGAAGAAGCTCGTGAAACACCCCGACGATCCTCTTCTCTGAGACGTCCGTTCTTCGATCCAAATGAGATGCGTCGACGTAAGGACTAGTGTACGGTAACTTTTGCCACTCGTTTAACCATTCGACGCACTTCCTTTTCAAACCGAATCCCCGCGGAAACCCAACCGGAAACTCCAATGCGCCGTCTTTTTGTGCGAGATTCGAATTTCTCGACGCTAAACACGATACCGCCAACGAATCATCCCAAGCTAATAGCTTGACACCTCGACGTCCGTCCGGGAGGTCGACAAAATCGAAGAGATCCGAATGGTTTGCGACGATCTTTCTTTCGTAGTCGTACGGTAGCCCCAAATCCCACCTCAGCTGATCAATCGTTTGCAGGGGAAGTAATCGATCTTTCGTTAGCATGAGCAACTTTTGCAGCCGGCGCAAAATGTCGCCGTAACAATCGTCGTAAACGGCGATCGTTTCTTGGCGATACAAATCCGATGCTTCCAGCGTCAATTTATACCACGGAAGAGGAGTGCCGCCGGAATCTGGGCTGTAAAACTCATGAAAGATACTCGGGTACTGGCGAATGAATGTCGTGAGTTTGAGGTCGCCGGGGAGGCCGAGCTGCCGGCGATATTTCGAAAGACGATGAATGGGAAGAGCACGATCATGGCGGGAACCAATGAGTGAAACCAGAGTGCAAGTAGCTTTGAGGCCTATATCGGCGGACACGGCGGAATCAAGAACAGAATCCTTTACCCACTTGAGCTTCACATTGACGAGATTGCGATTCTGGATTTGAATGATTGGATGCAATAATTTCGACGGCGGAATAACGCCGGCGAAACTCCGGCGCCGCTGTAGGGAGATCATTTTCTTTCAGGCATTTCGTCGAACACCTTCCGTGTGCACATAAAATCCGAATTGCTACTGCTTGATTCTTTAGATTTGGGATTTGGATTGAGGAATCGGGTCGTATCTCTGGTCCTCCGTTGATTTTCTGGAGATTAAGTGGGAGAATTTTATAGATTGAGCCTGCAAATAGTTGATGAAGATTGATTTTCTCCGGCGATTGAATCTTCGCTCGGTGTCTTTGAACAGGGCTTCAAACACGGTGGTGCTGATTGTGATTCAAAAGTTGTTGTTGTTCTTCTTCTTCTTCTTCACTGACTTCAAGATTTGTTTTTTCTCAATTCTCGTTGATCTTCTTCTCCGTCGAAGCCATTGTGAATTTATGTCTAATCGAATCGAGATAAAGATTAATCATTTGATGTTTTCTGAATATATGAGATAAACATTTTTTTTTTTTTTTGTTTTTTGTTATTTGTTTGTTTGTTTCTCTTCTTCTTCTTCATTTCATTCGATCCAAATGTGTCTTTTACAGTAAATTAAAAAATAATAGTACAATTAATTTTATATTTGTAATTTAGTTAAAAGTTAATAGTATTTTGGTATTTGTGTATAATTATTTTTACTAAAATATAAAATTAATACTTTGGAATGAGACGGACGGAAATGGTAAAAATAATACTATGAGTTGACACGAATGAAGTAATATTTTATTAATTAGTGAAAGTGTGCAAAAAGTTTGATATTTTTGCTTATGTTTGTAATTTAGGTAAAAATTAAAAATACTTTAGTATTAATATACTAAAAATTTTAATAAAATAAAAAAAATAGATACTTTTGCGTGTCACGAACAAAAATAAAAAAAGTATATATATTTTTTTAATTGAGACCAACGGTGTACTTTTATGATTGAAGATGATCTAATAGACTTGACTGCAATAATTAAATTTTAAATCGATTAATCTATCATAACCACAAAGTATAAACATTATTTACACTTAAAACCAAGTACATATATTGGAAAACATGTAGATTCAACTACTTTATTCTATAAGAATACAAGCAATATATATAGAAAAACAAGTGTATACTATAAATTATTATTATAATAATCGATTCAAACTTGTTCTTCACCTAGTCCAGCATTCCCTCTTCCTTCTTCATCATCATCGTCATCATCATCTTCTTCTTCTTCTTCTTCGAGGAAGTCATTTTGGGCGGTGACGAATAAGTTAATTTCCGGGATAGTATTTTGAACCCAATGAACAAAATCCCACAGCTTCTTAGATAAAGATTTGTAGAATAGAACAAGTAACAAAAGGGTAGGGTAGAGATACCAAAATAGAATTTGTGGGACAAAGATCGAAGCCAAGAAAAAAACCATGTGGGGGATAGAGAATCTTTTAACTTGGAGATGCAAGAATCTTGTAGGGTTCGAAGATACCAAGGAAAATAAGGGAACCTTAATCGAGACAAAGGAGAATATGGATAAGGCCAAAACAAGAAACCAAAACTTGACCCAAGTGAGATCACTTGCCACACCAAATGCATCCCACTCCCATGCCATTGCTCTATGTGATTTCATTATGTTGATTATCACAACTGAAATGTATCTCAAATCCAAATCCAACATTTTTGGGAGAAATTTTCTGTCTTTCTAGTTTCCCAAAATGGTCTATATATATAGCCCAACCCCGTCACAATAATAACAAAAAGAAAAAGGCCGAAAAAAGCTTAGTAGATCTCCACTAAGGTTGGGGTGGAAATAATGGGAAAAGTAAAAGGTACCACCATTGATGAATAAAATGATAGATGAAGAAAATGTTGCATGTAAAGTTTAGTTTCTTTTTATATCATCCTCCAATCTTAAGTTGATCGCTTTGTGCTGCTCCTCATGTTGCTTTTTCAAGAAGAATTAACAAAAAAATGACGTTTGATCGGTATAAATAAATCGGCGTTCTTCCCTCAAAAGATCGAAACTTAGTTCCATCACGTCATACAAGATAACAATATATATATCTCATTACGTACATTACGATGAATCTACGTGTGTGTGTATATATATATATATATATAGAGAGAGAGAGAGAGAGATTTCGAAGACGACATTGAATATTAAATGAGGTATATATATATATTAAATGTTAAATGTCGTATTTGATTTGATGTTTTGTGAGAAAAAAAAATGTATTTGACGTGATGTTTTTTTAAAAATAAATAGTATCAAATGAATGAAAGCGTGTTGGGTAAACAAAACTGATATTCATCATATGTTGGTAGACTAAATATTTTCAAAACATTAAATATTTTAGGATGTACTACTTCCGTCCGGCTCTAAGGGTCATGTGTTGATATTTGAATATTAATTATTATACAAAAACGTAATACAAATTAAAAAAAAAATGACAGAAATATCTTGTAATACTATTATAATGACATTTGTGCAAAAAAAAATTATATAAATATAAAAATATCTTTAATATTAAATATAATAACGCAAAACGAAAATAAAATCTTATAGTGGGACGGATGAAGTATTTTTTTGAGAGTTTGGTTTTAAATTTTTTTTTTTTAAAAAAACTATGTAACCACTATAATTTCCTAACAAAATACAATATATTTATTCTCGTAACATAACATTACATTTAAATTATTATTAAAAAAATCCTACGTGCATCAGCCTTAAAATTAAAAATTGTAAGGGTGTGTTTGTATGTCGGGTGGCTTTTTGGGTTTGGATTTATAAATAGTAAAAAATTGAATTTGAATAGTTATTTCATGTGATATAAATAGATATTTGATATAATATTTTGAATATAAAATAAATTTATAATATAATATAAATAAAAAAATTAATTATTTGAATTAATATTTTTTAAGAAAAAGAATCTTAATAAAAAAAACTTAAACCCACAAATATTCCTTGGGTGAAAGAACTTATTTTGATTTTGAATAATAAAATTACGAAGTGAAATAACTATTTAATATAATGTAAATATGTATTTGATATGATATTTTAAATATAAAATTAAATTTTAATATAATATAATAAATAAAAATAAATTTTTGAATTGATATTTTTAAAGAAAAAAATTAAAATAATAAAATTAAATGTAAAATCTTACTATTAAACACATGCAGTTGTTCCTAAGACCATACTGTCCATACACATATTTATTTGAGAAGGTCAAAAAAGTACCACCTTCGATTCACTCTTTTTGTGGTAGTGATTGATGAATATATATATATATATATATTTATAGAGAGAGGAGATAATTTAATTTAATTATAAAGCTAATCATGGATTCTATGAAAATGATGGTTTTAAGTCATAAAATAATTATTTAAAAATTTTCCAAAACAACACAAATTTCTCTATTTGTATATTTTTATAACAATCATATTTGATTTTCATATTTTGTATTATATAAAATTTTATTAACATAAATATTAATTAATATGTTTGTATTTACACTCAAAAGTAAAATTTAATATATATATATATATATATATTTTTAATGTTTCCCCAACCCTCCTTAATGCATGGACATGTGGGACCGTGGGAGAAAAAGATAAAGTACATGGTAGACAGAGTTGCCAAGAAAGCCTCAGATAATTTCATCCGCGTGGACTAAAAAGTACGCGAGTGATTCAGCAGCAGGGGTTTAATTCATTCCATTTTATACTCATAAAATATACGTGTATATATATATTTTTTCATTTCTACATCATTATTTACATATATATTATATATATATATATATGAGAAAAAATCGATTTTGGTTCCAATATAAAAAACTCATCAATTTTAGTTCAAATATAATCAAAATTTATCAATTTTGATCCCAATATGACTGTGTATAATTGTACATGACCGTGTAACAACACGACCATATATAATTATACAATGAAATATACATGACCCTGTAACAACATGGCCGTGTAACAACATGGTCATTATAATTATACACTGAAATATACATAGCCATGTAACAACATGGCCGTATATAATTGTACATAGCCGTGTACTTTCCAGGTCAACTACCACGTCACCTCCGTAATGTCCACGTCAGCAATTTCCGTTAGTTTTTTAACGGTGGGACCAAAATTGATTAAAATTGTTTATAATGTGACTAAAATTGATTGAAATTGTTTATATTGAGACTAAAATTGATGAGTTTTTTTATATTTGGACCAAAATTGATAAATTTTGGTTATATTGGGACCAAAATTGATGAGTTTTTTTATATTGAGACCAAAATTAATAAACTTTTGTTATATTGGAACCAAAATTAATTTTTTTCTTATATATATTACTTTTTTTTTTAACACTTTTTATATATATACTATAAAAAATATTTATTACAAAAGTAAAATATTACATATTAACACAATATATAAAATATACAGTTTCATCAGTCTCATTTAATTTGTCCATTTTAATTTAAACACGAAATTTTAGTAAGATAACTAAATAATTTAATTAAAATAAAAATTTATAAATTATAATTTTAAAATATGATTAAAATATATACTAATATTTAAAAAAAAGAAGATGTGGAACATATTGTTAAATAGAACGAGGAAATAATATTTTATTATTTTCAAAATTTTTATTGAAATAAAATATATATTTTAAAAAATTGTTTAAATTTAATAATTTTAGATAGAACAATTTTCACTAATATTATTAAAAAAATATAATATATACATGATAACATAATATATATACATATAATATACAGTATATTTTATTCACTCAACGATAAATAAATAAATACAAAATATTATTTTTTATATTATAACGTAATTCATCCTATCTAATATATATAAACCTTGTATTAATTCAAACAAACTAAAAAATATTTTTGGTATGGATTTCAAATCCAATTTCTTTTTTAATAATAAAAATAGATTATTTTTTATAACAAAAATTTTAATTAAAACAACAAACTCAAAAGTTCAAAAGCTTTATATAATAATCCCAAAAGTAGTTAGAAAAAGCAGATCCAAAACAACACACAACAATTTCTTTGGGCAAATAAGTTCATATCCGCCCAATGTTCGATCATCATCATCACCGAAATTCTAATGCAATTCAACCAAGCTAAGGTGGTGATCTGAAGGAACAACTAATAAATAATATACAAGGAAATTATTGATGGTTGAACGGAACATATTCGGAAGAGGTCTTACAGAGCCATGAATGCATCCACACAACCATTTTCATTTTCAGAGGATCCAAGAACATGAACATGAGAGGATATATAAATGTCCGAAATATAAGAAACTAAGAGAAGATGGTTTGATCAGGAAGATCAAGATGTAGTGTTTTTTTTTTTCTGTTACCTCGTCGGTTACAGCAGCTCGATGTCTTTCGACCAATT